AGGATCAGGTTATTCAATAGCACCACCTACTTCTCTAGAGATTGCAATAACACCAGTACATACTAGAACTATTTGTCATTAATTTTCCATAGCTCCTCCACCCCCTCCTTGTCCTTGTAAAGATCACATTGCTTCATTAGCTTGCAAGCATATGGAGAATAATGGAGAATATCTACCAATGCCTTGTAGAGAGCTTCTTGGAAACAATCCTTAATTATTTAAAAGACACATACATAATATACTGTAGATCTAGTTGTCAACATATATTAGAAAGATTTTATTGATAGTGAGTGTACATGTACCAATAAGTCTGTACTTACATTATTCTGTCTGTACAAATTAAATGGAAAAAATTTTAGTTTAAGACATTAATTTTTAATACTGTTTTAGAGTTTTCACACTCTTTTTTAATAATAATTCAGATAATATGCAATTAAACTGGTACAAGTCATGCAGTCCATCTCTCTCTCACATATTAAGGACTAACATACCAGAACTAGAACAACACTGACTAGAAACTTGATACATTTTATAATGTTACAGGCTATGAATAAGCATTTTAATTTAATGTTTTGCCAACTTTTACATGCAAAGTATAACATACATGACTTTTCAAATCATATGGGGAGACAGGGCCAAATTGCCACCCCATAAATATATACACTGTATAGAGATCTATACACTGTATAGAGATCTATATATGTATGGGCTTGTGCTGAGTGTATAGCTTAGTGATTCACCAGGAGATTTTCGATTGTCCCTCTCATAATGACAGCATTCCTGTATTTGTGTATAGCCTTGCAGCTCCTTCACCTCACTGGTTAGTTATAATACTAACATAGGAGGTACATTATGTCTCATATTGGTTCTATTAGTTGCAATTGCACCTATTGTCCCCACTGTCAGTTTTGAGTCTTCTTCTACAGTGAGTATCCCTGAAGGAACTAGTGCTGATGTTTGTCTTACAATCACTGGAGCTGCTGCTGGACCAATAACTATCTTACTGGGAGCTACAGACCAATCAGCAAGTAAGCTGTGCATACCATAAAGTTTCAATTTAAATTTAAATGTTCTGTTTCTGCATGTCCTGCTTTATTCAAACTATGCAAAGCACGGATTCATAGACTAATTTATACCTTTACATGTTGTTAATGTTTATTATTGTCATTATATAGTTGCTCCAGATGACTACACTGCACCTAGTTCAGTAACTTATATTCCAGGTGGATCCAATATAGTTTGTATAAGTATAACTGCAGTGCAAGACAATGTTGATGAACCTTCTGAAAACTTTACATATACTATACTTGCAGGAATGGGTGATTATGCAATAGGAGCACCATCCAATATCACCATTACAATACCTGGCGGTAGGTCAATTTTTTGGAGCTATTTTTTATTCATTTTCCATAGCCCCTCCACCTCCTCCTCCTTGTCCTTGTAAAGATCGCATTGCTACATTAGCTTGTAAGCATATGGAGAATAATGGAGAATATCTACCAATGCCTTGTAGAGAGCTTCTTGGAAACAATCCTTGATTAATTATTAACATACTGTAGTTAGTTAATGTATTGGTGTCTGTAGATTTTGTAGATCTTTTTGTTAAAATTAGCAGAAATTTTGGCTACAAAATTCTAGATATACAGTATACTGTTTGATTGAAATGCTTTTTCAGTGAGGTAGTTTTCTTTGCTTGTACACGTATGTCAGGGCACATGACAAGGGACAATATATTCTAGATCTTCCAGTGATTAAAATTATTATTATTATTGTAAACTATTCATCAGACAATACACAAGTCAGTGTATGTGTATGTATTTACTAATGGACATTCTTTCTGTCTCTCCCTCACAAAATATTAATAATAAATTAACTTCACTGTCCGTGTTTAGCAATACATCTCCTAAAAAAGATAATAATAATGTTAAGGCTTTAATTACTTCCTGGCATTCTCTAAAAGTGATTTATTTCTCTTTTGAAAAGTCCAGTTTCCTTCTTCTAAAAAAACTTCTCCTTTAGTTTAGATTTTTGAGGTTGTGGTACAGCTCCTCCACCTCCTCCTCTTCCTTTTTTCCTTCTGTAAAAATCACATTGTTACATTAGCTTGCAAGCATGCCTCTTGGAATCAGCTCATAATTTATCAGCAGACATAAAAACTAGATCTATACTGTAGTTGTCAATGTTTATCATAAAGATTTCATAAATAGGGTGCATACATGTATCAATAAGTCAGTACTTACGTTATTCTGTTTGTGCAAATTAAAACATTTTAATGCTGTTTTCAAGTTTTCAAATTATATATTTCCTATAATTTATATTATTATTGCCATGCAGTGCATCTCTCTCTCACACACATATTAAGGACTAACCTACCAGAACTATAAAAAACAGCAACAATGCTGACTAGAAACTTGATATGCATTATAATGTTTTACATAGCAGGCTATGGGTAAACATTTTAATTTAATGTTTTGCCAACTCCCAGCAAACCATACATGACCGTTCACATCACAGGGTCTAGTGTGAGTTTAGTATTGATCTGTTATACTCTGTTCTCTATCTGATCATAAATATTAAAGACTATATAAGTGTCTGATGTACAATGATATTTTATTAGTTTATTAATGATAATAATAATTTTTATGAACCAGTAGATCTATGATATAACTCCATACCAAAGTATTGTAAAGTGTAGTTCTCTCAACAATGATAAAGTGGACACTTTCTTTGAATCTGAAACCTAATAGTGTAATTTAAGGTTTTGCCAACTCTTACATGCCAGCTACCATACATCATGACTGTTCAAATCACATGAGACAGGGCCAAGTATAATTATACACTGTATATAGTTCTATGTATGTGTGTATAGCTTAGTAATTTACCAGATTCTTTAATTGTTTCTCTCATAATGACAGCATTCCTGTATTTGTGCATAGTCTTGCAGCTCTTTTTAATATAGCAATTATGTTTATGCCGGTAGTTGGTATGCCTCAAATTGTTCCACTTGTCAGTTTTGAGTCTTCTTCTACAGTGAGTATCACTGAAGGAACTACTGCTGAGGAAGAATTGGCAACAGAAAGTGGCAAGAAGATGACTACAAGAGATCTGACTCTGAGTAAATGAATTGAACCAGTTTATAAGAAACAATCATGCATCCAGTTCTTATTTATATTTATCATTTATCGTTTTTTGCTTTTATTTTTTTGAGTGATTTTTTTCTCATTTATTTCTTTCTTCCCAAGTCTACTCTGTTCTCTCTCTGATTCACAATAATTATTAATTATATTTTATCAGTTCATTAATGATAATGATCATGACTACATGTAGTAACTCCACACACACACACATACAGTAGAAGTTATCATAAGGTGCAGTTCTCTCAACAAATATAAAGTGGACACTTTCTTTGGATTTGAAACAGTAATTATTGAAATTAATTATTTTCAAGAACTACAATAATCTTGATTGGCGTGAGCTTTTAGGGTATTCTTAAATGTACATGTACACATGCATGTACATTTAGTATTATAAGTACGACGTTTGAGTGGAATATGCTAATGAAATATTCTGCCACAAACCTTATAATGTGATTTTTTGCAAACCCTAAAAATGCTAAGTAAAACATGCTTTTATCAGTTCCACTGTAGTATATAAAAAATGCTATAGTAAAACATGCTTTCATCAGTTCCACTGTAGTATAAAGATAAATCTAATAGTAGTTGTATAGCTGCTAGAGTTGTAGTGCTTTATAGTGCTGAGTGTATATATAGCTTATTGAGTAGGAGATTTTTCAACTGCAGTTCCTTTTTCTTTCTTTCTCTCATAATGACAGCATTCCTGTATTTGTGTATAGTCTTGCAGCTCCTTCACCTCACTGGTTAGTTAAGATACTAATATTCACCATGTCTCTATTGGTTCTATTAGTTGCAATTGTGTCCACTGCCCCCACTGTCAGTTTTGAGTCTTCTTCTACAGTCATCACTGAAGGAACTAGTGCTGAAGTTTGTCTTACAATCACTGGAACTGTTTTTGTTCCAATTACTGTGACACTTACAGCTACACCTGGCACAGCAGGTAAGTATAGTCCACTTTACATGCATTTGCTGTTCTTATGCAGACCATTCCCCAGCCTACAGTCGTTGGGACCCTATAATGGGAGAATTGGTTTGGCTAAACATTGCCAGCAACATTCATGGTTACTTTGACCTTGTAAACTATAATCAATAGGTTTCTATTCTTTTAGATACAAGGCCAAAGTAACCACAAAAGTTACCAGGAGCTATTCATTGGCTAACCTGTGCATTTATTTATGAATTATATATACTATTATTATTGTTATTATGCAGATGCTTCTGACTACACTGCATCTACTGCAGTAATAGTTAATCCTGGTGATTCTAGAGTTTGTGCAACTGTAACTGCAATACAAGACAATGTCGATGAACCTGATGAAACCATTATATATGCTGTACACTCAGGATCGGGTTACACAGCAGGAGGAATTATGTATCATTTACTTACCATAACTCCTCCACCTCCTTGTCCTTGTAAAGATCGCATTGCTACATTAGCTTGTAAGTATATGGAGAACAATGGAGAATACCTACCAATGCCTTGCCGAGAGCTTCTTGAAAACAATCCATAATTAATTATCAATTAACACAACTTAACATACTGTAGTTAGTTAATGTATAGGTGTGTGTAGATTTTGTAGATCTTTTTGTTAAAATTAGCAGAAATTTTCGCTAAAAAAATTCTAGATATACAGTACACTGATTGAAATGTTTTTTCAGTGAGGTAGTTCTCTTTGTTTGTGCACATACGTCAGGGCACATGACAAGGAACAATGCTCCCTCAATATTTTACATTCTTCCAGTGATTATAGTAATTATTATTATTATTGTAAACTATTCATCAGACAATACACAAGTCAGTGTATGTGTGTGTATTTACTAATGGACATTCTTTCTGTCTCTCCCTCACAAAATATTAATAATAAATTAACTTCACTGTCCATGTTTAGCAATATATCTCCTAAAAAGATAATAATAATAATAATAATAATAATAATAATAACAATAATAACAATATTGTTCACATTATGACTTTCATTACTTCCTGGCATTCTCTAAAAGTGATTTCTTTCTCTCTTGAAAAGCTCGGTTTCCTTCTTCTAACGAAAATTTCTCCTTTGGTTTAGATTTTTGAGGCTGTGGTACAGCTCCTCCTCCTCCTCCTCTTCCTCCTGAAGAAGAAGAAGGAGGGGCAGGATCAAACTTAACTCTTCCTTCAAGAAAATTGGTAACAGTTACGTCAACGTTTCGAGTCTTCACTAAAAGAAGGAAATAAATATAAGGTAGCTTAATCTGAGAGGTCCTCCATACTTACTAAGGTCTTTCCTAATGACATGTGCTGGAATGTGTGGCAATACACTGATGACTTGGTATGTCATTCTTTCTATTTCAGGAGGTGGAGTCCCCATAGATGAGAACTGGGAGTCTGATATTAAAGGGCCAGTATCAGAACCAAATGCCTTCCTCATCAATGAATGAGACTCCTTCATTTCTGAAAAAGACAACATACATGTAAGTACATGTACATGTATATGCATAATAAAAATGGAGATTTCTCTCCTTTTCATCTTTTGTGAAATTTGGCCTGAGACCATGTACTATAGTACAGGGACTTTGGCCCAATTTGGAGCAACTTTAGAAATTTGTTTAAAATCCAAATTTGATCAAAACCAGCTCAAACTTTCTACGCAACATAAGTACATGTATATGCATCAGGAAAATACATGTAAGTGGAAAAGTCTCTCTTTTTCAATTTTGATAAAATTTGGTACAAGAGCATGACTATAGTACTGTACTAGCTTAATTTTAAAGCAACTTGAAATATTCCGGAATCAGTCCATGCACATACAAGTACTTACCACTTTTCCACATTTCAATGTCTTGCTTTGACACTTTTAGTACATCTACATTCATGAGAGATGCCATTTTCTTATTTGCTTTCTTTGCAAAGTCTGAAGCCCCTTTGCCGTCATCAGCATCAACAGAAGGGAGAACACTGCAAAGAATAAAGTAAATGCACACAAGAGAAAGGGAGAGAGGAGAGGAAAGAAAGAGAAAGAGGGAGGGTAGAAGGACTCACGTCATTGTGACTATTGTTAAAGGTAGGAATAAGGTCCAGCATAAATCAGTAAAGTCAGAGCTATCAAGAGTTGTCTGTCAATGAAACATAAAATTAATCATTAGACATTAACTGACTTACAAAAGGAATATCTATTGGTCTCCACCAGGACAATGCTACCTGTAGAAATAGGAGAGTTAAGAGAGAGGGAGAAAAAGAACCATTAATACTAGTTTATTACCAACTTACTGGTTGAACTATATCCTCTACTGTGAAGGGCCACACACTAAAAAGTTAACAAGATTATTGTTATTATAATGATAATAACAATATTGCTTTCTTCATTACTTGAATTGAGATAGGCTCCTCCCATTAGTATATATTGATTCCGGCTGAGCTACGTAAGGAATAGCAGCTGAATCAGGTATGGAGACATCAACTGAAGAGGAATAATAAAAAGAATAAGAATTTATAGTCTATAATAATCATCATGATCATGTACAGCTATTTTTATTATTATCACTTATTATTATTACCATCAAATTCTGGTAATTTTTTAAGAGCCTCCTCAATTTCGTTCAAAGACTCGGTTTTCAAGTGAGTATGATAAAACAACGACGAAAACAATGGGACATCAACCAGACTGATCTAAAAAATAAAAATAACCATAACAGTAATTCCCTCTCTCTATTATCTTACTGTTGTACACTCCATAGCAAGGTGTAGGACAATATGGTCTAGTTTCGATATCTTATTAGCTATCAACATCTACAGGTAGCAGGATATGAAATAAATATTCTTCTTCTGGTGCTTACCCTAGCAGCTGTGTTCCTTCTCTTCCAGTTTTTAGTCACAACAACCAGCCCCATTACACCAAACAATATCCTTAACAAGAAACTAAGAGACAATGGTTCTAATGGAGCCCCAATACTGCTGCCTTACCGTTGGAATACACCAGTTGGTATAATACTGAGTATTATGAAGGCCTGTAGGAGCATGGTGACACGAACTATGAATAGGAGTAGACCAAAAGGGAAATATACTATTAATAATAGAGCGTATAAAGACGAGAATACTATCCTAAAATAAAGGCAATAAAGAATACAATAAAATATAGATAATTGAGCTCACCTATGGACATTTAGGGACCCGTCTAATTGCTGAAAAACTCTGGGACGAACTGGAGTAGAAGGATGGTGGTTTGGAAAGGCAGCCATTTTAGAATTTTGTGTGGGTGTGGCTACACCGCCCACTGTATTATGGGGCCCCTCCCATCATGTGACCCTGCTCCTCCTCTATTGGGAAGGAACTAAAGATGGGGTCGATACAATCGGCAGTGAATGACAAAGGGCAGCTAATAAGCGATCCTAACCTCTCTAAAGTAGCCGTACTACCAATTGTCACTATATTCTGGCTCGCTGTAGCACTCGTGGGCATATTTGTGCCTTGTTTCTTCTGGAAATACAAACACAGACTGTAAGTGAAGACCCAATCCCTTGTAACCAGCAAATTATATGTACAATCAAGAGTAGATGGCACAATACATAAGAATAGTGTATTAAAAGCAGTGGTCTGTTGCAATGGAAAGCTTGTAGTAGTTTTGACCACATTTTAATGATGCACATGTGTCTAGATTGTATTTTACATTCTTGTTCTTTTAGGACGTTGCAAGTTTCAATCGTGACGACTGCAGTATGTCTGTACACCTTGTATCCTTTGAATGAAATACAATAGTGGGAGCATTACTGCTGAAAGAGCAGCAGGGAAAGGAATATAAATGCAATACCTTGATAAAAATTTAAAATGGGCAATTAGTTTAAAATTTTTCTTAACATTATACAATGTATTAGCTGGTTGCTGGCATTCTTGGCTCAGCTGAATCCATTGACAGGTCCACAACTTGAAGAGGATCTGGCACATCATATCAGACAAGTCTGGGGAGCATCTAAAAGCGATAGTTATGAATGTCAAGAGTAGAACCATTATTAACAGCTGTGTGTGTATTTGTTTGTAAGTTAGTTATATTTGTTACAAATCATCTTATAATGTTGTCCTCTTAGGAACCTGTAATACTGTGGGTTACACATCAAAAACTAATTAATACTGTAATATTTACACATTGTTTGTAATATGTAGTGTTTATTGTCATTGTTGTGATTAATAACTATCAATTTTAAATGTATTTAACATAGCTAAAAAGAATTTAAAACTTCAAGGTGCTCGCTCCCTTTTAGGGTATGTCCAGGTGTAGGTGTAAAACCAGGAAACTGGGGAAAGCAGTCTTTAGAAAGTCAAGAGACCTTCACCATTTTTAGTAAAAAAACAATGTGATGAACTCTCTATGCTTGCTTCTATCTCACACAAGTCAACTACACATTGCTTTGCAGTATAGTACTAGTATACCTTCATTTTCTACAATTATTGTTTTCTGCTCATATATTTTACAATTAGCCCAAGCTGACATTAAATGTCATGTAATTAATACATAGATAATGGTAACGGCCAAAGACATACAACCAATCATTGTTTAGGACTCTTAGACCTTGGAGACCGGGACGGAGAACGAGAATAGGACCGCCCCCGCCCACCAGGAGACCGGGAATATGAACGAGACCTTGATCTAAAAAAAAATTAATAAAAATCCAGGAACACTCAAACTTACCTGACAGGTGATCGGGAATATGGAGATCTGGATCTACTCTGACTCCTCCTCCTTCGAGGGGGCGGGCTACGAGAACGAGATCCAGAGCGAGAGTATGAGCGGGACCTTGACCTCCGTCGACTAAAAGTGTTCAAGCTGACATCAAGAGACAAATTAATGGATACTTACCGACTGCGAGGACTTCCACGCCGACGTCTAGAAAATTAATAAAAATAAATAATAATAATAGTAATAATAAAATTAATAATAAAAAAATAATAATAATCTTACCGTCTATTGTAAGGACTGTGACTTCTATTTGCAAAATGAAATATTTAATTAATAAAATTTGATGAATGTCTCATAATACTAACCGTCTGCTATAATAGGGGCTTGGACTTCTAGAATATCGTCTCCTAAAATAAAATAAAGATATAATTATTATTGTATGCACATGTGTATATACCTGTTATAACTTCCGGTTCTTTCTTTGTTCTTCATCTGAAATGGAGCTACAAAGAAACAATAAAAAGCTCACGCCATTTCTCTCTTACTTTTTCTGTCTCCCTCTGCATACTGTACAACCAGTTCACGACCGTGCAAACAAGTCCCATCAAGATTATGCAAAGCGTCTTCGGCATCACGGAGGTCCTCAAACGTAATCAAAGTCTTTAGTTAAGGTCCTTATACATACAAGTACATATGTACCTTGCAATGTAACACAATAGTGACTCCTATTACTTTTATAACAACTTGTACTGTCGGTCATTATGCTTTATTGCTGTGAATCAACAACAATTCTTTTGCTTTGTCTTGTGCCTTCTCTGCCTGGTGCTTGTATCTTTAAGACATTTAAAACCTATTTCTCTTTGTTTCTTTGCTTGGGTCTTTAAAATCTTTAAGGTAGGCCATTTCTTTTAGGGGTGTGGTTCTTTAGGCTCTTTGTCTTTACTTTATTAAAGTCTTTAATTCTTTGATTTAAGACATAAACTGTCGTGTGTTTAAAGCAATAGCCTACATGTATGCATATATTAAACATAATAGTACATTAAATGCATTATACTACAAGATGATTCATTGGAAAGGAATTAAATGCAGTGGTTCTGTGAAAAAAATCACTAACAAATCTAAGCATGCTCAATGGCACATGGTTGATAAATCGTCAATAAAAATTTGCCACGACTTTCCAACACAATAATAATCATCTTGTACAGTATTAAAATATAAACCAATCCGATTAATGCCCACCACCTCATTCCTGTACACAAAAACTCTCAGTATAATAATAATTATTATAAAAGGATATTCAACATACGCAAAGCCTCTTGGCTCTCTCGTGTGGTAGTCCAGGGGGAGGTATACATCGCGTACGGGGCCGTATTGAGTAAACAGATCTCTCAGGTCGTCTGAGCTGTTGGACAGGTTTCATAAATAATACAGAGGACATTGGGGCTCACTTTGATGATAGGTTCAATCCCTTGACGAACAGGGAACAATTTGGAGGCCTCTTGTACCTGGAGGAAGACATCTTTCTCATCAACGTGCGCGCCTTGAATAATTCCCCGCCCTATTAGCATTCCTTTCTACTGCGGCAACTGCGCATGCGTGAACCCACGTGTAGTCTACTCATAAAGCCCATTGTTGTTGTACTGGTGATAAAGAAATGGCTCAAGTCCCTGTACAACAGCAGCAGCAGCAGCCGGGTCAGCCGAGAGGAGGAGGTGTACAGCTTCCACCACTGGTCCCTAATACACTGGACGATCATGGACTAATGGATTCCTCCTGGTTTAAAGTTGTCATTACAAAATGCCCATCTGGTAAATGTTATAAATGCATTGTCAGCATTGGATCAATTATTGTAATGAGTGATTCGTTGTTATGTCTCGTTTGTAGGTGACCACATAGGGACAGCATCAGTGTCACTGGATCGCTGGAATGGAGCATGGGACAAGTTACCTGAAGAAGCCTTCATGACGTCAGCAATGCTGGCCACTTCTCTGGTAAGCACTAAAAGACACTGTATATAATATATATTTGTGCTGTAGGTACCAATCAGGGATCTTATTTTACGTGGGCATCATTTGTCCTCTCTTCCTTCCAATATGGCTTCAGAGGATAATCATTTGACTTCTTCATTAGTCGTTTTTGACATTTCATCAAACCGCTTTGTTGATTTTCCTCCTGTTGTGTGTCAATTTTTGAGTCTTCGCGAGCTCAATGCTTCCAGCAACAAGCTTTGTTTAGTACCACAGGATATCTCTTATCTGACAAATCTTCAAGCACTGAACCTCAATAATAATTCATTTCAATCAATTCCTGTCTCGATCTGTCTTGCATGTAGCCTTCAGTCTCTATCGATGGAGAGCAACAGGATCTCAAAAGTCCCTGAAGAAATTGGGAGGATGACAAATCTACAAGAATTATACCTCAAATCAAATAAAATATCAAAGCTGCCAGAGTCTTTCTCTCGTCTGCAGAGACTCCAAACCTTACACATATCAGATAACAGTCTAGTAGCATTGCCACAAACCATTGGAGATATGGTTAGCTTGAAGCAGCTCCATGCAGCACAGAACAAGTTGACTTCATTGCCTGCTAGCATAGGGAGAGCGCCTTCATTGCAAGGCCTCACAGTAGCTAATAATCCTTTGATCCAGCCACCACAGCATGTCTGCAGAGGAGGTCTGTCTGCTATAAAAGCACATTTGAAGACTTCATACTCTCCCAAAGACAAGAAGAACCGATCCAAAGATACTTATGGTAGCTATGAAACTGACGTTTAAACACAAGAAACAATCGATTTTGTATTATATAAACAAATTACACTTTTACTGGCATAGATAAAATCAGTCATTATTTCTTTTCATTAAGATCCATTCCCATGTTCAGAATCATTAGCACCAGATTGAGGAGCTGAAAAAGAATCATTATTGATGTGATGCGTACATACTAATATTCTTACATTTGAGTTCTTGATCAGAAACAACATGCTTCTTTTTGAACTTTGTGAGGGTTTTGTCCAAACGTTTACAAAATGTATCAATTTCTTGTCTATTCATGCCAATAGCAGCAGCAGCTGTCAAATAAGGATGAGGATAATTATTAGAATGAGAGCCCCAGTTAGTAAATGTGTAACCACCAATAGTCTTACTAGTACCAGGAGAAACAACTCTGTAGGATGAAATATAACATTGAAATGTATCAGTGTATTATTATCATTATTAACAGAAGTATACTAATGTGAATCCTAATGTACATGTACCTTGTTCCAGATACATTACGTAGAAATAGCATTGAGCCAAGTTCAGTCCAATCAGTGGTCGATGGTAAACTAGTTAAGCTCATAGCTACAGAATAGCAATTATTAATAACCATTAATAACAGTTATTAATCCTAAATTAGTTTTCCGGTTACCTATAGATATGGGGTTGTTCTTTGTAACTAGTACACGCTCGTTGTGACGATGAGCAACATCTGATAAAAGTTTTAAAAGATACTGATAATTGTCCTTAACAAAAGAAGAAACAATCCATTACAACTTTATATATAAAAAAACTATATAATTAAAAGAGCTACCTTTCTCTCCTTACAAAGAGACTTATATCCATCGGATCCTAAACCCAGTAATGTTACAAACACATCAATGGTTGGAGTAGATGATGCTCTACCTAAAGCCATTCAAATAACACAAGGTACACGATACAGTCTACCTGGATAGGACTGAGATACAGTTTTTATAAATTCAGGATTTCCGCTAGATACCACAGAGCCCCCAACAGGCACAAGGAAATTCTTATCTGTACTTTGTATGAAAGCGTCAAGCCGTCCAACACGATTAGCCTCTTGGAGTAGATGCATACATTTTGATGATTGCACGCCGTAAGCATTATTGACAATATGTGGTATGCTGTACTGTGATGACAACCGAGCAACTTCTGGCAACCTATGATTACCACAGTGAGTACATGTATATGTCAGCATTTTCATTACATTTATAGTACAGGGTCATTGGCCAAATTTGGCCAAAAAATGACTAGGAAAGAATTCTCTATTTTTATTACATTTTCTGATGCATATACATGTACTTATGTTGTGTAGAAAGTTTGAGTTGATTCCGATCAAAATTAGATTTTTTATGAATTTTTAAAGTTGCTCCAAAATTGGGCCAAAGTCCCTGTACTATAGTACAGGGTTATTGGCCAAATTTCGCCAAAAATGACTAGGAGAGAATTCTCTATTTTTATTACATTTTCTGATGCATATACATGTACTTATGTTGTATAGCAAGTTTGAGTTGATTCCGATCAAAATTAGATTTTTTACAAATTTTTAAAGTTGCTCCAAAATTGGGCCAAAGTCACTGTACTATAGTACAGGATGATTGGCTAAATTTTGCCAAAAATGACTAGGAGAGAATTCTCTATTTTTATTACATTTTCTGATGCATATACATGTACTTATGTTGTATAGAAACTTAGAGCTGATTTTGATCAAAATTGAATTTTTTATGAATTTTAAAAGAAACGGCCTAGGCTATTATAGCCTTTGAAAATCTAATTTTGATCAGAATCAGCTCAAACTTTCTACACAACATAAGTACATGTACATGCATCAGAAAAAATAAAAAAGTAGAAAATTCTCTCCTTTTCAATTTTGGTAAAATTTGATCTGAGACCATAAACTGTAGTACAGGGACTTCCATCCAATTTTGGAACAACTTAAAAAATTTGTAAAAAATCCTAATTTGATTGGAACCAGCTCAAACTTTCTACGCAACATGCATCCAAAAAAGTTGAGAATTCTCTCCTTTTCAATTTTGGCAAATTTTGCCTTAAGACCAAAGACTATAGCCTTTGGTCTTTCGCCAGATTCTGCCAAAAATGAAAAGGAAATAATCTTCCATTTTTATATTTGTTTCTGATACATATACATGTACTTATGTCCCGTAGAAATTTTGAGCTGATTCTAATCAAAATTGAATTTTTTAAATGAATATCTCAAAAATAGGCCCATCTATCAGAAAATGTAATAATTGTATGTAACCTGTCAGCCCCTCTTGGAGCAAAGCAACTAGTGACAGTCATTATAGCAAGTACAGTATCAGGTCCTAGTTTATTGATCTGTGTCTCCATACTCTGAACATCTGTCATTAGCTCATCTCCTTCTAGAACATTCTCAATTATAACTGGCTCAAAACCTAAAGATAAAGGGCCCATGAATTGAATTACAAGAGGTAAATAAGAAATAAGATATAACATTTATTATTATTTATAATTAATTCTATACACACATGTACATGTGCATGCATTATATTAACCTGCAGATATGATGGACTTAAAGCAAGACTTCTGATCAATCCTTGGCCAGATCACATATCTTGCAGAAGGTCTCGACGAACGAAGACTAAGTAATGTCATCATCAAGGCCATACCAGTAGCAACTGGTATTAACACACACGACTGAACAAAATGAGCACCTTATGAATAATTATTATGGTATTAATGTATAATCAGTGATTGAGTGTACATGCACCTGATTGCTGTATAATGTCAAGCAATAATGAGTTAGTGAGTTGGTTTAATAATGAAGAACCAGCTGCTTTTGGCTGTACAGCTGCAACGTCACCAGATCGACCAATGCCATGACCTAAGCTAAGAGAGATTCATGTAAGCAACTATAAATCATGAAATATATATAATCTCCTAACCTGAAGTGTCTCTCTCTTACAATGCTGGAATGAATACGAGCTTCTCTCTCACCCACACCAACATTTTCTGATCAAAAAGTAATTACAATATATAATACATTATGCATATCAAATGAGGTCTACCTGGAAAGTTGTTACTGTCCATTAGAGAGAGTTCGTTCAAAAGGAGACGTATCCTTGCATCACTCCAGCCTTCCGATGGAAGCTTACGCTGTGTTGATGTATTTTATAATTATTGCAATAATTCAATTAATTTTAATGGAGTTTTTGTGCAGCATCAGCAAACAAGAGTAACAATAATTAAAATTATTATTAAAAAAAAATCTCTAAATTTTCTCTCACGTGATAGAGCAGTGTCTGTATGCATTTCTCGTGTGTTCTCTTTGAGTCCTTCCCTTGATTGAGGTAAGTGGCTGGGACAAGCTTCTCTGCAGCAAGATAGCTCTCCTCGTTCATATTTGCAAACTTCAGTATACTGTACTTATAATAGTATTCATTGCACGCCAGTCTACGGTTTTTAATATTCGTAAAACTCCGTAATTTATATCAAAATGGCCGACGCCAGACAATTCAATTAGCAACAACCAAAAACATTCAACAAGACGGATATTAAGAGAAATGGCTCGTTGTTTTCCGAGTAGATGTCAGCCCAAGAAGTATATAAGTGTCAGGGTGGAGCTGTCATTCTGTGAAGGGATGGTTGTATCTTATGTTGATGAAACTGGCCAAGAATTTAGAGGAGCTCTCATGTCACATGAAACAAGGTACTCATAATGTAGTTTGGTTAATTACTAATGTAAACCTAGAGCTCCGGCATTAACTGGTGAAGTTAGCAATGATAATAGATCTGTCATAGACCATGATCACAATTATTCTAAGAGATCCAGTTTAAAATGTAAGTCATTTTAAAAAATAATTCCAGTTTTGTCATTATTTGGAACATTAAAGGTGACGATCCCCTTGCCACTCGTAGGAAGAAAACCATAACACCCATCCCCAGTTCTGAACCTAATTACTACATGAATAGCGGTATCAAATCACGTGAAATCAAATCCATTCCACCTCACCCAATGGAAAATGCCAGTCACTGCTTTGTGGCAGTTTGTAAGGCACCGGATCAAGTATTACCGTATGTACCAAGTCACACTAGAAGGGCTAAAGTGAGTTGATGGTACAATTATAATGTAATCATTGATGCTGTGTGTAGCTAAATGCATTGAGAGTTATCGAAACGAACCACAGAAAGGGACATACTAAGAAGGAGGTCATGCTGAATTGTAAACGTCGACCTAAGAAACCTTGCAATCCAAAAATTCAGGCTGTAAAAATGAAGCCTTTTTCAATCAACATTCCTAAAATATCCATTGGGACGGAAAGGGATTTTACTCAAGACATACCTACCAATGTTAGTTTAAATTCTGATTCAGAGGTAGAGACCATTAACTCAATGATACAGGACCCTGCACAACAAACTGAAAAGGAATTAATGGATTCCAACACTTCAACAGCATTTGTAATAACGAGAATAGAGCCACGAGCTCTATTTACTGACAAACTAGAAGAATCCCAAGAAAAAGATATGCCTTCATGTTCTTCTGAAATGTTGGAGCAGGAGAAGGATAGTGCTGCACAAACTGAAGAAATGGAGCTTGTTAGCTCTAGATCTTGTATAGAGACTCCAATGATATTAGCAGAAGAGAACAAAGAGCCAGTAACAGAAAATCTACCTTCAATGATTGACACTGAAAGGACTAATGAACAAAATTTGAATGATTCAACATCATCAAATATACTTGAAACTTCTGCAGGAGCAGAAACAAGTACAATTGATGATGCTAGACCACCTGAAGGAGCATCTCAACAAGAGATGGGTATTCTAACTCATCTTATTACTGATATAAGAAATGAAGCATCTTCTAATCCCATTTGTAATGAGACTGTGAACTAAAAGATCACTTTCATTTCTGAAATAGCTCAGTTCAATGTGCTATTATAATTTTTTTCAAAGTATCTTATTTACATTTTGTGTTATTTTTTGTAAATAATTATAATTTAGTCATAATGGAAGTGAAAACTGAGAACAAGTGTAAAACAAATAGAAATTAGAGGATTTTTCGTTATTTTTGAAAATTTACAGAATAGCCACCAGTGTTTGGATCTTGCTCGAGTTTAAAATTGCTTGTTGAGAGTCCAAAAGGTTTCAAGACAGCATCACCTAGTTCTTTTAATTTACCAAACATCTCTGCCTTGAGTCTCTCATGTTGTTCTGTTATTTGTTGCGGAAGGCGCTACAAACCAAACAAAAATGAATTCAAATCTTCATACAAAGTGTCTCACCAATGCAGCTGCCCGAGCTATTGGTTGGTGTGGCTCAATCTCAAGCACTTTCTTGTAATCTGTTTTCAAAAAATAACTCAAACACTATATTTGTAAGATCCTAACCTTCAAGTGCTTCGTCTAGCCTCTCCAAGGCCTCGTAGGATTGCCCTCTTCTAATTAATGCCTTTAAATAGTCTGGCTTTAGTTCCAATGCTAAATACAGGGCAATATATTTTACTATTATAGCGCTTCAGAGATTAGCATGCAGCTGCAAAATTAAAGCTCTCTATCGCCATTAAGGGTGTGGTACTACTAACATACAAACTCAATTTCATATAGCAAAGCACCAAAAATCCATTTACTTTACCTTTAGTGCAATCTTCAACTACTTCTTCATGCTTTCCCTAATAAAAGGCATACTGAAGCTAGTTGCAAATGTTCATAATCAGCTCTTACCAGTTTAAGATAGCATGCAGCTCTGTTAGAGTGACATACTGAGACCTCCTGATCACAATTCGGTGGATAAACTTTTAGTGCTTCAGAATAATGAGTTATTGCTTGCTCAGTGTCTTAAGAGAGAGAGAGAGAAAGGGTTTTCACATTTTTCAGTAAGTATATGTCAATTGTAATACCTCCTTCCTTAAATGAAGCATTCCCCAGCTCCTTCAGTCTGTGGCCTTGTTCCTTCAATTCCTAATAATCATGTAAATATATATTTTATCTATTTATTTTACACCTAATCAAGTACACACCTTGATTTGTTCTTCAGTTAGTTCAACACTCTCTCCTTTCACTTCAACATCTTCACTCACGTAGCGATTGTCCACATTACTCACATACTCAACCTCAGGAGTCTCGCTTGATGTTGCATTATTAGACAATTCATGGCTGCTTCCACTGGTTTTTTGGTTTTGTTCGACATTAGAAGAAGCAGGACTTTCCTCTCCACTTTCTGTTACTTTTATTTCAGCTATTTTAGACGCCAGATCATTATTTTTTGTCTCCTGGTCCTCTTCTGCTGAGAGATATTCATCAGAGTCAGATTGATCCTCCATTTTCTTTTAGCTTTGGGGTTAAAATTAAAATCGGTGTGGTTACAAGTTAACCACGCCCTCATCAATGAAGTGATTGATTTGATTTTCATTTCACTCAACAAAAAAATATTAATTAATGATAATAATAATAATGATAATAATAATTGGCTACACAGAAAAGTTGAAAGCATTAATTTATCAGTTTTATGAAAGACAAGGAGAAGGAGATAATAAGAAATATGAACACAATTCTCTTCAAGTTAAAATGTTTTCTGATCAATGACTCTAGACCCATTCTCGTCATACTCCTTCTTGGATATCCATATCTTCTTGAAAGTATCTAGTGCTGCTAAGATGGATCCACTAGTGTGAAAATAATTCGAAAAAAATAATCACAAAAATTAAAAGTTTTTTTGATTTGAGTACACAATTGATACTACATGCTACATAGTCCAGTGTTTATCTAGTTTATCATTGGACTCGCCACGCTTGCGTAGGCGGGTACTAAGCAGTTGGGTTGTCATTCTGTCTGTCTGTCTGTCTGTCATTCTGTCACGAAAATTCCTGTTAATTCCTAGTCAATATCTTTTTTACTGAGCTCTCCTGAGTTATAATTCTTTTTAAGCTTTGAGAAAAAGATAATTTATTTAGCTCCATTGTATTTTCATAGCAATCCGTGGTAGCAAAAGCTGAATATTTTCAAGAATAGACCACTTTTCCTAGCCAAATCTTCGTGTTTCACTCTATTTGGTCAAGATTAGCATTGATAGGTAGAGAAAAGTACCTAGATTAAAAAATATGTGGGGATTTTCTAATCTCTTTTTTGTTTGCGAGTTACAGTTGCTCAAAGTTTGTGATTTAGCCTCTTCGAAAAATTTTCAGGCAGCACTGGGGAAAGCAAGAGCAACCAAACTATCTCAGTCTCTTTTAAATATCTAGGCAAATTTTTTGTGCTTGCTCTTTCTTTGAATAGAGCTTCAGATGCTAAAATAAATTTCAGCTTTTCTTCTTTCTCCTACCCACGTGCCATGTTTATCTGCACTGCACTGCACTGCAGTGCTAGGTGCTGACCACACCTATAATTTATTTTATGGATCAGTGCAGTAATTGGCTAATTGCATTGTTGCACTTTGTCAAAATCTATTATCCTTTTTTCAAATATCAAGTTGCTTATATAGTATAATATCATGATGGGGGCAGTACAAGTAACACATTATCCCTCAGGTGAATCTCAGCAGGCGAGTCCACGCACCATGGTGCTTCATTTTTGCTTTTAGTTCATTAGCCTGAAAAATTCAAACTCTGTCTCCTAATCACTTTGGGGCAATAAGTTTTAGTTCTATAAAAAAACTCTCCCAGTTCTAGCATACTATTGCATATTATTCTAGTTTTAGTCTACCAAAGTATTAAAAATGTAAAACAGTCCTAAAGTACATACATACCCCATCCATGTTGAATATATTCTGTCTTGAGGAGCAGATATCTGAAATATTTAAATAGAGAATGAGAGATGGTGGGGAATACATCATCACATACCCTAATTTTGAGTGAGTTTGGCGTTATTTTCTTCATCTCTGAAAGAAGTCTGTCGCCAAAACCTATCAGAAGTAAAAACTACAGTAATAATAATAATAATAATTTCACTGTACCTTTAAATAGAGTTGATCCTCCGGATAGTACAATACTTGAATAAAATGTTTTCCTAAGATCGACGTCACATTTCCTGATAGAATACCCAAGTACCTTTTACAAATTATAAAAACAATCAATAATAATTATTGGATTTATGGAGACTTTCTGACCTCATGGATGCCCTCTGTTTCTTCCCCGATGAGATGCGGCTGGAATAAAACCTCGGGCGCTCTAAAACGAGCCCGCCCAATCTAGAATTAATATTCAATGATGATAATAATAATAATAATAATAATAATAACAATAATAATAATAATAATAATGCACCTGTATAGTAGAGCCATCAGGCAGTGTATACTCCACAGGTTGTGAATCAGTCGATTCCTAAACAACAAAATAATGATATGAATAATATATGTACATGAACATGCAGTTAATGATGAACTTACATCTTTGACAGGTTGCAAAGAGACTTGACATATATCCTATATGATGCATTTTATTAATAAGTAAATTTATTAATATGTACACGTATCTGTATGTGTATGTATATGATACTAATAGTGTGTCTTTATAATATTCTCACTTCTTTCATAGTTCGGACAACTTCAAATTCAGCTGTTGTCTTAAAAATGTGTCCTTCCCTCCTCATTAGCAGCTGTAAGTGACGAGTGACATCCCTAGAAGAGAGAGAGAGAATGAGAGAGAGAGAGAATAAGAGAGAGATGGTATCATTATCATACCTTCCAGCAATATCAGATCTCATTATGGAGTGTGGCAGAGCAAATCCTTCGCATATTGGTACAGCGTGAGTGACACCATCGCCCGAATCAAGAACCACACCTGTTGTACGTCCTGTTGCATACCTAATTAATTGATGGGTGTGGTCAGTATATTAATTAATTAATTAATTAATAGAGGGGCTTCTCACAGGCTCAGTACTGCTTGTATTGAGACGTATAGAGCAGGTACATTGAATGTTTCAAAAAACACCTTTAAAAAGAAGAAGAGGATTTGAGGAGGTTTGTAGCTATACATGTACCTCAGCCGATCTGTATCTGTTCTTCCTTGGGTTGAGTGGAGCTTCAGTTAGCAGTACTGGGTGCTGGATATAAAAATAAATTAAATAATAAAATATAATAAAAATAATTGAGAGAATTAAAAGATATGACTTACATCTTCAGAAGCAGCATTTAGCTGATCCTTTGAATACATGTACTAAAGAAAATGACAGTTAAGGATACACTACCTTCCACCCTTCCCCTCTCTCCCTTCCCCTTCCCTCCTCTCCTCATTTACAGTCCATATTTGCTCCATGTCATTCCAATCAGTGACAATACCATGCTAAAAACAACAAACAAGTAAACACGCAAATAAACATATTATTTATTTATTCAAAATTATGTACCTCAATCGGGTAACGAATATTCAAAAGACCTCTATGCTCCTAATAATAATAATAATAAATATAAATTATAATTAATTAATCAAAGCTACGCCCACTTCTGCAGTCGGACCAATGAAAGTGGATCCCTCCAAACCTCCCGCCATTACTTTAACATGTTTTGGACGCCCCACACTACACAATGAGTCCATTAATAATAAGAAATAGAGAGAGAACTCACTAGCTGGAGAGGCGGACTCTAGGGTCTTCATCACCTGCAAAACCAGCTTTAATGACACCAGAGCCCTGGGGGAGAATTTAAAAAATAAAGTATTAAATATTGAAGAGATAAAGTGTGGATATTCTTACATTGTCAATGACAATAGGCTGACTAGTGATCAGGTCGTAAGACATTTTGGAGGAACTTTAAAAAGAGAGAGAGAAGAGTGAAAGAGCTTGTGTGAATATACGGAACAAATAGGAGTGGCTTTAAAATAAGCCACACCTACCAGTCGTAGTATCTCCGCCCATAGGTGGAGTTTTAATGCATTATGGCGTCATGAAGGATGAAATTATTTTCAGTATTCTTATCTCCTAGTCTGAGCCTCAGGAACTGCATGTACTTAACCCGTAGCCTCAGACTAAACTGTGGGATAATGAAATCATTTCTTGTTCAGGAGATTATTGTGAGACTTGCTTTACTTCTGGTATTTTGGTGAGTTTTACCAGCTAAGCTCCACCCCTCATTGTGTCTATTGTAGCTATCTGGAGACACTGGAGTCTTTTCATCGGAGCATACCCCAAGAAGAACTCTGGCGGTACAAGTACCCTCACCACGGGAGCACTGTATCCACACCAACCCTCTTTGTATGTCAAGATCATTTTTTATAATTACGCACCCGTTTGTAATGCAACAACTAATACCGGATTTCATTTATTTGTTTTTTTTTCATTTATTAATAGTTTGTGTCTGTGTGTCTACCAGCAGCCTTCATCCTCGCCTGTTACATCATATACAGAGACACAACTGATCTTATTCAAGGAACACTAGGTAACGATGGAATGATATTAATGATGATCTTTTGTATAATAATAATAATAATAATAATAATAATAATAATAATAATAATTTTATGTTGATATTATTATTAGGGCTTGCTTTGACTATGGTATTGAATGGTGTCATACTGAATGTAATAAAACTAACTGTTGGAAGGTGTGTCCGCATATATTTATTATTATATTATTTATTGAGCTAAGCCTCTACTAATCAAGTACATTGTCTTTGTCTGTACATGTACATGTACGTTTTGGCGTCACGAGGGGGAGGAACTCCTTAATGTTTTTATTACTATTATACTTGTAGATGTACAGTACATGTATTGTGTAGTCAATTTGTTTTTTGGTTATGTCATAGTCACAGGTAATTAAACTTGCTTGTGGCTCATTTGTATGGTCGCCACAAGAATTTATCCTATGAACTTTTCTCTCCCCCCCCTCTCTCTCTCTCCCCCCCTACCCTCTCTCTCTCTCTCTTCCCCCTTCTCTCTATCTCTCTCTTAAACACAGACCAAGGCCAGATTTCTTCTATCGATGCTTTCTTCACGGTGAGGCAACTCCCGATCTTCAGTGTAACGGTGACCCTCTTCTCATATCTGAGGGAAGAAAAAGTTTCCCTAGTGGACACTCGGGATGTGAGTGCATTAATTAGAGATGGTTAAGTATTGCAATTAATTAGAGCTAGTTGTGTTGTATTATTATTACTACTTAATAATCTTTAATTACATGTACACGTGCTGTATGATCATTTTTTAAGCATTATACTATACATGTACATGTAATTGATTATAAATTAGATTATTATGCATAACATACGGTACATGTAAGTGATGTGCTTTAATTAGGGATGTTTGCTGGTTTTGGTTACCTGAGTCTCTATTTGGCGGGAAAGCTTCATTGTTTTACACTTGAGGGGCGGAGCCAGTCGTGGCGTCTCATTACGGTATTAACTCCCCTCATATCAGCAGCTGTTGTTGGAATATCAAGAATACAAGACAATATGCACCACTGGGAAGGTAAGAATTATCATCCTGTGTTAAAACAACTTCATTTATTAATATGTATAAGTGTATATACATGTACATGTACAGTATGTCGTGTTTGAACTTTGAGCTCATTTTGATCCAAATTATATTTTTACAAACTTTTTAAAGTTGCTCAAGCAAAGACCATTTTTTTAAATGCTCATAAATTTAAAAATTGAAGTCGGAATCAGCTCAAACTTTCTACACAGCATAAGGACACCAATATGTATCAGAAAATGTAATAAAAATTTGGGGTAATTTCGGAGCCATTTTTTGAAAAACACCATGGGCGCCTTGGGTACTTTTCAGAATTTTGATGTTTTTTTAAATGGCCGTAACTTGAAAAATTGAACTCAGAATCAACTCAAACTTTTTACGCAGCAATCAATAATAATAAAATGTACAGTACATGTAATGAAAATTATTAGCCATTTGCTCTACAGCTCCACAATATTTGTACATGTACATGTACGTGGTATTATTACTTTTTTATTTTTTAATTTCCTTTAGATGTTGCTGTTGGCTCATTACTAGGTATTGTATCCATTCCACTATCATATAAGTGTTACCCATCACTCTACCACAGGTTTCTTAATGGCATTCATTTGCTATAGACACCATTTCCCTTCCATATTTGACACCTCCTCCTCCTATCCTTATCACTATCAAAGAATAGACTCCATTTCTCTACCTATTAACAGCAGTAGCTCCACTAATCTACCAACTGGTATGTTAACGCCGAATCGAAGCAGTCATCAAATGCCACTGATATCCAGTAAACTCCAGTTAAGTGAAGAGAAGACACTTTAACGAGAAGAGATCTACTGCTTTACATGTATAGGAGAATAAGGAACAGAATTATTATTTATTAATTTTATTTATTCACTCTGTTACTATTATTATTAATTAGTTCTATCTATTTCTTTCCCCTATTTGCATTATTTTTCTAATTCACAATTTCTAGTAAGCATCAAATAAACAATAGCAATGATAATAATAAAGAATAACATGAACACCAATAACTCTACTATACAATGTACTATAGCATTCCTATGTCACGTGTACATGTACTCCGGATTGTAACCATTACCCCACACACTTGTAAAGGATAAATTGTACACAGAGGTATGTCAGAAATTGACTCTAAGCTTGAGAGAGCGAAATGTGATTTTATATGATGGTACACTGTATGCCACGCCACATGTTACTAGTAACACATCAGTTCTCATTTATAATGTGTAGATACACACTCAGTGAGTGTGTGACTGTTGTAACTCTGTGGGCATTTGACTCAATAATAAAACAGTTGGAATTTGAAATATTTGATGACAAAAGCAATAGCTAGCAGGTGCAATGTCTAATTACTTATAGAGTATAGTACACACACTAACTACGGTATCAATGCAAAGCAGCTGTTTGTACCTGCGTAAGAAATAAAGATAAGTATTTTTACTATTTTACCATATACAGTCACACTGAATGATTATTAAAAATAATTGTTAAGATAGAAAGAGAGAGAGGGAATGAGTGTTTTATATGAAGCATAGAAACAGTTAAGGACATAAAACCGTTAACATAGGGAACTAGATTTATAGTTAAAACATATACAAAACAAATGTGGTGACTCGATCATTTCATAATTAGTATTACTATGAAGTTACTATATAGTTATTATTATTATTATTATTAATTATTTTTTAATATCTTTTATCTTTTAACCTGAAGATGAGAAAAGAGGGAGAGAGAAAGAGAGGGAGAGAGAAAGAGAGAGAGAGAGAGAGAGAGAGAGAGAGAGAACTAAAACTTTTACTGCCATTATTAAATCATTCTTACGGGAAGCTATCATCAAATGGCAATACGCCCAAGTCTTCCTCAAACTTCATTCTCCTGTAATACTGAGAGACCACTATAGAGAATATTATGATGGGGATCAAAAACACGGCACACATTCCTAGTGCCAACCAGAAACCGTTCTAAAAATAAAACAGAAAACATAAAAAAACAAATAGCAATATTTCATGAAGGGATACACCCAAACAAATGACATAAACACATTCCTATATTAATGACAGATAAACAATGACATAAATAAACAATGTACATGTACAGACAGGTAGAGATGACAGATGGTTCCATGTATGTATAATAATGGATGACTGCTTACCAGACCATCAAGTGTAAATTCACAGGCAGCGTTATAAAAACCAGTGTAGACAGCATATACTGGATAACAGTTACCGACCTCATTCTCAAGCTATTTGGAAAGAATAACAAAACATTATTATACACATACATGTACATATATGTACATATATACATTTAGCTGGATGATCTGGTATGTTTTGAGCAATGGTAAACTGTAATTTCTACATAGCAATATCAATGAAGCTCACTAAATTTAAAATTTCCTTTTCAACTATCAATTAATATACTACAATAAACTGGCAGAATACAATGTACATCTATAAAAAATTGCGACAAATCTAACTTCACACTGTATTTTATAAAACTATGAAAATTACCAAATTTAAGGTACATGTACATGTATAGTCGTAAATACATGTATCGTGTGATTTTTAACTCACAGAGTGAAGTGCGTGATCAACCAGCTGCTGTCCGTACCCAATGGCTCTTGGGAATACCGTCTCTATACTCTATATAAGGAAAGGGTTTGAAATGGAGTTGAAAATTAATTAACGTGGGCGTGATTTAACTCACATCTACGAGTGGGTTGATTCCATTATCAATTAGTCTGTCGAAAGTTTGATTGATATTAGTTAAGAGAGCGTTCACACCATTCTAGGGGGGGGGAGAGAGAGAGAGAGAGAGAGAGAGAGAGAGAGAGAGAGAGAGAGAAGTGTATCAAAAAAGATGACTGGTAGCAGACAAGAATCAATAAATTTAGAACTCACCTGCAGTAACATTGTGTTGTTCTGTAGGACTGTTACAAGTCCAGTGAGATTATCCTAAACAATTTTAATAATAATAATAATAATAATTATTATTATTATTATTATTATTATTATTATTATTATTATAATTTTAATAATAATAATAAATATTCCAGGACTTACAGCATCTCCTTGAATGGCAGCAGTTGTGTCATCAATTGTCATCAATTGACTAATGATACCATCAGTTTGATCAGCAAGATCTCGGCCTTGTGGAAGACCCTATATACATGTAAGTAAACATAATTTTAAGGTCGCCTCTATAATTTTGTGGATCAAATACAAACATTTTGATGCCTTAAAAATAGTATAAAACTTTGAAGTAGTGTATTAAACTCATTACTAACTTACACTAGAGTTAAATTCATTTCTAAGTGCTGTCAACTGCTCAATTTGTTCTGTCACATTAAAGGACAGTATAGCTCTGTTCAGCTGTTCAGAAAATTGTGTTATGTTGATGCCGCCTACTCCAGTTCCGTCAAATCCGTTCAACCGGTCCTGAACGTCCTGCGGTACGAAGGTGTCCCGACTAATAAGATCAGAGATGTTGCTAGCAAACCCACTGACTTCACTTGAGACATCTGGTACCAACTGTATCGAGAAGAAATAGGAATAGAAATGAATATATAAGAATATACATGTAATATTATGGTGTGTGGGAATGTGGTGGGGATGAATTAAGCTCAGATTCTAAACTCCAATTTTTCACTGTGGGCAGCTCTAGTACATGTGTGGTTGCTAAAATTTCAATCATAATTACATGCTTTAAAATTTGTTAAAAATTTGTTAGAAATTTGTAAAGACAGTAGTTTTTGTACAGTATTTATCAAAACAAAGCTTTAGTCCGTGGCAGGTCACTTACTTGGGATATATTTGAGAAATTAACGACAGCCTGAAAGTACGAAGAGTCATTCAGTTTAAGCGCCTGGAATACAGTGGTGTTCCCATTGCTGCAGTTATTGAGTATGTCAGAGAATGCAAGACGAATGGAGCCATTTTGTAAAATAAACTGAGAGAGAAGATACTCCCCACCATTGATAGAAGGATTGTCAACAGTCTAAAGAGTAGATTTTTTTTTAATATTTAAATAAGTATAAAGAATAATAGTTGTCATTACATTGTTGATCAGTATGTAATCTGGTCTCTCGAGGTCATTACAGAATTTTTCTAAGATTCCTCCAGAGAAGAAGACAAGTGCAGCAAGCAACATTAAGAACGCACCAAACAGAAATCCCATGATAGCGGCACTAAAAAATAATCACACCCACCAATTAAAACCATGTACAATAATTATTGCAGACCACACCCACTAATTAAGTATAAACCACACCCACTAATTATAAACCTTACAATATTAAAGTGACACCTCCACAGTTGGAGAGATCTGTTCTCTCGTAAGGAGCTCTGTCAGTTCTGAAGCCACAAAGGCCACAGATGAGACCAATGAATACAATTATAACAACAATCACTGAAGAACAACTTATGATTATACCAACAGCATATCTAGAAGAAAGGAAAGAGAGAGAGAGAGAGAGAGAGAGAGAGGGAGGGGGAGAGAGAGGGAGGGAGAGAGGGAAATAAAGGGATATAATCGTGTACAAGTACATGCACCCCACACACAAACACGCATGCACATGCATACACAATAGTAAATAAAACAATTCAAACATGCCAAGTGAGTGTGTGTAAATCCACTGAGATTAACAAACACACACACTGTTAGTATACATACTGATGTGATACAGGAATTATTACACTGTTAGTATACATACTGACGTGATACAGGAATTATTACACTGTTAGTATACATACTGATGTGATACAGGAATTATTGTTAGTACAAATATTCTTAATGTAAGGCATACACTAGCTAATATTACTACAGATGCCTCGGGGGGGGTATAATATGAAGGAAGTATCTATGGCCAGAGGGAAACTACATGAATCAACTTGTGTACACAACATGCAGCTGCACTTATAGTAGAAATTCTAACACAATATAATGAATCGTATTTCAAATATGCTAGCTCTCACTATAATATCTGTGTAACATTTCCAAGTAGTTTTAGTTTTGGAGGAATAAAATCAGGCAATTTTTTGTGATTGAAGGTTTTAATTTGCATTGAGAAGTTCAAAATTTGACAAATTTATGGCTATCTTACATACATGTACATGTATCATACCTGGGTGTGTCATATCGTCTGATATAGTTAAATCCATCAGTGACTACAGTTCTAGCATCATCAATGTAACCAGATGATCCAGTGATATTGTTAGCAATTGATCTTATTGTATCACTAGTGTTGAATACAGTAACACGGAGTGTGTCAACAGCTTCATTAAGTTCTGCAATATACATGTAATTTTAAAACAGCGTAACATAATAGTACACGTACAAGTATATTAAAATCCTAGCCATTTTTGATAAATCTGGCCCCATTTTTGAGCAGTTTTAAAAATTTGTAAAAAATTAAATTTTAATCGGAATGAGCTTAAAGTTGAAAAACAATGTAAACACATGTATATGTACCAGAAAAAATTATTAAAATGTAGAATTCTCTTCTTTCAATTTTCAGCAAAATTTGGGCAATGACCCTGTACTATAGTTATGCCACACACACATATATATTCACATGTACATAACATTACCGTATAGCCAAAAATTTTCGAGGCTTAAAATTTCGTGAATAATGAAATTTATGAAGAAATTTTAAATTCCGTGATAAATATTTTCGTGATTTCATTTTAATAATAATAATAATGACCACGCCTTATTTAATTAAAACATGGCAGATTCAATGTTTGAGACGGACTCTTGTGTCAAGGGGCACCATGTCTACAAATCAGTGTGGACACCAGAGATGGGGAAGATCATCATCTTTGACCTAGGCAGTATGCTTAAAATAGCAATACAGAGTAACAGAGACATCAGCTTGACCGAGAACACGACTTGACACGAGGGCACGTTTATTAGTAAGGTGTGGTTAACCATGCCTCTCAATTAATATTAATTTTCAGGGGTTTAATTTTTTGTGATGCAAACAGTGATCCCGAAAATACAAAAATTTATTCCTCATGAAATTTTTTGGCTATACGGTATTTTATTTCTGTAATTTATTTATTTAATAGTATGTTGACTATAAAAAAACTATGGTACAGGGACTTTGGCCCAAATTTTGAGCAACTTTAAAAATTCGTAAAAAATTTAATTTTGATTGGAGTGAGCTCAAACTTAAAACACAACATAAGTACCTGTATATGTATAAAAAAACCCTATAAAAATTAGGAATTCTGTTGTTTTAATTTTTGGCAAAATTGGCTAAAGTCCCTATTATACATAGTACAGGGACTTTAGCCTAATTTTTAAGCAAGTTTAAATAAAAATTTATAAAAACTTCAATTTTGATTAGAATCAGTTCAAAATTGATACACAACAGAAGGACATGTATATGTATGAGAAAAATAGAAAATGTGATAATATTCTGTGCTAAGTCCATATACATTGTGAAATCATCAGTAAAAGAGTATATTATACTGTATTGTGAGCTAACCTGTATCGGCATTGCTGGTGAAATTCCTCAACTCACTCAGCGCAGAATTAAATGTATCATTACCCTACATGTACACATGTAATTTACAAAAAGGAAGTAATTAAAATAACTAACATATTCCTTAAATCACATGATCCCTGACACAAAACTACTTCTACTCTTTCTCCCCCTCCTCTCTCTCTCTCTCTCTCTCTCTCTCTCTCTCTCTCTCTCTCTCTCTCTCTCCCTCCCTCTCCCTCCCTCCCTCCCTCCCTTCCTCTCCCTCCCTCCCTCCCTCCCTCCCTTCCTCTCCCTCCCTCCCTCCCTCCCTCCCTCTCTCCCTCTCCCTGACCTCTCTCCCTCCCTCTCTCTCCCTCTCCTCCCTCCCTCCCTCCCTCTCTCTCTCCCTCCCTCCCTCCCCCCTCTCTCTCGCCATTACCTGTTTAGCTAAGTCAGTAAGGTCTATCTCTCCTAGAAGATTCTGGACATTTTGTAACTCACCAGTAATGTTAGGAAGCTAATATAAAAATAAAGAAAGAAAAGGAGAGAGAGAGAGAGAGAGAGAGAGAGAGAGCAGCACATGTTGAAGTGTACATTACATAAAATAAACAACATAAAAATAAATAATACTGCTTCACAAAATACACAAAAACACAAACACATACAAAGAGAGTAGCAAGTGAATGTTAAAAAAAACAACAATAAAGTACAATATGAAACAAAAAATATCACAGATACTATACAGTACACAAAAAACACACACACCACGTGCAAATATACACTACACCACATGCATAATTATATAATATTCAATCATACTTGATTATAATCAGCTTCTAAACCATTCTGAAATACTGATGCATCCAACTGCGAACAATCTAAGCTACCAGGAAATGCATCACATTGCATACGAAGATCAGTTACTGATGCAGAAATATTTTGTAGAGTATCATTGAGTCTGCTAGAGCTCATTTGTAAGACTGTGACACTGGTACTCATATTACCAAGAGTAATCTGTACTGCCTCAAGAGCTAAAGGAATGCACATGTTAAAATAGCTACAGATAATTGTACAACTATTATATTACATGGAGCACAAGAATCCCTTTAATTATACGTACATAAAAGTAAGAAATGGATCAACATGTGCTCTGTATGTTTATTTTTGATCTATTCGAACAAATAAACTTAAATTTTTTCTTAATTGCTCATTGTTTATCTAATGTATCGACCTACATGTACTTGCATGTACATGTACATGTATATACCGTATAGCAGGTAAATTTGGAGGAGATAAAATTTGGCGAATTTGGCGTTTTAATAGCCATTCACCAAAATAAAAATCTGCCATTTTGAGCCATTATACACATGCTCAATGGCACATGGCCACAATTTTGCCAAATTAAAACCCACCAATCACCAAAATTTTGGCAATTTGCCAAATTTTAGCCCCTCCAAAATTACCCACTATACGGTACATGCACATGTATTATGTTGTAAAACTACATGTACATGTAGTTTTTAATGGACGCACACAATAACCATTTGGCATGGAGCACGACATCAATTATCATTAATTAAATTTACCTGATGACAGATTAATGGTCCTATCAACAACAGCGTATACATCAGAGCCAAAATTATTAACAACGCCATCAACCTGCCGCAACAGACCTGTAAACAACAAAATAACAAAATAACAACAACAAACAAACAAACAAACAAATACGTATTTATTTATAATCTGATTCATATGCATGAAGTTTGAACAGGCGAACGGTGCGATAATAAATAAAATAAAATAATGATGATAATGATGATGATAATAATAATAAATAAATAATAATAATGATGATAATTATAAAACCGGACAAAAATGTGTTCAAAGGATGTGACACACACAATATATATACACAGACACATTCAAGGTATAGTAAACAGAAAGGAGGAAACATAAAAATACTAGCTACACTGTGTAACATGTAACTTAATATGCAATAAGTACATTAATAAGTTAACTATAATTAGCATTAAAAATGTACTAGTAAATAAATCCTTTTTCCCTCTTACCTCGTGCCTGATCTACCGTTATATCCAAAGTATCGTTGAGTTGGCACAACAAAGTGTCCACTTTCTATACAAAGGAGAAGGATATAGTCACATGACAAGGACCATTCACAACAAACACACACCTGCTACTGATGACTCATGTACACATACAATGCAAATCAAATAAAAATTACACTAATACTATAGTAATAGCTGGCCATAATAAGTCAATGCTTTCCATCACTCCCTAGTGTATTGTCTGTCATGTGTGTGATTATGATAGACTCCATGTGTTAAATTTATTACTACCGGGTCAAGGAAAGTGCTGGCATACATGCAATATTCCAATATCGTTGTATTTAAAGCGTCTGCTAACATTAATAGCTAATAGTAGCAGCTGCTTACCGCGACCGAGTCGTTGACAAAGTTCTCGGCGAGAGTGAAAGTGTCACTAATGGTGTCCTCGAACTCATTCACGCTGTCGTAGACCCTCTGGTTACTGAAGAATGAGAGTACAATACCAGCCCTACAATGAATATGAATAATAATACTAAGAATTAACATTAACAATACTTGCTATATAATATACAAGTACACGTATATTAAGTTTGAAAGTACTAATATTATGTGTCTTATTGTAAATACTCAGATTAATATACTTCTATAACTGTACTATCTATTGTATTATAGTGTGGCTATGTATATATATATGCATTGCTATACAAGTATTGTGTTTAAAACAAGTGAATGCTTATAAATACAATTTTAATGTGTATAAGGGCCCAAGGGAGGGAGGGGGTACTCATTTCTTACTAATTAAATTATTTGATACAATACACATTAAGATATGTATATATGCATCTCTCTCTTGTCACACTACAGTCTGTGTTATGACCAGAAGAGGCTCCTGTAAATGACATCATATAAAAGAGAAATGTCCAACTTGTTTTATTTACACGTACATTATTATTACAAAGACTTCTGGTCGTAACAAGCAAGACATTGTTAGCCCTTCTCCCTCCCTCCCTCCCTCTTTCACCTCCCTCCCACCCTCTTTCTCCTCCCTCCCACCCCTTCTCCTTACATCAGTCCACATACAAACAGAATGAGTATTATCGTAAATACAATCGTCAGGCAGTTGGTACGATTCGTCTCTTCTTGCTTTAGATTCCCACCACATTTGCCACAGCAACGACACAAAGAGAAACAAATGCAGCAGAAACAAAAACAGAATGAGAGGAGCCCGCCCAAGACAGTAAGAGCTATGATACCTGCCCACCATCTTGTGATCTACAAGTATATGTACGTATTTAAATAATTTTAATATTCTATTATCCTCACATCAGTCAGTAGCATGCTAGGCTCTGGTAGACTACTAGAAAAGCTTGTTATATTGTCACCAAGAAGAGGGACCAAAATATCTAAGGAATTGGGTGGTGGAGGAAAAGAACATTGGATCAATTAAGATACTAATATCTACAATATACCTTCTGTAAAGCTACCGGGTCTGGCTACGTTAATAATGCCAGAAGATATGGAGTACCAGGGACCAAGGGCACCTGGGTCATAGTCGACATTAGTGGGAGGACTGTCTGTTGGAAACGGAGCGAATATTAACGTGTCGTTATCATTTGAGGAGACGTTAGCCAGCGGGTAACTGGGACATTGTAGAGACTGGGAGTTCACTGTGCCTACTAACAGATAAGCAACCAGCGGGAGAAGAAGCAAGTTCCTCATAGCAGAAGAATACTATTAGTCTGTAGTGTGTATCCCCTCTGTTCAGTGGAATGGAATGATCGGGCAGCTGAGGGTGTGGCTACTTATTATAATGAATAATTCATATTAGGTAAGTCCCATGTATCAGAATTTAGATCCTTCAATCATTTAAGCTGTCTTTTTAGCATTTATGATCATTATGAAATCCATTAATTAATATTATTAGTAATGAAAAGTGTTTGTGCAAATTTTTGGAATACGAAAATATTAAAAAAGATATAAAAATACACAAATAGATGAAGGCGATAAATAGATAAGGTTTAAGTGGGATGGGGTTTGTTAAAAATGTCATAAAAAGTGCACACACAATACAAAATAAGAGTAAAACAAAGAAGACAAAATCAAAAATAATGATAATAATGATAACAATAATGATAATAATTACTCTATTTATTTAAAAAGTCGATAGCAGACTGTGCAACAGTCCCGCTAGTCAGATCAGTTGCTTCAACTTTAATTTCCGTGTCACCGAACATCATCGTTATCTCAAGTTCGCGAGACTTGCCGCCAGTCGTGTCGGGCATTTCTAAATAAAGCTCACCCGTCCGTCGAACCCCAGGGTCAGTGGTATACAGTACATGCTCTTTCTCGCTGCTATAGATCCCAATCACTGTCGACGTCTGGTACGATTTTGCTGGAGTATATCGACGGGTTACCTTCTCTCCCATTGCAATCGATTGGTCGACGGTCACGAAAGTATCAAATATATCGGTACACCACTCCACGCCGTCTTTTTTTATCCGTTTCTCGGGTTGGTGCTTGCCGGGTAGAAACCTGTTCAGGACTCCAACTCCGTATGTTAGTGCTGAGCGTCTTACTCTAACGACTGTAGGATCTAATCCAAACATGACAGCTCCTTTTAGTATAGTAAGACCAACGTCCTGTGGTATGATGACTCTCATTTCGCCTGAGAAAGATCGTCTAATTTCATTCTGGAGTAGAGGTGACTCTGCAAATCCTCCTACCAAGAATAATAGTTTGACGGAGTCGAGCTCAGGTTTTCTCAATAAGTCTGCAATGTGTCTCACTATATCGTGTGTTACTGGTTCAAAGAGAGCGTGCATTGCTGCCGGTGAAAGTCGGAGCATTCCTTGCGAGGACCACCTGATGTCTTTATTACCGTATTTCTTGATGGCCGTCTCTACAGAGTGACCTTTGAGTTTCTGATAGTGTTCTATGAATGAGAAAGGGAGGGATATGTTGAGAGGTGTGGCTTTTGCCGGATTCGCCGTCCTCTTCTTTGCCTCGAATGCAATCATCAGGTCGACCCAACCGGCAGGCTTTGTGTTCTTAAAACTAACCACGAAATCGATGCCAAATATTTTGATGAGAAGGTTCTCAAATTCCCTGTCAACTCCGACGGCACCCCAAGCCCCACCAGAGGCTTTATAGAGTTCCTTCAGAGTCCCTGCTCCTTCTAATTCATGGACTGTGAGATCAACTGTACCGCCCCCACAGTCAACGACTATATATCGAGTCCCGGCTTTAAATTCAGCCGAGACTGGTACTCCAAAACTTGTGTTACTTACGCGACGAAGTGACTTCAGTTGGCTAGTGCTCTGACTGTAGTCTTCTTCTGGAACAAGTTCTCTTAGCTTCAATTTCCGACAGTAAATGGACGCTGCCTCTGGTTCCAGTGCTATGAGGAGCTGACTTGGATTAGCTAGACTCGCTAAGCCGGCCTAAAAATTTTAATATATTTTTTATTTAAATATTTTAAATAATAATAAATAAGCTATGCATTCTTAGAACATGCAAGTACAAGTGAAAGGTAAGTGGCTAATTACATAAAAATTTTATTATTGTCATAGTTATTTAACTGGGTTGGTTAATTTTAAAAGAAAGTACGTCATTAAGTATGTTGTAATTTAATGATTTTAAAATAACTAGCTCTAAATTGTTAGCTTTGAAGTCAATTAAACTCATGTCAAGAGTCATGAGAAAGCATTTCATTCATAATTGCAAAGGTCAATACTCATCATTCGTGACATCAATTAGTACATGGTCATGCACTTTACACACACACGCATATACACACACTTCATTACTAACAATTTTAACAAATCAAATTCAACAGTAAGCTATATAATTAATAATGTTTAGAAGACCACATGAAAGAGCCTTTCAAAAGTATCGCCGGAATATTTAATCCGCATACTTGGTACATTAAACCAGTTTCTTTGATGATGTAACACTGCATAATGAACCACAGCTGCTTTAAAAGATACGTTATACGACTAAAAGTCGGTAACCTGGTTCGTATAGCTATAAAGCAGCTCTTTATGTACCAGGGATAACACACTAACCCTAATACGTGATAACAAATTGGTCACATCACTCTGTACATCATTTACAGCATCATATACATGTGGAGAGTGTGTATGAGCAATGATAGTCTCTTAAACCATTTCATAAGCATGTAATTAAACATTTCACACACAGTAAACACACTCACACCACACAAGAACTACAAGCCATGCAGATAGCACACACATACATACATGCATACACCATTCCTAGTAGTTAACTTACATCATATGCTGCTTGTCTCATAAACTGTTTTGCTGGTTGTCGCCATATGGCCGGGACTGTGATGACCCATCTTATGTCATCGTTGACTATTCTTGTCGAGGATTGATCTGAGAGCTCTTGTAGACAGTGATCCTTAAAGAATCTCAATGCATGAGAGAATACGGTCAATGCTAAAGTCTTCTTTCCATTGGCGGCAGTCAGCTCTACACCTTTATGGAGGTCCTACACAAAATTGAGAGAGAAGAGTGACCACACAAAAACAGAGACACACAAGCTGTAATAGCTACTGTGTGATAAATTAATGACTGTATTAATAATGATAGTAATATAGTTTACACAGTGATGCCATTCCAATTAGTATTGGGTTCAAATCTACACCTACCTGGCTAGAATGCAATGTCATCTTAAACTTTTCAAAATAGGACCACTTCTTTGCTTCACTCTCTTCAAGGTCGTGATAAAAATCCCTTGCGCTGAAACCGAATGAATGAAACTCTCCATTCGGCTTTAGCAGAAGTGATGTTGGGGTCTACGAATAATCAAAGAGGCAGATTATGAAAAATATTAATAATAAACATTCCAGTCATAAGACAAAGTAGAACTTGGGTATGGACTTTAAACTTTTATATCTTGTACCTTCATATTAGTAACGCCTGGGTCACCTCCCTCCCATTTGCGCATCATATGCACACTGTCTGAGTCTCTCAGAAAAGCAAATGCATAGCCGCTATATGTAGTCCCAAAGTCGATTGCTGCTACTACGAAATGCTTGTCTGGATCCGGTCTCGTGGATATTGTGCCTCCGGGCGTTGGTACAGGAGGGAAGCCGTTATGACGAGTGTTTGTAACAGTAGAGGACTCCTCTGGACGCTCATAGAACTGACCGCTAGTAGCCATTTTTTGCTTCTAAAGCAGAGACTGGTCAGACTACATGAGAGAGAGAAATAATACAGGAAGTCGTCCCATGGTCGCATACCAGAGAAACCCACACAGTGCAATAAAGTGGGCGTGTGCTCCTGCATGTGTGAGGCTGGGAGTGTGTGTGGCTCTGAAGTCCGACTACTGGCAGTTACTATAAACTGCAGATCATCGGCATCATTCCATGCAGAAAGCACATTTACATTTAGGATGACAACAAAAATGGCAACAAGTACTTCAAGACTCAGCGGTGAAAGCGGCTCGTCTCCGTCGGCTAAGAAAACCAAGAAGTCCATCTTATCAACTTCAAAATTGTCCAGTTCAAAACTAAAGAAAACAGAGCAAAAGAAAAGAATGATCCAGGACTTGGCTAGCCGTATCCCAACCTGTGAGTATTCTGCTGTTGTGGCCATCGATTTTGGTACCACATACAGCGGGTACGCTTATGCTTTCAGTTCTGACCCAACCAACGTTAGAGTGATGGATCCGCGGTACCTCGGTGTAAAATCCAGTTATTCCCCGGCACAGCAACCAACGGTACTATTGTTATCTGAAGATGAAGAATTCCACTCATTTGGAAGCGAAGCACAAGAATTTTACAGAGACCTGGACGAAGAGGAATGTCTCAAGTGGTTGTATTTCGAAAAATTTAAAATGGAACTACACACAAGAGAGGTACAGTCACTGTTTTCCCATTAAACTTTATTTTACTTTAATTTTTACTTAAATTTGCAGAATCTTTACGACGGCATGGAACTGATTGCTGCTAACGGACAAACAGTCTCAGCTTCTAAAGTCTTCGCTCATGCTCTACGCTATTTCAAAGTACTGAGCCAGAGAGAACTAAACGACCTATCTACATCTCCGCTACGAGTCTCTGATGATGACATCCAATGGGTCATCACCATACCTGCAATATGGCGACCGTCTGCAAGACAGTTCATGAGGAAAGCTGCAATTGAGGTATTTGAACTCATGACATATGACATGACACGATATTACATGCATGCAGACTTGTTATCATTAGTACTAGCCGGCTTAGAGTTTGAACTTTGTACTGACACCCTATTTGTCACACACACATCTGTACGTTGCAGTATACGTACAATGTATATCATGCATGCACATAACAATCATGACATGCGTGCTTTCATGTTCACACAGACCATAAATTGGACACACACACTCTATACAAACACATGTAAATACTCTTATTGGTATGACCAATGTAGTGTGTAACGCACTCCTTTAATTTGATTTTAGGCTGGACTCGTTACAACTGCTAATCCTAAGCAGCTCATTCTAGCACTGGAGCCAGAAGCGGCTTCGATATATTGTCAGCAGCTACAACTCCGCGATTGCATCCCACAATCGCTGCATGCTGAGACTCAACGAACCCCGTACCAAATCTTTTCATCTTCCTCCACCTCCTCTTCACCTTCATCATCACCATCAGGTAATACACACTCGGGAATGACTGGCATTCATAGTAACTCCAGTCCATATCAACACTGCTATAACTGCTATGCTTTAATCTTTATCTGAAGCATACCATTGCTCGATAGCACCTAGCATATGATGCTAATCAATAATCATCTCCATATCATATCATACACAAAGGTTTTTTTGCCTCTATTACTAAAATACTTACTTCCTATATATAGATGTAAATATTTAATGACATTATAATCCAATTTTGATGTTTGTTTTCCCCCTGCCTGCCAGATATGATGTTGGCCCATATGTCTTCCACATGCTTCACATATTGTGTGCTCATACTTTGTTCAATGTACTACCTTTTAGGGACCAAGTGTAATGTTACATCTAATCATCTTTATTAATTGCACCAATTATAAAATTAGAGCTACTTTTATTAATGATAATTATTTTAATAGTTTTAATTTTAACAACATCAATAATGATACCAACAACCGATTAATTTTTGTTTATTTTTATCATTACAGGTAGCCCTGGTCATCCATCATCAGCCTCATCTTCTCCTAGTCTAAGCAATTCTTCATCAATAGAAGCACTACCAAGCTACTTACCAGCAACTAGCCTCCTCCCTGGTACCTCATACATGGTAGTGGACTGTGGTGGTGGGACTATAGATCTCACTGTTCATTACGTCGAAGAGAATGGGAGCCTCAAAGAGATATGTAAGTCCAGCGGAGGTGCCTGGGGATCTATTGGAGTCGACTGTCAGTTTGAGATGATGCTAGTCTCGATATTTACCGAGAAATTGATCCAGGAATTCATCGATCATCATCCTGTGAGTTGGCTCGAGCTCATGAAAGGTTTTGAAGCAAAGAAAAGAGCGTTTAATCCTCTTAGACACCACGCCTCGAACATCTCACTCCCATTTGCACTCATCCAACACTACACGAGTAAAACAAGACGATCAGTAGAGCAAGCCATTCGTATGTATGGTGACCCTGATGTCCAATGGTCGTCACAGGGGATGCTTCGGCTACTAACACCAGCAATGCTAAAGCTCTTTAATCCGGTCATATCAACAATAGTGAAGCACATCCAAAGAATCCTATCACACTCATATCTTTCACAACATGTCATAAAATATCTATTTCTAGTCGGTGGGTTTGCCGAGTCCCCTGTACTCCAATCGGCCATTCGTGACGCCTTTGGTTCTTCAATGAATATAGTAATACCTCACGATATGAGTTTATCAATACTAAAAGGTGCTGTACAATACGGGCTCAATCCCAGAGCTATTAACATCAGGCGATCCGTCCTCACGTACGGAGTTGCATGTCTGCACAAGTTTGATCCAAGCATTCACCCGATTGAGAAGAAAGTGTCCAAAGATGGGACCGATTGGTGTACTCAGATATTTGACGTTTTCGTACGAACGGACCAACCGATCCCTCAAGGCCACAGCATCACGCGATCTTACAAACTAGCTCGTTCGTCTCTCCAATCAACAGTACTTACTCTATTTGCGTCGCAGAATAAAGACGTGAGGTACGTCACTGATCCTGGCGTCAAGAAAATCGGCGAGCTACACCTTGGCCTCCCCTCTCCAACTCATTCTTCCGGTCCCGAGGGCAAACTGCGTGAAGTGAGCATGACTATGACTTTTGGTGATACTGAGATATCAGTAAAAGGTAGAGATCCTGATAGCGGACATACTGCTCTTGTACAAATTGACTTTTTGTGTAAAAAATAGAATCATCGTGTCGCATTATTGACTGAGAGGTATGGAGGAACATAATAGCCTGTCTCATTTTGTGTGTTTGTGTGTGTTTATTGAAACTTTGTAATTTTTTATTTTGTATTAAAAATCATTATTATCATTGTTACATATATATTGATGAGTTAAAACTTATACACAACAGCTAGTAAAAACGGCTAAAAACTGCTTTAAAAATTACATTAAAAATCACTGATACTACGAGTATGTGTTCTTTTAAAAATGAGCTTAAAAGTGGCGACCTTTACTAAGTGAAATTGGTGTGTAGGATCCTTCCAGCTGTTTGGCAGAAATGATGCCGTCATTTAAGAGAGCTGTATGTTGCATAAAATAAATAATAATGAAATGTACTTACATGTACTTTATGAATTGCATGGTAAGATAATAAGATTGCATAAATATTACTATATAGTACCAGCAAATTAAAATAATATAATTATTACTGTGCATTTACTTATTACTGGTGCTATACTATGGATTGACTTACTGAGCATGTCCAGAAATTCTGAAGCTGCTTTGGCCCTCGGTGTTGAGACTGGGACCAAGTCTTGAAACAAGCATTCATCATTCTCTCTCAGTCTCTTTCTATTTAGAAGACCAAGGAAGCAAGAAATGACAATAATATTATAATCACAAAGTAGTAATATATAATAATATTAAGACCTTAATTTATTTTCAAAAGGACAATTAAAATCATAATAGCTATGCAACGACTCTTGACCGTGACTGGCATCAATGTTGTCAATGGAGGAAGGTTCTTCTTCATCAGGTATGGGAGCTAGCTCACCAACTCGATGCCTTCCAGGTACTCCTCCCACACCATCTCTAAGGGACCTGCTGTAATAATAATAGTAATCATCTTAATATTATCACAATTATTATTATTATTATTATTATTATTATTATTATTATTAGCAATCAAAATTATTAAAATTGATGAATTTGTAAAATGCAGCTACCTACTTTTTAGAATTTTGCATTATGGAAGATTCACCACTTACGTGGCTTTGTATAGCAAGTTCTAAAATTAAAAAATAGACATTAATAATTGACAATTACGTCTCAAAGTTAATTTTTAATTGTCGTACCACTAGGTCCATCAATTGACGCCGTCTCTGTGATCTTCCTCTGAAATTCAACGCTTTTGTCAACAACAGTGGATGTAGCTTTTTGTTCCGTTTTATTGAAAAAGACACTGGCTTTAGGAGAATTTAGCAACTTATCCCAAATGACACGGAAATGAGGCAAAGCCAGTACTAAATAAAAATATATAATTGCAAACCAAATATATAAAAATTAATAAAAATGGAGAATTTTCTCTTATATATATATTTATGGCAAAATATTTTTGAGCAACTTTAAAAATACGTAAAAAATCCAATTTTGATCAGAATGAGCTCAAACTTGAAAGAGAACATAAGCACAAGTATATGTACACGGTGTATCAAAAAACTATAAAAATAGAGCACATTCTCCCTTTAATTTTTGACAATTTTAAAAAATTAATGAAGACAAAATGCTCTTTTATACATGTATATTTTATTATAGTCTCCAATTACTTATTACTGGCTGCTTTTAATGCAAGGAATGAACTATGAAAAGCTACAACTTACTCTCACAAGTTGGTCCTTGAAATAATTCTTTGGATGTCACCTTCTTAATTAGTGGTTCGGAACTTCGTAGGTACAGGGGCTTATCATCTCTCTCATATTCCATGGCTGGTATTTCTTTTATTACGTCAATAGCTGAAACTGGTTTCTTCCTTCTTTTTCGATGCCCTCCCTGTTCCATATCGTCTATTGGTTCTAAAACAAACTGATCAAATTTGGAATAAGAACTGTGCTTAATTATGGGAGCAGCAGCCTATGAAAAGAACAAAAAATAAAAATTTAATACCATGTAAGTGTACATGGTCAAAATTTCAAAGATGAAGAAAAGATTATAAATGCTAACGTCTCGTTTTAGAGTATCTTTTGATGAGCTCTTAATCCTATAGCGATTTCTTCGTTCCTCTGCTTCCTCTTCTGTTTCAGGAACTGGAGGAGTATCAGGAACAGCCAATACAAAACCACCACTAGTCTACATAAGGAAAAAACATTTTGAGGATTTATGAGAGCATGAAGGAGATAACTTAAGCATTCAAGATAGTACTAAAAGGATGTAAAAAGCCAAGCTAGCAAAGATTATTTATGATTGCATTAGCTATTTCCTTTAAATAGTATCATTACTTTAATAGTTTTACAAGCATCACTCCTATCAGGTAAGTGTATCCTTATGCTTGTAAGATATTCTGCAGCTGGCTTATAATTGAAATTAATAGACACTTGTAACAAAGAAGAATCACTATCAGCCATCACATCCATGGACTGGTCTTCACTTGATGCTGTGTCAAACCACTCAGGATGCTCCAGTTCTTCAACACCTTTAAAACCGCCTGTGCCTTCATCGCCAAACCTCTCGGCGGGGTCCTAATAATAATTTATTATATAATTATTTTAATACAAGTATAGTCGTGAAGTACATACTACACTGCTCAGTGATGAAAAACTCGGTGGGTCATCTCGTAAAGATATCAAGGACTCGTCTTTGACACAGTACTCTATATAGAAGATACATATGTTACAGCAATGGTTGCATCTATAGCAATTAAAATATCCTATAGCTGGAAGCTTTTGAGGCCGATAAATTTGACTGTTTTCACAATTTTTTCAGATTTGTGTAAAACTTAAAATCTGTAAAAATCTAAATAACACAGTACAAGATGGCGGAATGCTTTAGATTCGCAAAAATTAAATCCATGATAATGGTTTTTGGGTGGATCCACGAAAGTTTCCAGCTATATGGTATGTGTCATAATATAATGGTAATTTTAGAGGAATGAATCAAGAAGGCTATTTTGAGCCATTATACATATGCACATGCTCAATGGCAGATGGCTACAAATCAGCTAAATAAAAACACACCAATCACCAAAAGTTTAGAAATTAAAATTTTGTCAAAATTAATAATTTTGCCCCTCAAAAATCACTACATATGCAAAAGTAAAGCTGCCAATCATCACTACTACTAATTCAGTAATTCCCTAATATTTGTATTATTTTTTTAATACAGTATATATGCACCTTCAGTTGGACACTTACTGTCTTCAGTGTCAGGTTCCAGTATTGTAGTGTCAAGGGCCTGTGCTAAATCACTAAGATCCTCTAACACTGGTAGCAGTGAAGGCGGTACAGCGTCAGGTAAAGTGACAGATTTGGTAGTACTTTCTTTTTTTGACAATGCCATCTTGTTGAGAGGTCCCATCTTATCAACCAAAATAAACTTATAAGCACCTAGAAAATAGAATAAAATAATAATTAATATGCTATGATTCGCAAGCAACTCACGGCAAAGATCTTTCATTTGTATTTCAAAGGTGAGAGTACAGCCATAAAGAAGGATGCATTGGACTCTGAAGCTGAGCACTGGCCTGGGGTGACATGCAATCGCCTTCAGCTCTGAGCTGAAAAGATAGCAAATGCAAAAAATGAAGCTATAACTATCCCTCTTCACTTACCAAAGTGTGGCAATGCTACGGCTAAGTATAATCTTCTTTGTTGGTTTTGCTGAAGTAGCTTTTCGCCTGGATAATGTAAGGCCAAGTATATACATAAACTACTTCTAGCTACCACCCGAGCCACTTACCACACTGCCAGCCAATCTGGGCTATCTCTCAAAAACTCCATCGTTGACTGGTTAGCTTCTTGCACCTCGACCTCTTCTTCACCAGGATCCAGATCCATCTGTACTAAATTCACAGGCTACCTAGCTACAAAGCTAGCTAGCAGCAGTTTGTATGGCGCGCTGAAGTTCGAGGAGACACGTGCGAGCGGTTAAATTTTAAATTCCGTGTTCAAATACTGTAATTAAAATTATTGATTAACTCTGAACTTTAATAAGATTATTGCTCGACTGAGCTAGTTCAGTGAGAGATACTCGTCCTCTTTGCTTCATAAACTTAGCGACACTCTTGAGTTCATCCATTGTTATATAAATAAACTTTCCCCTGTCATCAATCACTCCGGTCAGTTCACCTGATGACTGAAGGGTTTGTATTCGCTCAATAACAACTTGAGTCTTTAGACCAAACTGAGCCGCAACTTCTTCCATGTAAACAACTTTAGCAGTTTTAATGTAGTCAATGAATTCAGCCAGAGACTAGAAATGAAATGAAAAAAAAAAACAAGCAACATGACATAATAAAGATTTACAGTCAAGCATAAATTAAATTGCACAGATAATCTGAACTTTAGCACAAATAACGGCTTTAAAGCTGACACAAAATTAGAAAAATTTTAATTCTGACTGTTGTGCTTTGTAAACCTTCCTTTAGCCTTCTCCTTCTCACATTTCATAAAGGTCATGTAAGCAAATTAAAAGAACAAGTCTCTTCTCTTTGTGCATCATTTTTACAAGTAAACAACATCAGTTAGTGCTGTTTACCAATACCTGAGTCTACAGTCACACTCACCTCACGCAGACATCTCATTGATGCATCCAGAAAGAGCACAATGTATTTATTTATTTATTTAAAACTTATACAGTGACACTGAGCAATAGGAGGAGTAAGAGGAAGAAACAAACAGGACAATGGAAACACTGATGGTATGACCAAAGAAGCAGTATGTGTCTATGTGTGTATACAGTATAACTCACTGTGTCTGTCAAACCTTCATCAACAAAGCCTTCCTCTTCAACAATGAAGCTGGCCTTTAGTTTCATGTACTCCTCCTCTTCCTGTTTCTCTTGTAACTCTTTTCTCTCCTTCTCTTCTTTCTCCTACCATTGCAAAAATAAATTCAATAATAATAATAATAATAAAACAATTAAACCTTCTTAAGTCTCATGGCCTCCTCCTCCTCTTCCCTTTTCTTCATTTCCTCCACTCGACGAGCTTCTCTCTTCTTCTCATCCTCCCTTAGAGCCTGTTCTTGCTAATATATAGATAAAAAAATTAACACCAAAGAGCTCAAAAATCAGTAGTTTTATTTTGGTGATAGCCAATTCTATGTTAAAATTGCTAAACTATATACAAGTTCATTCTTCCCATACTCAATGAGACAATAATGACATGGCTCCTAAATCCCCAATATAACAGCCACCAAGTCATAAAATTACCAATGCTAAGTGCCATTGATAATATATAATAAAATAAATAATAAACTAACTTCTCTTAGTGCTTTCTTTTCTGCCTTTTCTTGCAACTTTCGTCTCTTCTTTGTCCCAATCTTTTTACCTAACTCGAAATCTCCTCCTTCCTCGTTTTCTCCAGCTTCCTCTCTCTCTCCCTCTCCTTCTCCTCCTCTCTCTTCTCCTGTCACAAAAATAAAAATAAAACTAACATATCATTAAAGTCTACACACCTTCCTGTTGCTGCCTCCTAGCTCTTCTTCCTCTACCAATTATCACCGGCTCATTCTCAACTCTACCATCATCTCCTAGTGTAATAGAGTAATTTTCAGGTATTTAGAACCAATAAAATAAAGGCGCCAACCGTATAATTTTTTAATGAATAGTCTATATAAAATTAAAGCCACCCACGCTACTATGGTTGCTATAAGCCTCAGGTTATAAGAAATAATAATAGTAATTTGAGATTTAAAAAAAACAAGACTTTTACAAGATGTTATTATATTAACAATACAAGTAAGTAACTGTAACAAAGTCTATAATAAGACGTACTGCCATCTTGAACAGGTTCTTCTCTCTTTCCAAGAAACAGTCTTTGCAGTAAAGGGATTGAAACGAGGATAGCAGCAACAATGGCAGCGGCAGACAACCACAATAGAGGATCCATCTTTGATAAAGTTCAGTATTATGGGTGGTTCAGCCCCACCCATGGATAAACTAACACCCACGCTAATCCTAATCCACGTGGTCGTGGGTAGTGCCATTTCGTTTATATAAACAAAACAAACGAAGAGGAGTATTTACTCCTTCGTCTCCCATCGCCTCTCCCTGTTCTCTGTCTACATATCTCCCTAGGGACCCCCTACCTTTTCTTCCCTGTTCGCTACCAGCCTACAAAACACTACACCAACCATTGAAACTGGTAAGTCTAAAGCTAAAATTGGTTCAATATATTGTTCCTTTGATGCTGTGCAGTGTTGAATGCAATATAGCTGGTATATGTGTGTGTTTGTGGTTGGTTGTTGGTGTTTGTTGTGATATCATATAACAATCTTCCATTGACTTCTCCTTGACATTGATTAAATATGTGTAGGAGAGTCAATTCAAACCATTACTGTATCATTGAACAGCTGCCTGTGGGGGTATCAACTGAATTATAATGTAATGGTTTCTCCTCCATTCTCCTCTTTCCTCCCTCTGTCTCTGTCTCTAGCTCTCACCATGTATCGTGTGTTCTATCGTTCTCGTTCCAAATCAATTGCAACCACTTCACTCATGAAACCCGTTGGAGGCTCTGTAGGGCTCACTTCTGCTACTATAGCTCGTACTCAAAGCAAAACTGAGTTTGAGATAACCTCAATCATGATACAACAGTTCCTTGTTAAAAAGAAATATGATAAAGTCATAGAAACACTTAGAGGACTGACTGGAGTTCACATCTTAAAGTGTCTAGAGAGTTTTCCATTCAATGACCTCAATCAGGCAATACCTGAGAGCTTCCTTATCTGGGAGACACTAATGGTCAAACTACAGAACTCTGAGGGGGAAGGATACATTGCTAAAGTTCCTCACGCTGCCTGTCATGATCTTGTCTCCAGAACTGGAGCTGTATTGGCCTATTTAGAGAAGCATTCCAATCCTGATCTCTACTTTCAGTGCCGACGAGTCCTCAAGAAACTCTACATGCATTATCCAGAGATTACTGATCACCTCATGAAGGAGAATGAGCACCTCTCGCGTGCCCTGTACACCCTAACGCTCCACATTCCTTTGGGCATAGACTCATCAGCCATCACTCTACAGCAGGCAATACAAGATGAAGTCACAGCAAGCCTCATTGACCTCAAAGATGCAATAGAGCACTTGGAGGAACTACCTTTCCAACTGAGCTCCAACGTGTCCAATGGAATCGACAACGGTAAAGTGAATGGTAGAAATAGTAAGTATAACCACTCATTGACCCAAAGGCAAATACAAGAGAGACTCTACTTCAACCAGTGCATATTGAGAGGTGTATCTCCTTGTAGGAGGAAGGATAATCTATCACAGCTCCAGGAGATGCTGGAAATGAGAATACAAGGAGACAAAGACGTCCTCTTTCTTTTTGCTAGCTTAAGGCAGCATCATCAAGGGCTGGGAGAAGTAGAGCCAGTAGAACCGAAACTAAGACAACAGCATCACATGATTGAGTGTGCTATTGCTATGCTTCAAGAGATAAAGAACGAGCTTGCAATCAACAGATCTTCTCTGGCCTCTCCCCCTGCATCTCAGTTTCCAACTGGTAGAAGAGGAAGTTCTGATAGCATTACATCGACTGAGTTGGTCTCGGGATATCCACTAGCATCTGCAGTCAGTCTTGACCATTCTCAGTTTAGCCGTGTCCTAGTTCAGCAAGACAAGGTAAGCAGTGGGATGGGGGCAAGAGGTGGTATAGCTCAGTATCGCTCCTCAAGTGAGAAACAGCTTCAAAACATACGCCCAATGTCTGCCTCTACCGTCATGCAACACAGTAACCGGCAAGCTAATCACAGATCAGGGATCAACCCGTCAGGTGTGCTTATGGATAAACAGATCAGCTCCAGCGATCAAGAGCTGTTTTCTGCTTCCTCCTCTCCTCCACTGCCAGTGGTAGCAGGTGTTAAGAAAAAGGGCGGGTTTATAAGACGGAGCCTGAGAGGTTCCATTAAAAGGCTCTCGTCTTCTACCGGTAATGTCTCCAATGGAGGGCACAAGACTAAGGGGAAGACCCTTGAGAATGACTCCATCTCTACTTTGCTTGAAATTAAAAATCAAGAATTACTGGAGGCACGTGAAACCATAGCAGCACTAAGAAGGAGAGAGAGAGAACTGACAGATAGGTAATGTTATTATTATTGTCGTTTTTAAAAAGTAGATATTTAATAGTGGCTTGTAAAAATTTGAAGTACATGTATATCGACTCATATAATTAGTCTTTGAATGACTTTTAATGTTAAATACTCTCAGCTATATTGCACAGTACCTTTATTAATGTGTTCTTACCTCATTCAGGTTATCAGAGCAGGCTCAGCGACATTTACGAGGCAGCGAACACTTTGAAGACATATTAATGGGAGCTAACAGACCGTCCCTTGTAGTCCAAAGATTTTCAGAGATTTATTCGCAAGAAAGGATCGAAGCATACGACTTCATTGTTGATATGACCGGCATGGAAGATGACATGCTTATATCAACTTTTCTACTCGACATATTAAAGGTAAGAGAGGGGGAGGGTGGGAGAAGAAGTATAGAATTACAGATAATAAGAAATGTTATGTATGTACAATTGGTACAGACAGACAGACACCATATGTAGCACGACCTCACCCTCAGTTGCCTACACAGGGAATAATGAGGTGTGGTAGGCTGCTGTGTACTGATTAATGTCTTCATTAGCATATCACGTATCACTGGTAACGAGATTCCATTGAATTCATATCCAGTATCAGTAATGCAATTGAGACTCAACATTAAACATTCTTGGAATTGTTATAGAATAAACTCATCAAGGAGTACTATACAGTGATATAATTGCAAACAATATAAAATGACTCAAGGAAAACACATTAAAACATGTGTCAATGATTTAATGTGTTGATGTGAAAACACATGAAGAGCTCATAGCAACAAAAGAGAAAGCAATGTGTAGAGTAGATTCTAATGTAGATCTATTCACAGCTAATAATGCCACTGATATTCACACTGTACTTAAGCATAATATTCTGTTTATTTCATATCTTGTACTATTATACAATAGTTCTCTTACAATGCTGCTAAGTGTTCACTGGAATCATTGCACAATGGCTGGAAGAGATCCCTCGATATACAAGAAGGACCCGATACTGATGACAGGGAAATGAACGCCATCAGACAATTAGAGACTGCAGTATCAGTCTATATAAGGAAAGTACCGTCATCTTATGAGCACATAAAGGAGATTAATAAGGTGAGGAAAAAATCTAAGAGAGTGAGTATAATAATTATACATGTACTGTAATCTATCAGTTTTATTTGCAAACCACTTCACCGCAAAACTCAATGGAAATGGGCAATTTTGCTTGCATCAACTTCAAAGCAATTGCCCACACACTTTTGACCATTTTATCAAATGTAAACCTAGTTCAATGAGTATGTTTGGGACACACAAACCCATACACTTTACTGAGAGTAGCCTCAGCCTCAACTGCCAAAGCAAAGCTCCATTAAAGTAAAGATGTTTAATTATCATAATGCTTTATTCCTTCTAGATGGTTTACTGGGACATTGAGAAGCAGTACAGCAGTCTTCCATTCTACCAGTCAATAATGAAAGGACTCTACGTAGAGAGCTATATTGATGAGTGTGCACTGCTGTCCTGGGAACTAGTGATACAGAGCCCTCCAATGGTACTCAAATACAACGAAACCGAGTACTCGGTTGAATTACATACAAGGTTTCACAGTGCTAATGGTGAGAGTGACATCATCATTGGATACCAATGGCCGACATTAGTGCATGAGACATCAGGAGTGGTACTGAGCAGGGGGATTGTGGTCACGTAACGCATCATTTAATTATTGTTTAATTTATAATATTATTTTGTGTTCAAAATTTGAACATTATTATTAATTTACATATTTTGTGTTCAAAATTTGAACATTATTTTTTATTTTTATTATTTACATTTTCTTCACATAACAAATGTTCCTTTTACTTGTGAAAGCTGATGGAGGGAGCAACTGGCACTGGATCGGTAATAAAAGGGCAGGGTCTGATGATGGGTGAGGTTTTCTGTCGCTATGGAAACCACTCTCGGTTGAAATAGAGAGAAACATATCAGAGTTTGTTCTTGTGGGTGGAGATGAGGGGTGTGGCTCGAATGACAAAGGTACAACTGAATCCGATGATGATGGGTGTGGTTTAAGTGATTTGGTAGGAGGGGCAGGTAGGTGCAGCTTAGAATGAACTACTGGTAATGGTTTGGTATTAAAAGAAGGCGTGGTCAGGTATGTCGGACAGCGTGGGTGTGGTCTCCGAGTATTAATTAAAGGTATCTTAATTTCGCTCATTAAATTATTCCAATCACCAACTGGAGCCGACCTCTTATTCACTGAATGACTTCCATATTTGGGCACTTGGTGGTTGTCATGGTGACTAGGCACGTTGCTAGGCAACGCCCCAACGTTCTCCTTTCCTCTATTCTGATTGGTCAGTCTCCTCCAGTGAGAGGCACATCTTCTCACAGTCTCCCAGAGTTTTGAGTTTGACTTTTAAAATTAGAAAACAAAAATAAAGACTTTAAAAATACTGATACGTACATATACAATTATTTATTTATTTATTCTTTTATTTATTGTTTATTATCCTTTACCTCAATATTCTGTTTCATTGCGATACTGCAACGATTAGCCTTCATAACAGACGCAACCTTTAAAAATAATAAATAATGACCGATGACATCATATGACATCATACTTCAATCCATTGGGTAACACCAGACACTAAGAGGTGAGAACGATATGTTTCCATGGCAACGAGGTACCTCCCCCTTTGCCTCTTCTTTTCTTTGGCGTAAAAATGCCAAATCCTCAGCAGCTGTAGATAAAATACATGTACATGTACATGTTACGTTTTAAATGCGTTTATTAAAGTTGACAAAAAGTAATGTCAGCATTAATGTACCTTTCTTTCCAATGTCCTGCCCCAGTGGTAAAGAGAGAGTGTGGTTTGATGGCGATTGACTAACGTCTCCATAAACTAAATTAATAAAAATACATGTACATGTATATGTACACTACCGTATAGTGCTTTAATTTGGCGGAGTTTTATTTTGGCGATTGGCGGTTTGCAAGCAGAATCGCCAATATTAAAACCGCCAATCATCAATGCGCATGCTCAGTAATGCACGTGTGGACAAAAATCGCCAAGTTAAAAACCACCAATAACAATTTTACAGCAAAATTGCCAAAATAAAGCGCTATATGGTATATTCTTCTCTAACTTGTACTCTCCATTTCAAATAATGTGAAGAAATCAGTCTGGTCTTATTGAAATAGTCACCTTTTCTGGTCAACTCCTGTAGAAAATGATAACTAACATGCAACATATAACATACATACATGTACATGCATATCCCAACATTAATTGGTACTTTCATGAACAAAATTGTCAGCTAAAGTATGCTGTATGTACATGTATAGTAGCCTACTATACATGTTATCAAGAGTGGATAATCCACTCTTGATGTTATTTAGTAGGATAATGTATTTCATTTTTACTCTTTGCTTGACTTGAGTGCTGTGATGGGAGAGCCATCCTTTAAAAGAAACTGCTAGCAATCTTCTCCGTTTGAATTTATGTCCTTTGTCTCTCATGACACGATACGATCTTCTATCTTGAGCATGCTTCAACCAAACAACAAAAACATCCCTCAAAATAACTATTAATAGTAATAATAATAATAATAATAACAACAATAATAATAATAATAATAATAATTTTAATAATGACAACGTGATCATCCTTACTATGATCAAGAGCAGTCCTTAATACAGTGACTTTACTCTGAGCTACAGCTTTCTCTTCTAATCTCCTAATCACAGACTGCCTCCATATCCTCCAGTGCTGAATACAGCAGAAAGAAATTGAAGAGAAAGAGAGAGAGAGGATGAACTTACTGCAATCAGTAGTGTCTTGTGTCTGTGAACTAGTGACATTGTTAATAGTCTCCGCCTCCTTCGAATGTTATCCACATTAACCTTCCAGTCATGCAAAGTATTACTAGAAGAACAAAATGAGAATTATATGTACTTCTTCTTAGGGCTTAACAAAACTTTTGGTTTTTTTTTCAAAAATTGGCTTGTTTTTTAAATGCTCATAACTTGAAAAAAATATATCAGAATCAGCTCAAACTTTCTACACATCATAAGGACATCAATATGTATCAGAAAATGTAATAAAAATTTGGGGTGATTTCGGAGCCATTTTTTGAAAAAAAACCATGGGCTACTTTGACGTTTTCTTAAAATGGCCGTAACTTGAAAAATTGAAGTCGGAATCAACTCAAACTTGCTACATATCATAAGGACATCAATATGTATCAGAAAATGTAATAAAAATTTGGGGTGATTTCGGGGCCATTTTTTGGAAAAAACCATGGGCTATAGCCTTGGGTATTTTTCAGAATTTTGATGTTTTCTAAAATGGCCATAAACTTGAAAAATTGACGTCGGAATCAGCTCAAACTTGCTACACATCATAAGGACATCAATATGCATCATAAAATGTAATAAAAATTTGGGGTGATTTCGGAGCCATTTTTTGAAAAAAACCATGGGCTATAGCCTTGGGTATTTTTCAGAATTTTGACGTTTTCTTAAAATGGCCATAACTTGAAATATTTAAGTTGGAATCAACTCAAACTTGCTACACATCATAAGGACATCAATATGTATCAGAAAATGTAATAAAAATTTGGGGTGATTTCGGGGCCATTTTTTGGAAAAAACCATGGGCTATAGCCTTGGGTATTTTTCAGAATTTTGATGTTTTCTAAAATGGCCATAAACTTGAAAAATTGACGTCGGAATCAGCTCAAACTTGCTACACATCATAAGGACATCAATATGCATCATAAAATGTAATAAAAATTTGGGGTGATTTCGGAGCCATTTTTTGAAAAAAACCATGGGCTATAGCCTTGGGTATTTTTCAGAATTTTGACGTTTTCTTAAAATGGCCATAACTTGAAATATTTAAGTTGGAATCAACTCAAACTTGCTACACATCATAAGGACATCAATATGTATCAGAAAATGTAATAAAAATTTGGGGTGATTTCGGGGCCATTTTTTGGAAAAAACCATGGGCTATAGCCTTGGGTATTTTTCAGAATTTTGATGTTTTCTAAAATGGCCATAAACTTGAAAAATTGACGTCGGAATCAGCTCAAACTTGCTACACATCATAAGGACATCAATATGCATCAGAAAATGTAATAAAAATTTGGGGTGATTTTGGAGCCATTTTTTGGAAAAAACCATGGACATGGTGTTTGGGACTCAAAATTTTTTTTACATTTTCTGAATTCTGATGCATATGCATGTACCGGGGGTACATGTCATTACCTACCTTGCTAGTATTTTGTGATAATGTTCATTTGCTATTAAAATATTTGCTCTCTTCATTTTACTTATGCTACAATAACTCTAAAATAAAATAAATTAACAAAAAATAATAATAATATTTTACTTTCCAAGCTCCCATGCACCTTCTTAAAACAGAAAGACACCAAAACTGAACGGCAACATTATAAACTGACCGCACCTCCTTCTTACTGGCCAAATATTCTCTCCAATTAGACCAGACCCACTTCAAAAGACGTCTATCATAATGAGACTCGCTAAAACAGAAAAAATTATACACAGCTTCAGCTACTAAGTGTACCTTTTTTGAACGCTGAGTAATTTATTCCGCCACTTTCTCAAGGAATTAGACAACACTTGATGCTTCTGATGAGCTTGAGCAACAGTCTATCATTAAAAGAGGTTGCCCATGATAATTAACACACTAATTAGCATTAATAATTTGAATACTTCGAGTTTCGCAACAGAATAAAGAGTGAGTAGCTTCTTCCTCCAAGTTCCTAAAAATCTCTTCAAAAGCCTTTCCTGAGAATACTCCACTGCCTATAGTATCAATGCATTCATCAGATGCCCCTCCCCCTACCATCTCTTACAACACTAATAGATTCTCTTTCTTCAATCTTCAAACCATAAACCTTCAACCACTGATAAAAATACTGTGATATTAATATTCTCCTGTTTATTGTCAAATGGAGGGGATACACTCATAATTAACAGCTGCTGTAGCATACTAGCTCTTACTCTCTGAATTCCTCAGAACTTAATATCATATCTCTCTTTGTCCGGCATCTTGTCACATTGTTTTTTAGAGCACCAAAATATCTACACAATAATATACTATTATTAGACGTTTATGCTAAAAATAGATACTCAATCAATGACATCATTACATTGGGAGGATTTTGCTGTTGTAGTGCCTCATAGCTCTCACTAGCTGAGCACCTCTGAACTTCTTATATTCAATGTAGACCCTCCATCTCTTCCAGTAATAAACATACACTTTAATGCTATAAATAAACAAAAAGAAACAAAAAATTAAGTAAGTAAATAGAAAAATAAATAGGACACTTTGTTGCTATAAATAAATAAAAGAAATAAACAAAATAAAGTAAATAAATAGATAAATAAATAAGATACTTATTGTCATTCTCTTACCAGTGATGTTCCCTAGCTTTCTTTGTCATTGGATACAACTTGATATCTTCAGATTGCTCACAACGACCGATCCACTTCAACCATGACATTCTCAAACACTATAAAATCATTACAACCTCCCCCCTCTCTCCTCCTCCTTACTATTAGTATATTGTGCTTCATTGCTTTGTTATGCAAGGCTCTACTGTGCAATTGTGAGCGATGATAATTTTGAAGACCTTTAATACCAGCTCGCTATAATAACAAAACATGTATGTACATGTACATGTACATTCATTGTACTTTTAATTTGATGTTGTAATATGAAGTGGCCATTAATAGTCGGTCATTTTTTGAGTGTCTATAAGTGATACCTACAGTACAAACATGTTAAACAATAAATGCTCACTCTTCCTTTCTCTCACGTGATTTCCAAGCTTTTATTATTCGTTTCAAGACACAGGTTGTCCTCTGGTATTGATAGTCCTGACATTTCATCTCTTGCTGCAGAGAGTTCTTCCAGTAACGGAAATAATGATTGAGTAGCAATCTTTTGTAAAATAATACAGCTTTATCTAAAGAAACAGAGATGAAGCCACTCAACTATGTACAAGGCAAAATCCCAGTTAATAGGAAAAGTATGACATGACGGATCAAACTGACCTTTCTCATTCAGCTTGTCATGTCTCGTGTCAACGTATTCTCTCCATTTCATGACAACCATCATCAAAAGCTTTAACCTCTGATGATTCGTTGCCATGGATACGCTCTGTGACATGTAGACCCAACGACAGTAATACTAAAAAATAAATGAAATAAATTATAATTAATAATAATTATTATTACTTTATTAACGAGTTGTTTATTATAATGAAGTGAGGCTATATCGGTCTTCTCCTTTTTCATATCACATGTTCTCTTCCAGTCCTTCCAGCTGCTCAAGACTCTCCTACAGAGTAACAGTGTCACATGATAGTCACATGATCCAATAAACTAACCTCTTCATTGTAGTATGATGGAAAGACTCTGCTTTTAATGCCAATAGAGACAAATCTTTATTCTCCTTCAATCTTTTATTCCACAACGAATAATGACATTTCAAGAGTTTCTTAAACTCTTTGAATATAACGTGACAATCACGTGATCTTCAATAAATTTTTAATTTTTACCAAAATCTTTTGCTTTTCTCATTTCAAGTCTTCCCTCTTTTTTACTTTCGACAAATCTTCTCCATCCTTTCCAGCCCCTCCCCCACAGCCTATACCTATAAACCGCACCCACTGTGACCTAATATGACATCATTAATCACCTGTCATGACACTCGGCCCTAATCATTAGTTTCCATTCTCTATGCCCCTCCCACCAAACCTCCTTCCATCCCATAATTATTTTGCGAAGGAGGCGTGTCCTGTAGTGCTGTCTGGGTTGCCATGGAAATTACCAATAAAAAAACATGCATACATGTTACATGTACCTAGCAACGAGTGGAGAAACTCTTCCAAAAGTTTTTTTAGACCATATTTGAGAGTATTTTCTCGTCAAATACCTATTAATAGTAAAATAATTATTAGTTTTTTAAAATTTGTCGTCTAACTTAATTCTTGGGCTGTTCTTCAATTTTGAGGTTTTTATGACAAAAGTTTTACCAAGCGTCTCCTCGTGACGTCTTCTTTTCCGTTCAGTAGAAGGAGCTGGACGTGAAGCTAATGAAGAAGAAGGGAGACCAGCAGAAGAAAGTGGAGATGGTCCCAACCTACTAGCTGATCCATACAGACTAATAAAATTAATAAATAAAATAAAATAATAATTTACAATAATAATAATAACAAATAGTTACTAGAGAGATGAGTGTGAACTGGTTTTGCTGTTTTTTGAAGAAACTTTCTTTCCACCTTTTTTCTCCATTTTTCAGATTTTTTTCCCGCGCACCCCCGGGTTAAGTATTAAGCCCCGCCTTAAAATAGTCAATAAACTAAGCTCCAATAAATAATATTACAGGTAATGAATATCATTAAAGATTAATTAATATCTTTATGCATTCTCGAGTAGTGCGAAAGTTGCCATAGCAATTACCTCCTCTGGCGTTCTGCTAAACAAGAGAGATGACAGGTAAGAATATTGATCTTGCAAGATTATACTAGTTATTTATTGTTGATGCAGTGACTGACAACATTGCAAAGAATTCAGGAGAAACTAGTGGAGGTGGTGTGAATGGGATCATTAACCTTCCTAGCACACACACACCAAGAGGATGCAACATCATGAGACCGTACAGACACAAGATATTATTCTTTTACTCTTTCTTTTATTCAGAGATATTGTCAGAATAACTGAACTCTCAACGCCACGGGGAACAAAAAAAGATTGGTGGACAACATACGGGTATGTATACTATATCTTTATAGATACCATTAGTTTAGCCCTCAATATAGGCCACCTCTTGTTTGGGGTAACCAAGAAACAATATGGCAACTAAATCCAGCAACACTTACCTATACACCTAGTAATCGTCTCAGAGAACTTGCTTTACCTAAGGTGGACCACTGCAACAAGAACCATTTCACGTAAGTACAAAGATCTCAATAGCATTCAATGCACCCATATTGTGTAAATATCGCTTCCATTATAATACATTATGTACATTTTTTTGTTTCTCAGGCCAGAGTTTCAGTACAGTTGTGGCAGAGGATCACAAATATGGAAAGTGAAGAAGTCAGCAATGAAAGCAGTACCAACAGAAAGGACGATGCAGCTGGCAAAGCATAAAATGAACCCATCAGGTTTTGAGCCTTTCTTTATGCTCAATTGTGGACGTTCGTCGCCAATATGGCGCCCAAGTAAAGCTGCACTGAGTGCAAAATTAAGACCACGGACTGCACTACTGGCACAACCTAAAGAGCTCCATAAAAACTATCTACCTCCAAGACAAGTGAGCAATTGTAACTACTATAATTAAGTAAAGTTATTTATCATGATGGATGTTCATTATAGGTACAAACCAGGGTGTCCTCAGCAATAAAGAGATCAGAGTGCAATGAATACATACATAGATTAGCTCAGCCGAAGGAAAGACCAGATGGACCTTTCAGGGATGCAGAATGGCCTGTCAGTAAAGGTAATGACACGTGTATGGTGTACATGTAATGTGATTACAAATTGAGACGTGCATTTGTGATGAATTTTTAAAAGGTGCATTACAAGCTGAACCAACTCAAAGGTTAAATGAGCTTTCAAGGCCCAAGAGATTAGCAGAAGGACACGAAGCAAGTAGAGACGGATACTGGAGGGTCACCAATGGTGCAAAATCAGCAGTAGCTAGCTCAAGGTATGCAGTATGCAGTCCAAATATTTTGTTAATTCTTGTCACATTATAGGATTTCAGAGCTTGCTAAACCCATTATACGTGCAACTATGGACCATGTTCAATTCAATCCAGACGTTTTCCAAGTTAGTCCTGCTGCTAAGAAGTACATTGCATCTCCTCGCATAGAAGAACTAGCCCAACCAATACAAAGGCGTTAGGAATTATAGATGACAATTTTTTGAAATAAAACAATAATAATGAATGTTATACTACTTACTAACACCTACATATTATGCATGTACACTTCACCAACCAGATATCATTTTATTAAGTAATTTTAACTGAGTTTTATTAACATAGCAGTGTTTCCTCATTTGCCTGCTGGCTTTGTGGGACTTTGCCATCATCTTGTGATTCTTTCCTGGCCTCCAGTACTTCAACATGCCTGAGCCAGTCCTCATAAAACGTTTTGCCACGGCTTTGACAGTCTTTTTCTTTCCTTTCTTACTAAACCTGACAATACTCCTTGTCTGGGACACTAGTGGCAGGTATTGGTCCGTTATAGAGGATCCTACTCTCCAATAAGCTATCACTGGATTCAGCCATTGCTTGAATAGAGTGGACGCCATGCTTAAGTCCGTAATCTCAACTACACCCCTCATGCCCCTCAAATATACGAGAATTTACGGTAGAATAAAGCCCAAGATGGCGTCATTTGCAGATAAATTTCGTGACAATGGCTGCGTTCCAGACGTTGTGGACACTGTCCCTTCGGCCCAAGCTCAAGTAAAGAAGCTAAGATACATTTTTATAACTTGCAGCCTTTGTAGGTAGTTTATAACGGCAAAGAGGTCGAGTGTGGAGCTGTCTTTACGCCCACGCAAGTCAGCTGAAAAATTACTTTGAGACTAATCATATTGCTTTAGGTGCAAAACCCTCCACAAATAACTTGGCCAGCAGAATCAGGCGCACTGTACACTCTGATAATGACTGGTATGTGGGTATGGAAAAATCCAGCCATGCCCTAAAGTTCAATCTTATGCAAAAAAAATTAATTATTTATAATTATAAATGTTAAATGCTCCATGTAGATCCAGATGCGCCAAGTAGGACTGATAATAAGTTTGCCGAGTGGCGTCATTGGTTAGTGTATAACATACAAGGATCTGATGTTAGCACTGGAAGCACACTGTGTGAATATATTGGGTCTGGACCACCTAAAGGAACCGGACTCCATCGCTACATATTCTTAGGTAAACAAAATATTCAAAATAATTACATTAGAAAAAGCAGTAAATTAGAAAAAGCATTATTTATTAAGGACACCATACAAATCCAGAGGTGTCCTAATTTTAGAGGCATAAAAACTTTTGTATAAGTTTGCACTGATTTGGAACATTACAAATCGTCCTCATTATAAAGGTGTCCATATATCAGTGGTGGCTTAGTTAGTGATTCTACTGATTGTATTATTTATAATTTTTTCATTTCATTTACAATTTCTCTTTCTCAGTTTTCAAACAGCCTGGTTCCATCACACCAGATGAGCCAAGACTCGGTCTCAGTACAAAGGATCGCAACAATACAAAAGCACGCGATTTTGTGAGCAAGTACAACCTAACCGGTCCAATTGCTGGAAACATGTACCAAGCAGAATGGGATGATTATGTACCAAAGCTATACGCTTCACTGAACTAATTTATTTTTGTGATGGATAGTCTAAAATTTAGTCATTTTTTGGTGATTTTCCAGTTTTTTGTTATTATTTTTAAAAGTGTAGATTGTCATAATATTATCTTGCTACAGTGTCATGAGATATCTATCATGGGCTTTTCGTGACTACTCAATCTTAAGTATTCTCCATTTTAATTTTTGAAAGAGGACACAGACACACAAACACACATTGAATCATATAATAATAATAATAATATAGTAATAATAAGACAGTTTTATATTTCGGTTTTCAATAAGTTGACAACTCTAATTGTGGAATCCACAGAACCTGTTATACACGTGCTATAGCTTCGTCTATCAGGCAGCCAGTCCACACATGTCACGGGCCCAGACTGATCAGATAAACTTAGGACGTAACTCAATGAACCATCTGTACTGTTCATCTATAAAAATAAAAAGAATAATAACTGTTCATACTGTGTTGTGCTACTACAGTAGAGAGTGATTGAAAAAAATGAACAAATAAATAGAAAATTTTCTTGCCTGATATAAAATGCCCTCTGAGGGCGAGCAGGTTAATACATATTTATCATCAGATTCAAAAGCAAAGAGACTCCCGGGGGCTGTGGTCGGGAAATACCCTCCATCCCACCCACTTGTTGGGCTAGATGCATTCTGATGAATATCAAACTGGGCTATCTTTTCGGTGCTACGTAGCGTACTCCATTGACAGAAATTGTTGTCTTGTCCAAGAGAATATACTGATGTCTCATCTGAGCTGAACTGGACGTTTAGTACTTCACCGTGATGAGCGGTCCAACCACACAGACACTCACCTTGAACAACATCTAGTAAAATAAAAGAATAGAATAAGATCATATTCATTTCTCTCTCCCCCTCTCTCTCTTCCTACCAAATAGTCGTATCATTCCATCAACTCCACCAGTTACTAGGAGGTTGCTATTGTGATTGAAGGACATGCAGTTTACAGCAATGGCTGGTGTTAGTGGTAACACAGTCTGATAAAAAAACAAAAATATAATAATAAATGTTTAAAGTCTTTATTTTGTCAAAATTATTAATAAAATGTACTTGTATTTTCTGTTGATTGATATCCCAGATGGAAAGCTCCCCAGGCGTAGGATCAAACAGTCCTGTGTCATAACTCAAAGGTGATTTATAGGACATGACCATGAGTTCACTGGATTTATTCATTTGAGAAGGAAGGGAAGGAGCGGTCAGTCCAGCTGTCACTTTACTGCCACTAGTACCAGTGAGATTCTGTGAGTGCCAACCTGCAGCCGAGACCGCAAAAGTTGGCGAAGATGAACTACATGCAACTGATAGAATCCTATAAATGTAATGGGTTAGGGCATGGCTGTGGGTGTGGTCTTACCTTGGGTAATTACGATCAACAGCAAATTCCCAGCGAGAGTCGGACTTTGATGCGTTAAAGAGCTTAACTTGACCTTTACCAAATCCTAATATCAACTGGTGGGAGGAGCCAATAATAATAATAATAATAATAATATTAAATATTGAATAATGTTACCAAATCATCAGAGGCTCCAAGGCCATGGTGTACCCAATCCAGTGATAATAAATCCATTTTGTATTTCGACGAACTTTTCGTCTCAAGTTTATTCGGCATCCACACTCTATAATTTACATGAACACATAAAGTCATGTACATGTACATGTACAGTGCATTCTCAAATAAAAATTCTATTTCCTACAATGCACCTTTAACTTGTACATATGAGGTTTTTAATTGAGGGTTCTCCTATACTTAACATAGGATTACCGTATATGGGTTTTATTTTGTTGGTATAAATTTTCGCGAATCTTACTTCCTGCAGCCATTTTTTCATAGTGTGCCACACCTCTTTTGTGGAATTTAATTTGGCGAATTTAATGAATGCGCAAAATTTATTTCCAATGAAATATAACCATTATACGGTTGATCATTATAACAGTTATTTAAAAATTAACAGCTAGTGCCTGTATCAAAGATAAAAGGCTTATACAGTTACTTGTGGTTAGCTACATGCAACTGTATCACATATACAGCAACTGTGGTAACTTTGATCCGCCCACTCAAGAGGATATATTACTTAATACATCAGCTCCAAGGCTTACAATTAAAACAGACTTTTATATGAGGATATATACACATGTATATGTACTACATGGTATTGATTTCTCACCTCAATCCGTTATCAACGTCCACACTAGCTACATGGACTCCATTGGGAGAGAACCGACAGTGAGAGATCGGAGCAGTGTGGTCCTTGTACGATTGCTAATGACAGCAGGAAGGAAGTTATTAATTAATTATTACTATTGTTAAATACACCCGTACCTCATCAATGATCAGAAAAGGACTTGATTCTGTAGATTTTACTATAAAAATAAATAAATAAATAAAATAAATATATGTAAAATAAATAAATAAATACAAGGCATACCTTTACGAATAGGCCCAGTATCAGTGTCACTATTACTAACAGTGCTGCTAGTAATGGTATAGGCACCAGTTGGAAGTCCTGCAGCATTTCCTGTTGCTGTACTTCCATTGGGAAGGAGTGAAGGAGAGACAACCTTAGTATCATCAGTACTGTCTCTTCTTTGATCCTAAAAAATAAAATTAAGCTTTCATCAAGAATGAAACTGCGTATTACTCATGACTATTATCATTGGGATTACAATGTAACTAAATGCATTCTACATATCATAAGGTTACTAATAGCAATGCCTCACTGTTGATAACTCCTCTGGTGAGACATAGGACATGGGTGACTTTGCTTTCTGTTCCCGACGACGCTGCAGCTGCGATATCTTAGCCGCACCCTCTACTCCACCCACTGCAGATTTTGATGTTGTAGACTTAGTAATTTTACTGGAGAAATATAGCATTAAAAGTTTTTATATTAACAATAAAATATTGACTCACTTCTCTGCCGACATGGCAGCAACATTCTGTGCCAAACGGGCCTCGAGCCTTTGAACTGTCGCCTCAGCCTCCATCAAAGCATCCTGAACAAGAAATTAAAAATATATAAATGTACATATAAAAACTGAGAGAGAGTCCATACATGTACGTGTTACCTTTGTTGTAGCTAGTTGACGGTGGAGTAAGTTCTTCTCAGTAACTAGTGTCTGTATTTTATGATGCTCTGTCTCAAACTGTAACAAAGTGGGCAGTGCTTTGGGGAGATGGCCAGTTAAGGATAAAAGTCATATAAAATGCGTCTTCAACTATGAGATAGTTTTAGTACTGATTAGTGCTAATTTTTATTGGGTTATCTAAATAAAATTTGTAAATATTATTATTTATTGTAGGATACGCAGTCCAGCCATCATTATACTGAAGAAATTGTAGAGCGAGACCACAAAAGCATCGTACCACTCCTTACTGTAGTACATCTTAAACGTAGGATGCTGCTCTGGATTTCTTGTAAAGGGCAGAGCTGCGGTGTGCATTAAATAGAATAAAATTATTAAAAGGGGAGTGTCTCACCAAACCACTCCTTCCAGTCCCTCCTATCCTGGAGGACTCCGCTGATACGCTCAAAAAACATTCTAACTTCTTCATTCTTTCCGTTGCGGTGTGCGTTAATTAGAAACAGTCTGAGTAGCATGCTCTCCAACTTGTGGGCATTGTTGACAAGGTCTTGGTTGAGACGAGAAAAGAACTTTTTTGAGAGATGGTTCCAGAAAGCTTGGAGGGCTCCGAAATCTGATTTATTGATGCACGATAGGATATAGTCGACAATACGGTTTACCTAATAAGGAAAGAGGGGAAAAGGGGAGGGGCAGGTGAGGTTGGAAGTGTAAACTAGTAGTTAGAACAGGTTTTACGGGTCTTACTCGGAGTCCTTTCTCTTTGTCGTCTTTCTTTTCTTGCTCGAGGGTCTTGAGTGTCTGCACAAAGCCTCTGTATAGCAGGTATTCTCTGATAATCTCGTCAACTGCTCCAACAGCAGCCGCCATCTTGAAATAAAACGCAAACCACGCCTACAACAATTACTCTAATTTTACGGTTAGGGTAACGTTAATTTCAAATACCGTATTGTCCTTATTATCAATTTTTTAAGTAAAACGGTGCCACGCCCAGAAAGATGGCTCTAAACACGAAATGGGACTGTCCTCTCTGTACTTACCTCAACTGGAGCTCAACCGCCAAATGCGTCCTCTGTGGCTGTAGCAGACCGACCTCTGGGACCATAGTACCGCCCAAATCAACAATAGCCAAGTTTAAACAGACCACACAGGCCTCTTTATCAATAAAACAATCACCAACTCGGTCTCCTACTTGTATAAAGGCGCCTACTAGTGGGGCAGGGGCCGCTCCAGAGACCAGGAGACGTTCCCAGTGGTCGTGCAGCGAGTGCACGTACCTCAATTGGTCAAATTCCTCAGTTTGTACAATATGCGTGACGCCTCGTAACAAAACAGCCACTCCCTCTTCTCAACCAGCCCCTCCCACTTCTTCTCATCGTAACGTCTCACAGTCTTCCTCTATATTTGATTACGCTGGCACTAGCGAAGCCACGCCTTCTCTCGAGCCGATAAAACCTTCGAAAACCTCAAAACATAACAAGAAACTAAGTCCCCAATATGAGAAGAAGCTGGCATCTTCTTCAGTCTCCTCATCAAAGAAATGGACGTGCCCGATTTGCACGTACGAAAACTGGCCTCGCTCCTCGAAATGTGTAATGTGTAAGACTGTACCGAGTCCTACGCTGCTACCAGCTGGGGCTGTAGGTGACAGGGAGTTTGATGATTTAAATGATCATGTACAAGTACCAACAGCTATCAGTCCTTACTCTACAATGGAAAAGCATCAGTCAACGATCGAACGTCACTCATACGAGACTCTCCTTCCCTCCTCCTCCTCCTCTTCTGAAGATGAGCTTATTAGACAGATCAGGAATAAGTTCACGACACTTGACTGGTCGTTCCTTGAGGCTTGTCGTGGGGTTCTCTCTCGGGATATAATGGCCGTCAAAGCTTATCTTAAGCAAGGAGGAGACAGAGGGAGGCAGTTGACGTCTGATGAAGTTCTTGTATTGAACGAGCCGTCAAAATTCACAGTTGGATCGACTCTTGTGCATCTTGCTGTCAGGTATTATTAGAAATAATGAAACCATTGTTAGTGTACATGCAAGTGTATAATTGATGTAACATTATGTAATGTTTTACAATTGAAATTTTAATAAGTACTACATACATGTGCATGTAGATACATGTATTTTAGGGTGACTTTAATTAGTTTTTGACATTGGAATTTTAAAATTGGAAATTTGGAATTATTAGGTACAACAATCTCTAGCCTGTTAACAGATAAGATTAGAGGATTTAGTACTAACAATTAGAGTCACTTTGAGACATTCTGATTGTCTCTCCTCTTCCCCTCTCCCTCAGATTCCATCAGTCGGACATCCTCTCATATTTGCTGACACCTGCTCCAGTTGAAGCAAGGAAGAGACTTCCTTCACAAGCTAATCCTGATCTAGCGACTGAGATTAGAGAGTTAGTTAGTCAGTCGTTGGTGTCTTGGTATAATCCTGGAGGAGAGTGGACGTGTCATTACATTAACCAACTGACAACGTTCCTGTTACCAAGTGGTGAGTATGATTAATTTTAGTGTGTAGTAGTGTAATGTGAGTTTGGCCAAATTTCACCGAAAAATGAAAAGTAGAGAATTTTTTATTTTTATATTTTTCTGATGCATATACATGTACTTACGCTGCGTAGAAAGTTTGAGCTCATTCCGATAGAATTTGGATTTTTTATGAATTTTTAAAATTGCTCAAAAATTTTGCCAAAAATGAAAAGTAGAGAATTAACTATTTTTATAATTTTTTTTTTATTTTTATTTTTTTTTTGTACTTATGTTGTTCTTCCAAGTTTGAGCTCATTCCAATTAAAATTTGAAATTTTTATAATTTTTAAAGTTGCTCAAAATCTGACCTGTGCTATGCATGTAGTACAGGGTATTTAATCAAAAATGGCTAGGAGAGAATACTCCATTTTTATCGCACTTTGTACTTACATCTTTTGAAGGTTTTTATTTTGTATTTGTAGATATATCTGATTTCAATGTTTCCGTGACTCAAAAGATATTCGAAGAGATTGTCGACCTTGATGTACAAAAAGGTAAAAAAACTTTTATGATTCACAATATGTACACCCTCACTTTCTTTCTATCTCAGAATTACAAGAGGAAGGCCCTGTTATTAACTGGTCTAACGAGATTACTAATAATCTTCAAAGTCGTCTCTATCCGCTCTGGAACAGAACTGCTGGCGACTGTCTCCTTGACTCCGCCCTCCAGGCCACGTGGGGTGTCGTAGATAGAGACAACCATTTAAGAAAAGCACTTTCGGATAGTTTAAAAAACGGCTCATCAAAGTACGTAATAAATTTGATTTAAATTTTGATAAGATTTCTTCAAATTTTTCAGATTTTTTGAGTACTGGAAGGAGTCAGAGCTATCACACGCCCACGCACAACAATTCAATATCGAAGAAGAGCAACTCAAATCTGATTGGTCGGTTATACTCTCCTCCGCTGATCGTCAAGGGAAGCCACTGGAACAGATTCATATCTTTGTATTGTCACATATACTACGGAGACCAATTATTGTGTACGGGGTGAAAATGGTTAAAAATTATAGAGGAGAACAGCTGGGGCTGGCAAATTTTGAAGGTATTATGTTCTAAGATCTAACAATGTACATGTACGTGTGATATTTATGTTTATTGTTTGTTGTTTATTATACTTATCTACTCTTGTTATTATTCAAAAACGAAAAGACTAAAAAGAGAAAATGTGACTCTAAACAAGTTATTATTATTATTATTATTATTATTATTATTATTATTATTATTATTATTATTATTATTATTATTATTATTATTATTATTAGGTGTATATCTTCCTCTCCTATGGGATTCAACCTTTTGCTGGCGAGTCCCCATTGCTTTGGGATACACAAGAGGTCATTTCTCAGCTCTCGTTGGAATGAGGAGCTCGTGTGACAATCATGTGACATACCTTCCACTAGTGGACTGTGATTTAAAGCCACTCCCAGTTATGTTTGTGTCACAACACGAAGTATGTCACTAACTATACATATATGTACATATACACTTCATTTTCTTTCCCCCCCCCCCTCTCTCTCTTTCTCTAGGTGAGTGGCTCTTATGAAGACTTGGTGAGGGATTATTGTGATTGTCATGTTACTCTTGGCGGGATCCTAACGGCGAAGCAATCCTTCAGTTCATTGGAGCAGGAACCAATTCAACTGACCTCGCTAGTGGCAGACTGGTTGGACAAGTTTGTCAAGTTAAACAAGAAACATGATTCACCGTTGTAGCATAAAACACAATGTAGCCTAGATTTATTGTATTGTCAGTTTGTGTCATTTGATCAATCATGAATTTTTAAATCAATCCTAACAAACAAGAATTGAATATCATTAATTTGGACCCACCCAAAGGTGACTTGCATGTACATATAAAGGCATCACTGAATATCGTTAAGGAGTTGTTTTTCAGACCCACCCAAAGTTCTGTTCTGTGTGTGGTCCTTGTAGCTAGCACAAGCAAAATGTCTGGAAGAGCTGCTGTTCTCTTTCTTCTTGCTCTCTTGTACCTCAAAGCAGGTGAGGGTTGTCAGTAGTGTGTAGTGCAGATAAAGGAGTTATTGTATAGTAGATGGACAGTCGTGCAGTCCTCAAGGAGCATTGAGGCTAGTTAATGGAGCTGGTAGCTATGAAGGGAATGTCCAAGTGTGCAATCAAGGGGAATGGGGCTATGTCTGTGGCAACAGCTGGAGCAGTAATGATGCTAAAGTAGTCTGTCGTCAATTGGGATACTCTGTCTCATGTAAGTTGGATCATTAAGAACTATGCAGATCAGTCTACATTGGGTATGTTCCACAGACTACAGATACTACGTATATCGACGTTCTTCATACTATGGCTATGGTAGTGGAAGGATTTGGTTGGACTATGTGTATTGCTCTGGCTCAGAAACATCTCTCCTCAGCTGCAATAGGGGATACAGTCTTGGGACTTATTACTGCAACTATGGAGGACTAGCAGGAGTATACTGTCACTGTATGTCATGCTATTAAAATAGTTTATTATAAGTTGATTATCTTCATAATAGATGGCGGTGGTAGCTGCACCAATGGTGCTCTACGTTTGAGCAATTTCTATACAAGCAGCTATGGAAGGAGTGAGGGCAGAGTGGAGTACTGCAACAATAACGTGTGGGGAACAGTTTGTGACGACTACTGGGGCTCACCTGACACTCGTGTAGCTTGCCGTCAATTAGGATTCTCAACAACTGGTGAGAAGCAACAAAGTAGTTATGCTTTAGTTAAAAATTCACTACAGGAGCCTCTTATTATTCTGCCTATTACTTTGGATATGGATACGGGAGTATTTGGTTGGACAATGTTCAATGCTCTGGATCAGAGAGTGCTCTTAGTCAATGCAGCAAGAACTGTATTGGATGCCATAACTGCGGCCATTATGAAGATGTTGGGATCAGGTGCTATGGTAAGGCACTGCAAATAAAATCTTCTATTATTATTAATATTAGCATATAATACCACTTCTTGTGCTTCTGGCTCTGTCAAGTTGTACAGTGCATTTAATCATCCCAGCAGTGAAGGAACCATACTCTACTGTCTTAATGGCCAGTGGACTGCAATCTGTTATTACAGTTACTACTATGGAAGCTGTTACATTGGAAGGACCGTCTGTAGACAGATGGGCTATGGTGGAGCATTAGGTACAAATATAAGCATTAATTGTGACGTATTAACATTTTATTTTAATAGCTCTACGTACAAACTCTGGATTCTACTATGGCTATTACTACAGGAATGATGCCTACTATCGTCGTTGTTACAGCTCTTATACCTCCCTCTCACAATGTTCTGCTTACTCCTTTTCCAGCTGCGGCCAGTACAATGATGCACTGGGAGTTGTGTGTGCTGCAGGTAGCAGTGGGTCTTCATGTACTTCTGGATCTGTGAGACTTACTGGAAGCACCTCACCTGGTGAAGGACGCATTGAGTACTGCTCGTCTGGTAAATGGTCCCCAATGTGTTCTCTTAGCACAGCAACTGCTTCACTTGTTTGCAAGAAACTCGGATATACAAACTACACCTGTGAGATATTAAGATTAGTATTATTATTATTATTATTATGCATTTAATAGGGGCTTCAATATATAGTGATGAGAGATACGGTCGCAATGGAACAGTTAGCAGTTTCAGCTACCTCTCTTGTAGCTCATCTGCCAATGATCTTTCTGATTGCACTGAAATCACTCAAGGAAGTGGTTGCTTTGTATCAACAGGAACTTGCTATAGAGAATATGGAATTAAATGCTACAGTATGTGAAGCCAATACTCTTATTATTACATGATAATGTTAATACTTATAGCTCCTGGTGAATGTACTGATGGTCAATCAAGACTGGCTAATGGTACTTTGGAACAAGAAGGACGAGTTGAAGTTTGTGTTAACGGAGTTTGGGGCGGAGTCTGTCGGTATGGGTTTTACAGCACTGATGCCTTTGTATTCTGTAACTCACTTGGTTATGATGGCCCATGTAAGTCCATTTGATACAGTTTACTTTTATTGCCTATTTGATTGCTGGCAGATCCTACCTATTATTATAATGGGTATCTACAGTTTGGATACAACACTGGCCCTATTGTGTGGTCTTATCTTAGCTGCCAAGGCTGGGAAAAGGACCTGTTTGCTTGTTCAAAGAGCACCTACACTCAGTTCTCTTGCACTGCTAATAATCTTGCTTCAGTTACCTGCAAAGAAGGTATTATTTACAAAATTAAAGCAACATTTTAATTTTTTTGATGACTAGCATGCACCAATGGTGATGTTAGGCTGGTTGGTGGTCCTTTTGAGAATGAAGGAACAGTTGAAGTTTGTTATAACAGGCTGTGGGGGCTTGTTGCTGACTCTGGTTGGACTGCTGCTGACTCAAGGGTTGTATGCAATCAATTGGGCTACACTGGAGGAAGTAGGTTATAGATGAAGTGTCTAATGATTGCTAACTTTATTTTCCAGTTGCTACTCCTGTTCACGGCTCGAAATATGGCAAGCCAAACAAGACTATTCAATTCAGGGATGTCTCATGTGTTGGGAATGAGCTCAATCTTGCCGAATGCTCAAAAACAATATTATATCTTTATTATGGTAGACAAGCTCTTGCCGGTGCTACTGTAGCTGGTGTTGATTGTATCTATGACGTACCTACCCCTCCACCTTGTGTTGCCAAACCAGTTCTTAGTCCTGGCTCAGCCTGTACTACAGGTACTGTGAGACTTGTTACAACCACTGGGTCTGTGTCCTCTGATGCTGGCAGAGCTGAGTATTGCTACAATGGAATGTGGACACCATTTTGTAACATGGACACTAAAGTAGGATCTGTCATCTGCAGGCAAAGTGGACATTCAGTTTATTCATGTGAGTATAGAACAAGATCTAATATGACTAATTTTTTCCATTTATAGGGGCCAGTGTTGATGTAACTGGATCAGACTATGTTTTCTTGTCAAATTATTCTCTGTTCAATAATATCTCATGCACTGGGTCCGAGACTAATATCAATCAGTGTACATTCAATGACTCACCTAATGACTGTACTCCAAACTGCCCCAGTAGTAACATAGTTGTCAGATGCTTTGGTAAGCTCTCACTCATCAACTTTTTAATATTACATGTATTGTGTGTGTGTGTGTGTGTGTGTTCATAGAACCAACTTCTGTTAATTGTAATGAAGGATCTGTCCGTCTTGTTGATGGTATTATTGAAAATGAAGGGCGTGTTGAGTTCTGTGTCAATGGAGTCTGGGGCAGTGTCTGTACTGATGGCTGGGATAAAACTGATGCTCATATAGTCTGTACTCAACTGGGTCATCCTGAACTAGGTGAGTTTGGAGAATTAAATTGAATGTGTGCATGTATTTTTATATAGAGCCTAGACTGTTTACAAATTCTTATTTTGGTGATGGAGACTATCCTATTATTTATTCCAATCTTGGCTGTGGTGGATGGGAGAGCAATGTTATTACAGAATGCAAGAAGGACACTTATGGCAACTTTACTTGCTCAAGAGACAACGTCGCTGGAGTCCTTTGCGGATATGGTTAGTAACACAGAAAAATTATTATTTTGAAATACTTTTCTCCCTGATAGCATGCAATGATGGTGATGTAAGGCTAGTTGGTGGTAACTCTCCTAATGAAGGAACCATTGAAGTCTGCTTTGAAAACTTGTGGGGTCTTGTTGCAGAACCAGGCTGGACACAAAGTGATGCTGAAGTAGTTTGCAAACAACTGGGCTATTCTGCTCAAGGTAAATATCTAAAAGCAAAAGTATTACTATATATCTATTTACTAATGTTTTGTATAGGGACTGTGAGTAGGACTGGGTCCTACTTTGGAAAACCTGCAAAGACAATTTACATATCTGGTGCACAGTGCACTGGTACTGAGCAGTCACTCACTGAGTGTATCTATTCAACATACTCACTTCAACAAGGGAAGGACCTTCTTGCAACTACTGAAGTGGCTGGTGTCACTTGTCCTTCCCTTGCAACTACCTGTCTACAGAACAGCAGCTCAATGATAAGTGGAACTTGTACTGACAAAGCAATCAGGTTGAGTGGATCCAACTCACAAAATGGTGAAGGGAACCTCCAGTACTGCTATCAAGGAAGTTGGACTTCTTTCTGTAGCCTTGGACCCAATGAAGCTGTTATTGCCTGCAGACAGTTAGGATTTGACAGCTCAGATAGTAAATCAAGTTTTCCATATGCAATCTATTTACTGTATTTTGTTGATATATAGTTGTGTCTGTGTTTGATGATGGAAGATATGGGAGAATGCTGAACAATACTCAAGTGGCTACATTCAATTGCTCTGCTGGGAGGACAGAGCCAACCCTCACTGCATGCCCCATGGATGAAACATGTCAAAATTGCCAGAACCCAGTTGGACTCAAGTGTTCTGGTGAGTATTGAATAATATATGTACTGTATATGTACATTGGTGTATGCCATTATAGTCCAAGTACCTACTAACACTTGTAAAGACAATGATCTTCGTCTAATGAATGGAGGAATTGCACAAGAAGGACGCGTTGAGGTCTGTTACAACAATGTATGGGGCTCTATTTGTGGAGATGGCTTTGATAAGAGTGATGCATATGTGGTCTGTAGGGAACTAGGATTTGGTGATCATGGTAAAGAAATGATACACAATTATACTAACACTTATGTGTGAATCATTTATATAGAGCCATATGCTTATACCAACTCTTTCTTTGGAGCTGGAAGTGGGCCAGTCATTTACTCTAATTTAGGCTGCAGAGGATACGAGAGCTCAATTGACAACTGTGCTAAGTCAGCCTATGGTACATTCAGTTGCTCTCGTGGCAGTATTGCTGGAGTTGTCTGCCAAGACTGTAAGTGAATAGAGAAAGATTCTAAGTCTATTATTGTTGCATTGTTATTGCACAGCTTGCAGTGATGGTGATGTCAAGCTAGTTGGAGGCACCCAGACATCAGAAGGAACAGTTGAAATATGCTTCAATAATCTGTGGGGATTGATATCAGATTCTGATAATAGCTGGGATGACAATGCTGCTACTGCAGTCTGTAACCAACTGGGATACACTAGTGGAGCAAGTAAGTCTTTCAAAATTATTATTCGATGTTTTTATTTATATTTCAAAGACCCTAAAGCAGTCCATGATTCAGAATATGGTAAACCTAACAAGACTGTACATGTCTCAAGGACATCTTGCACTGGAAATGAAGTTAAGCTTCAGAACTGTACTCTCAATCGTATCCCCCCAGATGAGGGAAGGGATCTCTACCAATATGTCAAAGTTGCTGGTGTGAATTGCTATGGTGCTGACAGTGTGACTAGCAATACTGGTGGTTTATCTAGTTCAGCATCTACTGCAGGAATAACTGTTCTTGCAATCATACTAGCAGCAGTTGTACTGGTCATCATCATGTAAGCTTTACAATAATACAACACTTAAAGTTTCATTCATTGTATCTTCATAGCCTCATAGTTGTTATATTCTTCCAGTCAAAGAGGAATAAAGCTGGTCGATTTGAGAGGAGGATTGATGGATTTGGAGACCCTCATACTACTGCAATGGGATATCATGATTCTAAGAGTTTAGCTGATTCCAGGAGTGTTGCTGAAACTATTCCTGAAGATTTGTATGATAGAGTTCCCAACTAACCAGCCACATTATTAACACATACAAACATGCACATGCTACTGAAACTGAGCTACATGTAACATATAAACCTGCTTTTTATTGTGCTGTATTGCTGCATTATAATAACTTTTAAAATGTAACGGTTTGATGTAGAATATTTATATATTTTGTCATGCAAATGTTAAGGTCAGTTTTTTTGCTGAGTTTGCTTTGTTTTTCCTAATAACAGCATTTTGACACTAAAATCAATTTAATTCATGAGTCTCATGATCTGGATTTGATTGCATCTTCTATCCATGTAAGGCATCTCTGAATATCATTGAGGAGTTGTTTTTCAGACCCACCCAAAGTTCTGTTCTGTGTGTGGTCCTTGTAGCTAGCACAAGCAAAATGTCTGGAAGAGCTGCTGTTCTCTTTCTTCTTGCTCTCTTGTACCTCAAAGCAGGTGAGGGTTGTCAGTAGTGTATAGTGCAGATAAAGGAGTTATTGTATAGTAGATGGACAGTCATGCAGTCCTCAAGGAGCAGTGAGGCTAGTTAATGGAGCTGGTAGTTATGAAGGGAATGTCCAAGTGTGCAATCAAGGGGAATGGGGCTATGTCTGTGGCAACAGCTGGAGCACTAATGATGCTAAAGTAGTCTGTCGTCAACTGGGATACTCTGTATCAAGTAATTCAACATGTGTGAAAACTTGAGTATTGATATTTCCTTTGTAGATTCTCAGCATTACAAAGCTCGTAACAATTACTATGGGTTTGGTAATGGAACTATATGGCTGGACTATGTATACTGTGACAGCTCAGAGTCAAACCTCCTCAGTTGTTCAAGAGCTTACCCTATTGGTACATATTACTGCTCATACACTTATATGGCTGGAGTTTATTGCCATCGTGAGTTCATAAATTAATAAAGTCATTTATAATTCAATATGCTCACACAGAGCCTGGTAGTTGCACTACAGGGGCTGTACGTCTAAGCTCCTTCAATTACAGTCCAAGAAGTGAAGGTAGAGTTGAGTACTGCTACAACAATCAGTGGGGAACAGTCTGTGATGACTACTGGGGTAGTCCTGATACTCGTGTTGTTTGCCGCCAGTTAGGATTCTCAGATTCTGGTAAGCTATTGAGTTGAGTCTTATAATACATAGCAAACTAATGCATTCTCCTTGAGCTTTATTTATCTAATTTTTAGTATATAACACACGTACTTATGCTTACTTCTACTATGGTTATGGGATTGGTAGCATATGGCTTGATGATGTTCAGTGCTCTGGAACAGAGTCCTCTCTTTCTCAATGCTCTAAAAGGGTCAATTCTCATAACTGTAATCACTATGAAGACATTGCAGTCCGCTGCTATGGTATGATGCATGATTCTATCCTCACCATATTATGTCATTGAATTAACAGGTAGAGATACAAGTAGCTGTACCAATAATGATGTTCGTCTATGGAGTGCATATGGACATACTGATCAGGGTATCATGCAAGTTTGTGTCAGTAACTCTTGGAGGTCTGTCTGTGATTCCTACTACTCTTGTTACGTTGCTAAAGTCTTTTGCCAGCAGCTAGGCTATGCAGGAGCAGTTGGTATGATGCATAAATCATTATTTTCAAAATAATTACGTAAGTGTATACTCGCAGGTCTAAGGGGCAATGCTGGATACATGTATGGATATTATTACGACAACTATGCATTCAGATACTACTGCTTCAGCAGCCATACTTCACTGTCTCAATGCTATCGCTACTCCTACAGTACATGCAGTAGCTACACTAGAGCATTGGGAGTAGCTTGTGTTGGTGGATCATCAGGTAAGTGCTTTATACCACATCATTAATAATAGTTTCCAATAGGAAGTGAATGTACTAATGGTTCTGTTCGTTTAACTGGTGTTGGAGCTACAGCAAACTCAGGGAGAGTTGAATACTGCTATCAAGGGACTTGGTCACCATTCTGTTCACTTTCTTCTAGCACTGCTAACCTCCTATGCAAGGCATTGGGCTATACAAAATTCAGCTGTGAGAAGCAATAATTTTTTAAATTATCAAATCGATGATACTATTGTAGGGGGAACTGTTTATAATGATGAGAGATTCAATCGCAGTGATGCTAAAAGTCTTTTCAATTATATGTACTGCAGTACTGGAGCCACACAACTTAGTGACTGCACTATCTACACTAAAGGAGGAGGCTGTTACCTATCAACATCAACCTGTTACAGGGAATATGGTCTTCGCTGCTACAGTAAGTCAATAATATGCAGACATTTTCATAAATGAGCCCAATCACAAACTTTTGAGTTAAGACTTTTAAATTTCGACCTATAAGACAAGTTTTTTGTCACCTTCTCAGCACTTGAAGGTGCTACAGTAATCACAAATGCTTAATTATTGCACAGATCCTGGTGATTGTACTGATGGTCAAGTGAGACTTGCTAATGGTACTATACAGCAAGAAGGACGCATTGAGGTCTGTATCAATGGCGTATGGAGCTCAGTCTGTCAATATGGATTCAACACTATTGATGGCTATGTATTCTGCTCACAACTGGGCTATGATGGAGCTAGTAAGTATATAAATACAATTTGATGCAATGTTTTATATTTCCTTTTATTTCCTAGGCCCTTCCATTTATTATAATTCTGTTTTTGGTCCTGGAAATGGTCCAATCGGTTGGAGTTATATTTACTGTCAAGGATGGGAGACCTCAATACATGACTGTTCCAAATCAGTCTACCCTAGCTTCACTTGCTACCCACAATACACCATTGGAGTAACATGCAAAGAAAGTAAGTTTATTCTACATTAATTAATAAACTATTGTTATTATTATTATTATTATTATTATTTCTGTAGATTGTGACAATGGTGATGTTCGTCTTCTTGGTGGTGGATTTGACAATGAAGGAACAGTTGAAGTTTGCTATAATAACATTTGGGGAGTTGTTTCTGATAACGGTTGGACTGATGCTGATGCCAGAGTTGTATGCAATCAACTTGGATACACTGTTGGAAGTAAGTGACATTGATGCATCAATAATTAATTCTATTATCATCATTGATACAGTGGCAACTCCTCTATTGAACTCTTACTATGGCAAACCAAACAAGACAGTTCATTTCAGAGATGTGTCTTGTACTGGAAATGAGCTCAATCTTGCTGAATGCTCCAAGACAGTTCTATCACTGAGTAATGGCAAACTAGCACTAGCTGGTACTGAAGTAGCTGGTGTTGATTGTATCTATGATGTACCTACTCCTCCACCTTGTGTTCCAAAGGATGGACCCACTTCAGGTAATGAATGTACTGCAGGTTCTGTGAGACTTGTTACATCAACTGGGTCTGTGTCCTCTGATGCTGGCAGAGCTGAGTATTGCTACAATGGATTGTGGACACCTTTTTGTAACATGGACACTAAAGTAGGATCTGTCATCTGCAGGCAAAATGGACACACTGCTTATTCCTGTAAGAAATAATTTTATAAATTTATCTTTAATTTTTTCAAATACTAATCCTCAGGGGCAAGTGTTGATGTGACAGAAACAGACTATGTTTTCTTGTCAAACTATTCTCTCTTCAGCAACATATCTTGCACTGGATCTGAGACTAACATAATTTACTGTCAATTGAATGAGTCACCTGATGACTGCACTCCAAACTGTCCTTATAACAACATTGTAGTCAGATGCTTTGGTAATTAAGAGCTGCACAATATTTTTAATATTTTTTAACCTCTCCTTATAACAGGTAATGCTGGTACATCATGTACTGAAGGATCTGTCCGTCTTATTGATGGTCTTGTTCCCAATGAAGGACGTGTTGAGGTTTGTGTCAATAGTGTTTGGGGCAGTGTCTGTACTGATGGCTGGGACACAACTGATGCTCATATAGTCTGTACACAACTGGGTCATCCTGAGCTCCGTGAGTTTCTGAAATGTATCACATCATGTTAAATATTTGTTCTTTAGAGCCTAGACTGTTCACAAATTCTTATTTTGGTGATGGAGACTATCCTATTGTTTATTCCAATCTTGGCTGTGGTGGATGGGAGAATGCTCTCAGTGCTTGCAACAAAGATAACTACAATGATTTCTTCTCATGCACAAGAGATAATGTTGCTGGACTTTTGTGCGGAGCAAGTAAGAAGGATTGATATGAGTGCTTGAATTTATCTCTTATTATTTACTAGATTGTGCTGATGGTGATGTGAAGCTGGTTGGTGGCTATGGAGCCTACGAAGGAAGTGTCCAGTTCTGCTTTGAAAATATTTGGGGTCTTGTGGCTCAATCTGGCTGGAATTTAGCTGATGCTCAAGTGATCTGTAGACAACTTGGTTATGAGACAGCAGGTAAGTTTTAATAAAAGTTCCATGAAATCAAATGCTTACTGTATGTACTTGCTCTTTGTCATAGGTACCCAGTTCTTCACTGGTCTAGAGTATGGAAAGGATGCTAGTACTATCCTCCTATCTGATGTTGATTGCTCAGGGACAGAAGGCTCACTTGCAGACTGCACATACTCTTCAATGTCACTACCAGCAGGAAAGGCAGCACTTCAGGCAGCAACTGGTGTAGCTGGTGTAAGGTGCTATCATCCTGACAACTGTGTGACACCAGTTACTGGTGGATCGGATTGTATTGATGGACAGTTACGTCTGAGTGGTGACAATGCACAGAATGGCGAAGGAAACCTAGAGTATTGCTACATGGGGACCTGGTCCTCATTCTGCTCACTGGGAGCCAATGAGGCCACTGTTGCCTGCAGGCAGCTTGGATTCACTGTCACTGAATGTAAAGAATAATATTTATTGTATATATGATTATTTTTTATTGTCGTAGTGGTGTCTGTTTTTGATGATGGAAGATATGGCGGCTCAATTTCAAATGTGAGCCAGTTCCAGAACTTTACCTGCAGCAGTCAGAGGACAGAGTTTAGCTTAACTGAATGTGCTTTGGTTGATGATTGTCAGTCAAAATGTCAAAATGCAATTGGAATCAGATGTTCTAGTAAGTTTTGATTTTATAAATGATTTTAAAAATTCAAATATAAATTCGTAGCTCCCAGTGATTGTATGGACGGTGATGTTCGCCTTGTGAATGGAAGCATTGCACAGGAAGGACGTGTTGAGGTCTGTTATAACAATATATGGGGCCCTCTGTGTGGAGATGGCTTCGATCAGAGTGACGCATTCGTAGTGTGTAGGGAACTAGGACTAGGAAGCCATGGTAATGCAAAATTACATCTATCAACTCTTTTAAAAAGTGTTTTATTAATAGAGCCAACTGCATACACTAACTCTTACTTTGGATCTGGAACTGGTCCAGTCCTTTATTCCAAGCTTGGCTGCAGAGGATACGAGTCCACAATAGTTGACTGCTCCAAGTCAACCTATGGTGATTTTAGCTGCACTCGTGGTAATATTGCTGGAGTTACCTGCCAGGACTGTGAGTTAAATCTCAAAATATAGTTCAACTTTTTTATTTTCAAAACATTCCAGCTTGTTCTGATGGTGATGTACAGCTAGTTGGAGGCAGCAGCAACTCTGAAGGAACTGTTGAGATCTGCTATTACAATTTCTGGGGACTAGTTGGAGACTCTGGCTGGAGCAATAATGCTGCGAATGTTGTTTGTCGCCAGTTAGGATTCACTAGAGGTACAGAAAAATTTTTTATTATATTTTCTGATACATGCTGATGTCCTTATGCTATTTAGAAATTTTTTGTGATCTTTCCGACAAATAATTTTTGAGTTATGAGCATTTTTAAAATGAGCAATTTTTGAAAAAAAACAAAGGCTAGATCTATATTTCATAATTTTTTTAAATGGCTCCAAAATCACTTCAAATTTTTATTACATTTTCTAATGCATATTTATGTAGAAAGTTTGAGCCATTTCTAACAAATAATTTTCAAGTCATAAAAAATGTTATTGCAATACTGTGTATAGGTGGTATGGCAAAGACGAACTCTTTCTACGGGAAACCCAACAAGACGGCACAAGTTACCACTGCCATTTGCTCAGGATCTGAATCCACACTCGATGACTGTGACATTGAGCGTGTTCCAGCTGAGAATGGTAGAGATGTTGCTGCAGCAATACAGGCAGCTGGTGTCATGTGCACGACATCTACTGTTGATAATCCTAGTGGTTCCACTGGTGGACTCTCTGGTAATGGAGGAGCTGTTGGAATTAGTGTTGTTGCTGTGTTCTTGGTTGTAGCAATCATAGTAGTGATTGTGTAAGTTTATATGCAAAAACACTCCATATCAGCTATTATACTCTCATTATGACTAAATCCTCTGTTTCTTATTGCAGCCTCATTGCTATCATAGTACTCCAGCGAAAGAGTGGCGATAAGAACATTGCTACAGGACCTGGCGTAAGGATGTCTGGATTGGAAGAGAGGGGAGTACAAAATCCTCTTGCTATGGATGAGGAGGAACCTGATTTTGCCACGTCTGACAACGAAATGATAATTGAAGCAATGGGAAAAGAATAAGAACTTTTTTATTACATAAAACATGCACAAGAACACATAAGCTTAACCTATACTGTTAATATAAGCTGCATTGTATAAGCCTAATCTTTTCCTTGTTAGATTATGCATTTAATAATTAATTTTTTTGCTGCTTTTTGCATAAGAGTGTTGCTTTACTATTTGAGATGTTTTATAGTTTGTATTGTTTTTTATTATTACAATAAAAACTGCAGCATTTTGTGAACAGCTTCTGCACATTGCAAACAGCAGTGAGTTATATGCATATCATTATGTTGGGTGTATGTATGTATATGTAAGTAAACTATAATGTGTTATTGGCAAATAAGTTATTGGTCCTTCTCTCCTGGAAAGTCAACCATTCCTCCAGCAGAAGCTGAATAAGAGACCATGGAGTCTCTGTTCTTATTGACTACAGAATATAATGGCATGTCGGATAGGTCTGCATTAGCACTGGTGGTCTTGAGTATGTCTTCGGACTGTCTGCCCTTTTGATAAGCATGATAAAGGACACCAAACAATCTGAAGTAATAATAAATGATTAAGCAATGTTTGTCTTAACTTACAGTACAACAGAGAGAATTCCAATTACAATCAAAACTCCAAAAATACCGGTCAGCACATAAAGTGCATTTTCAGATGATATTGCACTAGCAGTAGCTGTAGCACCCAGGCCTGTTGCTCCAGCACTTGAAGACATTTGAACCGTAGAGGTAGTTATATTGGGCAGTGGACAGTGTACACCAACTACAGGCTGGTTAGTACTGCTGGGACTGTTTATTGGTAGTTTATAGGCTCTGCATTGAGAGATAGAGGTTTCACTACCAGTACAATAGACACTGTTCAAGTGAATGGTCTTCATTGGATTGTATGCATTCATTATTGGAGTTGGATCTAAAACGCATTAAAATAGAAGGACTGCTGGTAATAACAAAGTACTTACTATCAGTCATTAAGTTGACTTGTCTGCAGACAACTGCTGCGTCATTAACACCCCACCCAGTCTGTCCAATGAGACCCCACAGGTTATCATAGCAGACCTCAACCGTTCCATCTCTTCCTGTAGTACCATTGACTAGACGCAAGTCTCCATCAGTACAGCCTACAATGACAAGATAGTTGCTTCAAAATCTGGTCAAAAATCTATACCATGAAGGTATTTTGTAATAATGATTTCAGAGAAATTTTTTGAAGAACCATGGCCTTTGCTTTTTAAAAATTCGCTTGTTTTCAAAATGGCTGTAACTTAAAAAATTTAAGTCGGAATCAGCTCAAACTTGCTACACAGCATAAGGACATCAATATGTATTCAAAAATGTAATAAAAATTTGGGGTGATTTCAGAGCCATTTTTTGGAAAAACCATGGGCTATAATAGCCTTGGGTATTTTTCAGAATTTTGGCATTTTCTTAAAATGGCTCTAACTCAAAAAATTGAACTCAAAATCAGCTCAAACTTTCTACACAGCATAAAGACATCAATATGTATCAGAAAATGTAATAAAAACTTGGGGTAATTTTGGAGCCATTTTTGGAAAAAACCATGGGCTATATATAGCCTTGGGTATTTTCAGAATTTTGCCGTTTCTTTGAAATGGCCATAACTTGAAAAATTGAAGTCAGAATCAGCTCAAACTTGCTACACAGCATAAGAACATCAATATGTATCAGAAAATGTAATAAAAATTTGGGGTGATTTTGGAGCCATTTTTTGGAAAAAACCATGGGCTATAGCCTTGGGTATTTTTCAGAATTTTGCCGTTTCTTTAAAATGGCCATAACTTGAAAAATTGAAGTCAAAATCAGCTTAAACTTGCTACACAGCATAAGAACATCAATATGTATCAGAAAATGTAATAAAAATTTGGGGTAATTTTGGAGCCATTTTTTGAAAAAAAACATGGGCTATAGCCTTGGGTACTTTTCAGAATTTTGACGTTTTCTTAAAATGGCCGTAACTTGAAAAATTGAAGTCGGAATCACCTCAAACTTGCTACACAGCATAAGGACATCAATATGTATCAGAAAAAGTAATAAAAATTTGGAGTGATTTTAGAGCCATTTTTTGGAAAAAACCATGGGCTATAGCCTTGGGTATTTTTCAGAATTTTGGCGTTTGTATAAAATGGCTGTAACTTTAAAAATTTAAGTCGGAATCAGTACAAACTTTCTACGTAGCATAAGAACATCAATATGCATCAGAAAATGTAATAGAAAATGGGGGTAATTTTGGAGCCATTTCTCCAAAAAAACCCATGGGCTTTTTTAAAAATGAATTTTTAAAAGTTGCTAAAAATCAGGCCCTGTATTACACTTGTGCTGTTAGTGCATAGCTTACCATCAGCACATAGTATTCCAGCTGTGTTTCCATTGTTGCAAGTGAAGCTTGGATAGCTGTCTTTACTGCAGGCAGAAAGACTTGTTTCAAATCCTTGACAGCCAAAGTTTGAATACACAATCGGTACATCACCAATTCCAAAGGCAGAGTCAACAAATGCAGTACTTGCTAAATAAGAAAATTATAAAAATAGTAATACAAAATAACAAAAAAACCTCATGCTCATAACAAAATAACATTTCATAAAAAAATATTTATAGTTTTTTCTTACCAGCATTAGCATATCCTAATTGCTTGCACGCAGTGAGTGCATCGGGTCCATCCCAACCATCAGGACAAATCTCTCCCCACAAGCCATTAACACACATCTGGACTGCTCCCATTTGCTGTATGGCACCTCTAACTAGCCTAATATCACCTTGCTGGCATGTTGTACCACCACTGCCAACACCTGAAAAAAAACATTAAATATTAGTAATTTGTGAGTGAGTTTCATCTTAGCATACTGAAGCATCTTAGTCCAATGTTGCTTGCACAAGTAGGCACACAGCCTCCACTGGTGAAGTTACATTGAATCAATGAAGACTCAGAGCCAGTGCAAGATGAGCTAGTGAATGTACTGTAGTTGTATCCGCTGTTACCAAGCTCTCCATTAGTGAATATCCTACCATCTATTGTAACAAAAAATAAGCACTTGTTAATAGAATGCACAGTCAAGCATCAATTTAAATCTAACTGATTATATACATCATAAGCATTTACGCACAGCTATATTGAGTGAATCCCATCTGTCTACAAGCTACTTGGGCCACCTTTGAGTCAAGCATACAGAAAGGAGACCACGTGCTGTTATAACAGTACATTAGGACTCCTCTATCAGTAGATGATCCAAGGAATTTAACATCTCCAGTAGAACAGGTAACTCCAGTTTGAGAAGGAGTGACTGAGCATATAGTTGGAGGGCTGGTTGGTGGGAATGGAGTGCAGGTGACACCTGCAACTGTTGCAACACTTTGAATTGATCGTCCTACAGTGTAGTTGTACGAAGTTGAGGAACAGTTTCCAATTGAGAGCTCAGCTCCACCACAATTATAGTCAGTGGTTAGTATAGGCCGGCTGGCTTTCTGAGCATTTGAATTAGCAACGGCATCTATAAGATATATTTATAATTATCATTGCAAAAAAGCTGTACATGTAAGTTTTTAAATAATCAATGCATGTATTAGTAGTCATAATTTTACTTAATCTATCAAAGCCGAGTTGAGAACAGACAACAGCTGCTTCGGAATTGTCCCAGCCAGAATCACCAATCATTGACCAGAACCCGTCCTGACATACAAGGACAGTTCCAGCTGTGTCAGTACCGCCATACAACTGAACCATTCCATTAGTACAACCTTTAAAATATGACATAAATAATTTATAGAATAAATTATTGGTGCTTACCATCTCTACAGGCAATTCCTACGACGTTTCTACGAGAGCAGCTGGACCATGGATACTGGCTCTTACTGCAGCTATCAATGCTGGCCTCCCATCCACCACACATCACATCAGAATATACAATAGGGCCATTGCCATCTCCAAACATTGAGCCAGTGTATATGTATGGCTCTAGAGGATGAGCAAAAATTAAAATGCAATTTATTTTAACAAATCAAAATAGCTCTTACCTCCAATGCCATATCCTAGCTGCTTGCAGACGACAAGAGCGGATGATTTATCAAATCCCACATCACATATGCTGCCCCACACTCCATTGAGACAATATTCAACACGTCCTTCCTGCTGTATGAGGCCGTTGGTAAGCTGTACAGCTCCACTAGTGCAAGGGGTAGAAGGTGGATCTAAAAATTGATCATTTACTTTAATTAGTGCTGGATTAGTAGGGGCTTACCCTGGCATATTATTCCAAGAGGATAAGCACAAGTTGTTGTACATGTGCTCTCAACAGTGCAAAAACTGAATGAGGTTGGATTGACTGCTCCAGTGCAGTTGATGTATTGGAAACTGCTTGTGTTAGGAGTCAATCCATATCTACCATCATCAATAATTGCAGCCCCTGGAATAGTTAATTTATAATATACATGAATAAAAAATATACATATTAATTATCAGGCTTACAATCATAATTGGTGAACCCCAACTGACGACATGCTACAGTTGCCTCGGATGGATCAAGCTGACAAACAGGAGACCAGTTTCCATTATAACAGAATCTTAGATTACCGACTCCATTTGAGCTACCACCAGTCGTTTGTACGGTATTAAATGTGCACTCTGATCCTGGTACATCAGAAGGTGGTATACAGTTTGATGGAAGACAAGAAACACCAGCCACTTGTACTTGAGGTAGTAGTGTCTTCCCTTCACTTAGTGAGTAGAATGTATAGGCACACTGATCAAGTGCAGTCTCATCTCCAGTACAATATACATCACTGAGCATGATAGTCCTGTTATTCTTACCATACTTAGACCCTATACTACTAGCAGCACCTTTAATGGTGATATTAATATAATGTTGGAGTTATTATATAACCAATGTGGCTTACCATCAGTTGAGAATCCTAGCAGCTTACAGATTAGCTCAGCGTCTTTGTCACCCCAGCCTGAGTCGGCTACCTGGCCCCAGATGTTGTCAAAGCAAACCTCAACTGTTCCTTCAGTGTTCTTGGAGCCTCCGACCAATCGAACATCTCCATTCTGACAGTCTGTTACATGATTCATAATAATAATAGTAATAATAATACAATAATGATAATAATTATGCAGTAAATTCATTATAGAGATTGCAATAAACTAACTAAATGTTTATAGCTATTTCAAAGTTTGCAACCACTTACCATATCCACAGAGTGCTCCTGCAACTCTATTTCTAGGACAGCTAAAGCCGGAGTATTCAGTCTTAGTGCAATCAACAATAGAGCTCTCAGGACCAACACAGCCCATGTTGGAGTATATGATGGGGTAAATACCATCGCCAAAATGAGAACCAAAGAATGCAATTGGTTCTATAAAAAAACAAACAATAATATAACTAATGAATTTTTGTAATTAAGGCAATTTACTATCTTCACTCAAGGTATATGCATCAAATAATTTAATGAAATGAAAAATTTTTTCCTAGCCAATTTTAGTCTTAAATATTCTGTACTATAGCTAATATTTAAAAATCATAAAAAATTGAATTTTAATCGGAATGGGCTCAAACTTAAACACAACACAGGTACATGTACATGTATCAGAAAAAAATATAAAAATTGAGAATTTTTACTTTTACTTTTTGGCAAAATTTGGCCAATGATCCTGTAGGTACAGGCCAATTTTTGAGCAACTTAAAAAAATTTGTAAGAAATTTTATTTCTATCAAAATCAGCCCAAACTTTCTACTTAAGGCAAAAACATATATATGCATCATGAATATGCATAACTCAAAAATAAACCTCTTGAAAAATACCAGTAATACTATAGTTCTATGCAGGTTTCATTGCTCTACCTAGTTCAGGGTGTCCTAACTGCTGACAGACTACGTGAGCATCAGTTGTATCCCATCCATCATCACAAATAGTGCCCCACACTCCATCACGACAGACTTCAACACGTCCTTCATTCTCAATGATGCCATCAACCAAACGAATAGCCCCATCAGTACAACCAGTAGTATCTGAAAATGAAGCATCATCGTGTGGCATAATGAACTCAATATTGACTTACTAAAGCATCTAATCCCAATATTAGCCCCTGGACAGTAAGGATAGCAGCTACCAGTAGCTGCATTCACAATACAAGAAGCTAGAGTTGAAGTTCCAACAATTGAAGAACATGTAATGTTCTGGAAAAGACTGATGTTGCTGCTGGTACCAAATTCACCAGTAGTGACAATACTAGCATCTAATAGGAGGACAGTCATAAAGTAATGGATGAATGTAAAGATTCCTTACAAGTATATGCATTGTAGTTGAGGTTCTTGCATGCTACAGCAGCAGTTGTTTCATCAAGGGAACAGAATGGAGACCAGAGTCCAAGATAGCAATATTCCAATCTACCTACTCCATTGACTCCTCCTACTGTATGAACCTGACCATTGATACAATTAGTAGCTGAAAAGTCTGGTGATGCAGTGACACAAGCTGGTTGAGTAGGAGGCTCTGGTTGGCAGTCAAGGCCAGCTGCAGAAGCATTGGCGTAGAGTGTTTTACCAGCATTAAGAGTAACAGCTGTCTTTGAGCATTCACTGATGGAGTCCTCAGTACCATCGCAACCAACATTGAGGAGATGCACGGTTTTATTGGGTCGGCCATAATAATTATCATAACGAGCTATAGCATCTGTAAAAAAAAAAGAAAAATAATAATGTATTTACAATAAGAATGGATGAGTTATTCTGTTACACGGTGTAGATCATTATATTTTTTATGAATAAGAGGTGCTTTATTTTTAATTACTTGTTGGGTCAAATCCTAGTGATCTGCAGACAACTTTAGCATCATTATTGTCCCATCCAACCTGACTGATGATACCCCAGAGGTTAGCATAACAGACCTCAACTGTTCCCTCATCTCCATCTCCATCACCACCAACTAACCTTACTTCACCATCCTGGCAATCTTTATGTAAAGAAATAAGAAATAAATCCCACAGGTTCCAGTATGCATTAGTTATTACCTTCAGCACACAATACTCCAGCAATGTCAGACCTGAGACAGTAGAAGTTCAAATAGTCTCTCCTAGTGCAGTCTCCCAGACCTGCTTCCCATCCTTTACACTGTACTACTCCCCACACGATTGGGTATATCCCATCACCATAAAAAGAATTAGATCGAGCAGTGGGAGCTGCATAAAAATAATATAAGAATTAAATTATGTTTTAAAATATATAGATTATAAAAATCCTATAAAAGTAAAATCATGCACAACTATCTATGATATATAAATTATTTTTTTAGAAGCTAAACTCTCTCTCCCTTCCCTCCACTTACCTACTGCACCATTGTATCCTAACTGCCTGCAGACAATGTATGCGTCTATTTGTCCCCAGTTGCTGTCACAGAGAGTGCCCCACACTCCATTATAGCAGACCTCAACACGTCCCTCCTGCTCTATACTACCATCTACCAGTCTGACAGTACCTTCATTACACATACCAGGATCTGTGGAGTGAAAGAGAGAGAAAGAAAAGTTAGTAGTGCTCTCTCTCTCTCTTTCTCTCTCTCTTTCTTACTGAAGCACTTCATTCCCCATTCAGTAGGGCAGGTAGCAGGAGTACAGGCAATACTATGTTGTATTTGGCATTGAGTGAGTGAGCTCTCGCTTCCACTGGTGGAGCATACAAGGAGCTTAAAGTCACTAGCAATAGAGCCTACACCATATCTCTCATCACTGAATAATGAAGCATCTATGGAAAGGAGAATAATTAATCCACGATTATAAAAGACATACAATTGTATTGAGTGTATCCAAACTGCTTGCAAGCAACGGATGCGGTTTCATCTGCAAGCCAACAAAATGACGACCATTGTCCCTCATAGCAATACTCAAGCCGTCCTTCAGAAGCATCGCTGCCTCCTTGAAGACGAGCAGTCCCATTGACACAGCCATGAGTGGGTGCAGCTGCACAGCGGAGCCCTACAGACTTATGTTGAGGATTGTTGCATGATGCATCGTATGTTTGTGGACACTGGTTGAAGGAGGTCTCTGATCCAGTGCAGGCATATTGATACACACGATTGAACTTGAAAAACCCATAAATCGTATCAGCATTGTAAAATATGTTGATATCTACAGTATACAAAAACCAACACTAACACTGCCTGCATAGAATTATATAGTGCTTACTTATTGAAGAGTTGTAGCCAAGTTGTCTGCAAGCCACTTTAGCATCGTTACACCAGAAGCCATGATTGCATATTGTACGCCATTGACCTTGAGCATTACACACTTGAAGGAGACCCTCTGATGGCGGAATGTTATCATAAGCACTGTATAGCTGCATGTCCCACTGAGTACAAGCTAAAATAGGTTTTAAAATGGAAGGATAGAGTAATTTACACTTTCTTGATGCATAATTGATACCCTTACGGCCACATTAGTCAATTCTGATTGAATTTTATGGAAAGTTATGCTAATTTCTGAAAGTGACCATGCACAAGTATTGTTGGCTTTCAATTTTTATTAAATTTTAATGCCCTTATTTGAAATTTTTGGATCATAGCTGTTTGGAAAAACCCATTGACCATTATTATAGTCTGTGCATTTGCCCATTAATTGCAGTATTTCCTATAATTCTTACGTGGACAGATGACAACAGCATCACTGTTGTGATTGCAGCCTGGATTGTTAGTGAACAAATTCCCACTGCAGTTAGCCAGTCTTGACTCTGTCCCAGTACAAGCAAGATTGTTGCCCCAAATAGGACCAAAAGCTGGGAAATAGCCAGAAGTTGCAACAGACTGATTCTGAGCAGCTATAAATTTAAAAAATCATTTTCATGATGTCACATTGTTTTACATAGCAATAGAAGCTACAGACCTGCCGTGGGGTATCCTAACTGTCTACAGACAACCTGGGCCTCAGCTTGGTCCCAATTATTATGGCAGATTGTTCCATAAGAGCCTGAATGGCATAGGAAGACGACACCCTGTCGACTGTTTCCAGTTCTAACTAGATACATGCTGCCCTCAACGCAAGCTGATGAGGAAAGAATAAAATAATAGTATTAAGAACATTAATGTATTATTGGTGTCTTACGTGGACATCTGAGCCCAGCATCTTCATTATGGCCACAATTATGGACACCATAGGCATTCTTGGGGCAGTTACTGATGCTAGTCTCTGTTCCTACACACTGAACATTGTCCAGCCATATCCTTCCACTTCCCTGACCAAAATAAGCATTTCTAAAACCAACAGCACCTGGAGGGAGTAAAAGGAGAGGAGGGAGAGAATTAGAAGAGATCTGATAATGCTTCTTTCTTTGCAGTTATAATTTACCATCAGTTGAATATCCAATCATACGACAGACAACTTTGGCATCATTGTTGCCCCAGTAGTCATCACAGACAGTTCCCCACTGGTTGTTCCTGCAGTACTCCACTCTTCCTTCACGTCCCTGAGTGCCACCTACAAGTCTCACAGAGCCACCGCCACATGCAGATTCTGTCAAGAAAACAGGCTCAAAATATTTCTGCAAGTGACAAAATGGCTTACCTCCAATATGAAAGAGAGCTAAAGCGCAACAGAGAAAAGCAAAAGCCTTCATGACTAAACGCTGGCTCTTGTTGTTTCCACGAAGCAACAGCACCCCCAACGATAGACACCCACCGAATTGGAACTATTATTCACATTTTTTTTCATGAATAAGATTAACAAGTCAGCAAAAAACAATTAATAATAAATTGAGTATAAAATTGGTAGCATGTGAACAGCATGTGCAGAATATGTGTGTGTTCTCAATGTTTATGCTTGTTCTAAAAGTTATGAGTTGCTCGTGACACGATTAGAATCATTGCAATTGTGACTCCTTGATGAGCTCATGCAGACGCTTGGTGTCTTCATCGTCAGCATCATCAAGACCGGTCTCTGTGGCGAGTGGGTTCGTCACTTCACGTGGGTCAGAACGCTCAGCGGCCCTGGTCTTAGAAAGAACTTTACTGACCTCTCTTCTTTTCCGCTGTACATACACCATTGCTGCAACAATACTGGATCAAGGAAAGAGAGATACATGTTATGCAACATATTGTAATGCAAGCAATAGTTGGTAACACACATATATTAGATAAAATTAGGTAATATCTAATTAAAAATAATAAATTAGACAAAATAGTCAATATAACTTCTATATATCATCAAAGGACTTACATTGCCGCAATTACAATAAGCAATAAAGTGATAACTCCCATCAGGGCAGTAGCTGTTATAATGCCATTGTTACTATCAGCTGAGGCACCACCAACTGTTGGAGCTAGTGTAGAGCTCATTGTAGAAGACATTGATGAAGATGGCATTGCTGGAGTAGAAGATGGTAAAGTAATGGTTGGTGTACCAATGCAATTGACGCCAGCTACTGTAGGATAATTACTAGCATCGTTAACATTAACACGCGTTGAGGAGCAATCAGTGAGCAACTTCTCATTGCCAGAGCAGCCAACATTAGTCAAGTGAACAGTGTTATTGGTACGACCATATTGACTGTTGATACTACCAGTAGAACCTAATGACAGAATGAATAAACTTCATAATGGGACATTGTTGCTATAACTTACCAGATGTACCATATCCCAATTGCTTACAAACCACTTCTGCGTCAGCATTGCCCCAGTTAAGATCACCGACCATACCCCAGAGATTAGAGTAGCATATTTCTACGGTTCCTTGTGATGAAGTGGTTCCACCTACAAGCCTCACAGTTCCGTCAATGCAAGCTAGAAGGAAAGAAATAATTTCGTTATTTGTTTATTTAGATTTTAATTCTTACGGGTTGAGCATTGAGCCCCAGCAATATTATCAGCAGAGCACATGACAGATGAATAAGAGTCCTTGGTACAGGCAGCAAAAGTGTTTTCAAACCCACCACACTGAACGTTGGTATATATGGCAGGGCCAGACCCAGAACCAAAGAATGAACCAGTATAAGCAATATTAGCTATAGTAGGAGAGGAAGAAAGAAAGATTAAAACATTACCTTCTGTCACTACTCACTCATTCCAGTGTATCCCAGCTGCTTGCATACAACGTACACGTCAGCTGTGTCCCAGTTAGTGTCACAGACAGTGCCCCACACTCCATTCAAGCATGTCTCAACTCGCCCTTGCTGTACAAAAGCACCTCCAGCCAATCTAAGATCACCTTCATTGCAAGCAACTTGATCTACACAATGATATAATAATAATAATAATAATATAATACTTAGGGTGTGTTTAGTATTCAGTATTTATATATGTACATTGTCTCATTATGGGTGTGTAGTGACACACAATATACTGTGATTGTAATGCTATATGTAGGCTCACCATAGCATCTGATAGCTACACTAGTGGTACACTTTGTGAGGCATTGAGTTGAAGGTGTTGCAATGTTACAGGATGAAAGGGAGTTCTCAGAGCCCTGACATGTTATACTATCCACTAGACTGTAGCCCATCCCATTGCCATAGGCTCCATTGGTTATCAGTGAGGCCCCTAAGAGAAAGGATAGGATATCAGTTACATAGAGAAAGAGGGGAGAGGGGGAGAGAGAGGTACAGGTATAGTGTCTCAGCTTACAAGAGTAAGAGGTGTAGCCCAGCTGTCTACAGGCCACTGAAGCAGTGTTAGTATCAAGTGTACATAGACCGGTCCACTGTCCGTTATAGCAATATTGTAAAAGGCCTGATGAAGACCCAACAATATCAGAATCCAAATAGACAGCACCAGTGTTGCAAATTGGAGTGAGGGAGCTATAATCGGGAGCGACTTGACAGCCAGGTGGGGGAGTGTTAGGAATACAAGTCACACCAGCAACGTCGACATGAGACACGGCAGCCTTTCCTTGATCAAGTGTCAACCAGTTAACAGAGCAATCACTGATGGTCTGTTCAGTCCCATCACACACTACACTGGAGGTAACCAGGGTCAGGTTGGGCTTACCGTAATAAGAGTTTACTCTAGGAGTACCACCTAAATAAAGATGAAGATTAACACTTAGTACACTGTAATCATTCAGTAATCATTGTAATATCTAAAATTATTGCAAAATTTAAATGTTGTTTATACTCCACTTCGTATGTAATATTTTGAAGTTGTAATATTGTGTAGATATGTTCATTTACCATTAGTATATTGTAATTGGCGACAGAGAACGTTAGCATCATTGCTGTCCCAACTGACCTGACCGACCAGACCCCACACATTGTTCTTACAAATGAGGACCGTCCCTTCACTGGGCAGTGTACCACCAGTCAGCATAACAGCACCTTCAGTACAAGCTAACGAGGTAAAGAAATGAATAAATATTTAAATGTACATGTATTTGACATACCGTCACGACAGAAAACACCTGCAACTTGATTCCTAGTACACTGTATGGCAGGGTATGTGTTCTTAGCACAAGCAGAAAACATTGACTCGTATCCCATACACGAGATATTAGAGTATATAATAGGTCCAAATACTTCACCATAAGCAGAGGAATCAGTAGTTACAATAGGCTCAGCAATACCAAGTCCTAACTGAGCACACACCACTAGTGCATCAGCTCTGTCCCAAGCATCAGAGCAGACTCCGCTCCATACACCGGACATGCATATCTCAACACGACCTTCTTGAGCTACGGTACCATTAGCCAATCTCATTGACCCGTCTGTGCATGTACCAGGATCTAAAATAAATATGAAGGAAAGTAGTGATGGGATTGAGTATTGTTATAAGTATTACTATAGCAGCGGATGGAGTAAGGAGTGGCACAGGTTGATATGCAGTCTTTGTATACGACGCAGTCTCGTACTGTGGATTCACCACCTAGACAGGTAATGTTCTGAAAGGAGCTCATGTTAGTTGAAGGAGAGAAACGATTATCAGTTATGATACCAGCCCCTATAGCGAGAGAGAAAAAAACATGAAACAATAAACATAATAATAAAAAGAAATATTATACCATGTATACTAATCTAGAAGCATGATGATGATGATAATATTAACTCACAGCTATAATCAGTGTATCCCAGTTGACGACAGGCCACAGTGGCAGTAATGCGGTCCAGTGTACAGAAAGGCGTCCATCGTCCATTGAGACAGTAATTAAGGATACCTTCATAGCTATTAGCTCCTGAAGTCGAGAGCTGAATGTCTCCTGTGTTACAAGTGAAAGCCTGCGTTGGATCGGGTGGTATACATGTGATGGGTTTCTGACACTGAACACCAGCGACTAGCGCCTGTGTTCCAAGGTCTTTGCCTTCAAGAACCGAGTGACGTGTGTATGTACATTGAAGGAAGTCAGTCTCATTCCCAGTACAGTAGAGATCAGATACTAATATGGTACTAGCGGTACGACCAAAATAGCTGCCATAGAGGGGGACAGCACCTAAAAATGAAAGAGAAACATCACATAAAAACTTTAAAAAGGGCAAAAAAGAGGGGGATAATGTTATTACCGTCAGTTAAATATCCACCAAGTAAGTTACAGACCAACTGAGCGTCTTTATCACCCCAGCCTGTCTCCTCAATGTTGCCCCAAACATTATCAAAACAGACTTCAACTGTTCCTTCATTGTCGCTGGTTCCACCCATCAGTCGTACCTGACCATTCACACAATCTAGGAAAAAGAAGTTAGGTAACAGGTTTATTTTTAAGTGCAAGACTCACCAGCTCCACAGAGGACTCCAGCTGTATGATCACGAGAGCAAGTAAACTCTGAATACAATTGACTCCTACATTGAGTGTAGTTCTTTTCAAAGCCAACACAATCCACGTTAGATAGAACAATGGGCTGGAAGCCATCATCAAAGAAAGAGTTATGGAACACAATTGGAACTAGAAACAGACAAGAGAGAGAGAAAGGGAGGGAGGGAGAGTGAAATAAATTAACAGTTAATAGAGTATGCTAACTAAGTTCAGGGTGTCCAAGTTGTGTACAGATTACGTGTCCAGCTGTTGCATCCCAGTTGTTGTCACAGACAGCTCCCCAGACGGCATTGACACAAACCTCAACTCTTCCTTCATTAGCAACAAAACCATCCACTAACCTCACATCACCTGAAGTACATTGACCAGGAGCTGGAATAGAGAGAGAGAGAGAGAGATTATGTAGATTACAATATAAAGTGTATTCTGTTACTAACTGAAGCAGCTAATGGCGATATTAGCCCCAGGACAGTTAGGGATACAATTATCGGTACTGATTGTACACAAGCTAAGGGCAGAGCCAGAAGGATCACAACTGATATCACTCACATAACTGTAGTTAGTGAGGACTCCATATGGGTGGTCAGTATAAATGGCAGCCCCTATAAATATAATAGAATGTGATGTACACTAAAAGAAGCGTAATAGATCATAAGCTTACAGCTGTAGACAGTGTAACCAAGGTTCCTACATATTACAGAAGCAACGCTCTCATTTAGACTGCAGAGAGGAGTGTAGCTTGCATTGAAACAGACCTCAACTCTACCAGAAGAGGAATTACCCCCGGCTAATCTCACGTCTCCTTGATTACACCCTGAGCCATCAGGAGTGAGTAGTGGTGCTGGAATACAGGGAGGAGCAGTAGGAGGCATTGGGTGACAGTCTACACCAGCAACGGTTGCATTCCCATATACAGTCATTCCATCAGTTAATGAGACTGAAGTGAATGTACACTCCTGGAGTGTGTCCTCAGCTCCTGTACAATGAACGTTAGCATAATGAACTGCTTTCTTGGGACGACTGTAATAAGACCCAACTCTTGGTACAGCAGCTAAAAGAAGGCAATAATATATTACCAAGAAATAATGATCTTACTGTCAACAGAGAATCCTAACTGACGACAGATGACGACAGCTTCAGCTGGTTCCCAGAGAGTATCATCAATGACTCCCCAAAGATAGTCCACACAAATCTCGACTGTACCTTCAGAAGCATCAGAGCCACCAACAAGTCTAATGTCACCATTATTACAATCTAAAAGAGGAATATAAATAATGTGATATGTAGTATAAGATTTTAGCTTACTATCGTAGCAACGTGTTCCTATTATAGTCCCACGATAGCAGGTAAAGTCAAGATAGTCTTGTCTTGGACAGTCAAACACATTCTTTTCCCAACCCTTACAATCAACATAGTCAAAAATGATAGGATATATCCCTCCATCACCAAAATAGTTACTCCAAAATGTGGTAGGAGCTATGAGAAAAAGAATGTTAAAATATAATACATTATGATTATTAAGAAATGCTCACCTCTAGGAGCAGTGTAGTTAAGCATCTTGCATACAATATAAGAGTCAATGTTAGTGAAAGAGTGTCCACATATTGCACCCCAAACTCCTTTATAACAGACCTCAATCCTTCCCTCCTGCTCGATTCGACCATCAACTAGCCTAATGTCCCCTTCAGTACACATACCAGGGTCTAAGAGAGAGAGAGAAAGGAGCAGATGAAGTAATATATGGTTTGCTGATTGCTCTGTTAACTAACTGAAGCACTTGATTCCTTTCTCATTCCAGCACTCATAGCTTCCACAGCCTGGCTTATACTCCACTGTACAGTTGATCATGTGATCCTCAGAAGCAGTAGGGCTGCAAGCTATCCTCTGAAAGTCAGCAATGTATCCTGATGTACCAAATCTCTCATCATAAAATATCGTTGCATCTAAAACAATAAATAACTATGATTAAATGAATGCTTCATTCTCACTCACAGGGGTATTGAGTGTATCCTAATTGTTTACAAGCAACTGCTGCCTCTTCATCATCCAGTTGACAGAAAGGAGACCATTCATCATGGAAGCAAAACTCCAGTCTTCCTTCACTTGAGTCAGCTCCTTGTTGAAGTCTGATATCACCGGCTGTGCATCCGTGAGCTGAAAGGAAAATATAATGAAAATGATCATTCATTAGTGCCAAACATACAAACTGCATTTTCAGCACATTTAACTCCAGCTGTTTCAGAGAGTGCACTATCGCACCATGTGGTATATTGAAAGCTGCAGTCTCTTAGAATTTGTTCAGATCCAGTGCAAGTGACCCTCTGTGGTAGCACTGGCTTATAGAAACCATAAGCTCCTTCAACATCATACAGTGCCTGGTAAGCTACATTATCATTGAGTAACAGTTAGAATAATACCCAGTAATACAACTTACTTAAGGTCCCATTGAAGCCAAGATTACGACAGGCAACCTTTGCATCAAGGCAGTCCCATCTCCACCTGCACATTGATTTCCATTCTCCTGAGTTATGACAGTAGTGTAACATTCCCTCAGAAGGAGGGGTAGTAGCATAAGCACTCCATAATCTGATGCTGCCCTTTGTACAAGCTAATATTATAATAATAAATAAAGTACATGATGTAGTTTGGTACCTGGGCAACGGACGCCAGCGTCTTCATTGTGTCCACAGTTATGAACACCAATAGCATTCCCTGAGCAGTTGAACAAACTCTGTTCAGTACCAGTGCAACCAAGATTGTCTAATACAATAGGGCCATAACGCTGTCCAAAATAAGCACTGCTAAAAGCGGTAGCTCCTACAAAGATTGAGCACTGTATGTAAAGGTTACTGATGATAGGTTGTCTGTACCTGATGGATCATAGCCAAGCATGGAGCATACAACTTTAGCTTCATTAGTTCCAAACTGATCATCACAGACAGTGCTCCACACTCCATTGTGGCATATCTCAACTGTCCCTTCTCTCCATGTAGTACCACCAGGCAGCCATACATTACCTTCATAGCAAGCTGAGAAATGGTGTATGATATATGAGTATTATAATAATAATAGTCTTACCTGGGCATCGTACTCCAGCATCTTCATTATGGCCGCAGTTGTGTGAACCAAATCCGTTTCTAGGACACTGTCTGAGCCAAATCTCATTACCAGAACATCTCACGTTATCCAGCCATATTGAACCACTGCCTTGACCAAAGTAGGCATTCGTATAAGCGACAGCTCCTGCAGTGAGAGAGGAGTGTGTGCTTGCTGCACATTAAAAGTGTAAACCAACCGTTTGGATCATAATTGAGTTGAGAACAGACGACTTTTGCATCGTTGGTACCCCACAAGTCATCACAGGCCGTTCCCCATTGGTTGTTGTAGCAATATTCAACTCTACCTTCCCTTCCAGTCGAGCCTCCTATAAGTCTAATGTCGTGCTGCGTGCAGGCAGCATCTAAAAAGACAAGTATGCTAGCGCCAAGTTAAATAAAAACAGCTTACCTGAGAGGCCGAGGCAGATTGCTGCAGCGGTTAGAAAAGCTAAAAGAAAAGAGCCCATGGCGGTTCCGTCAGCAGCAAAAAAATCCACCCAAGGCTTGAAGCAAGTGCCACCCAAAATTTAGCAAAAGCTAATGAATATGATTGACTAGTTGACAGTTCAGTAATGAAAATCATGACAGGTCACATTACTCGGTTCCAATTGTTTAAGGTTATGAAGAGAAAATTCATTTTTTTCACAATAACAATGCATCTAATATTAATCATAATTATTATATAAGGTTGAAATGATCACAAGTTGGTTGCATGCGACGATCACATGCTGAGTCTAATTGTAAACACTTAGCTCACCAATGGGGACTTTTTTAACAGCAGAACAACACCTGGAATAAAAATAAAGAAAAATAAATTAAAAATAACAATAACTACAAGTGAAGATCATCAAAAGAAAAGTTATGTACTTTAGTTAGTTGCTGATTTGCTAAAGTTATTCAAAACAATACACACAGGAAAATGAATGAATATGCCAAGTAACCTTTATCCTTGTCTTTCTCTCCCCCCTCTCTCTATCTCTTACCCAATTTCTTTATAAACATGATTATAATCTTCGACAAACTCGGAGCGTCCGATCTGTTCAACAAACTTGAGGTCGTGCGTGATTATGATTAATTGGAAGTTCTTTTGGTGCTGTCTTTCCCTAAACATACAAATAAAGAATTGAGGAGTTACTCCAGATACAAGTACATGTGATACCAGTATAGTGTGTACATCCATACCTTATAATGTCTGAAAGAGCAACAGCAAGTCCTTCAATATTATCACAGTCAAGGTTAGTGGTGGGTTCATCCAGTGCCAACAGGCCACAGTTAATACAAAAAGTCTCTGCCAGAGCTAGCCGAATTATTATAGAAGCCAAGACTTTTTGACCAGCACTGCACCGCCCACGCATGTCCAATGTATTGTCACCTTTTACCATCACAACCTGAGAACAAGGAGAAAGAGAGAGAGATATTGTAATGAAGTATAATGTACATGTGCATACTCTGTAATTATACACTTTTCTCCCAGTTGAAGACGATCCTTCCGGATCATCATCAGAACGAATCTCTATCGTGTCGATATCTAAGTTTCTAATTAAAGCACAATACGATTAAGGACCACACTCACCTCCTCCTTTGTAGGTCTTCATCCAGAGCTCTTTAATTATTTTATTAATCTCGTCCATTTTAATTGTGTGGAATCTCATTATAGCTCTAGGAGTATTGAACATACACATGTACATGTATACACATACAGCAACAGTACAATTGCACATTTAAAAATGCTCGTAATTTTCATTTTGCCAAGAATTCTTCATTTCAATGCACACACACACACACACACGGTATATTTACCTGTCTAGTGCTTTATAATACTTGTCAAGGTCCTTTATAGCTAAATCTGTTGTCTGTGATTAATAGGTACATAACAGTAGCAGCAATAAAATGGCGGCTATAACCTTTAAATTTATGGACATGTCTCTATATTTCTTATCTGCGTCACGATAAATCTCAGAGTTAGCTTCATGCTCTGTCGAATTGAGTTCACCTTCCCTCCCATTTCTAATACCATTGGTCTTGCCGAGCTAATGGGGGTGTGGCTAAGCGTTGCTACGACAACATTCTAAAAATACCTCTTGGTTTAACTTTTCGAATTGAGTTTGAAGTCTGTTATAATTACTGAGAGAGGGAAAGATGAATGAGAGAGAATAAGAGGTGGTTGTACCTGTTGTAATGGTCCAGTCCTTGCTGCTGTAATTGTCTCTCGAGATCTTTTATTTTTTTGTTTGTTTCGCGAAGTTTTGATTCAATTTTCATGAGCTCAATATTGTCTTCTAGCTCCCTTAGTCTCACCTAAAAATTAAGAAAATAATAATTTTTCCTTTTAAAAAGACTAATGGGGTTTATTTCTCTTCATTACTTTTGAATTGGCAAGAGCTTTTCTGAGTTCTTCTCTCCTGCCATCAACCTCTGACCTCTCCTTTGATTTTATTCTAATTTTATGACTCAAGTCCTCCATGCTGCTTTTGCACTGATCGAGACTGTTGGTCAATCTTTTAGCCTCTAGTCTGAGGAGAAATGAAAAAATGGAAGAATATGATATGATACAAAAATACTATGAGAAATGTCTATGGGTCTATATGTAGCTTTGGCCTGATTTTTAAACAACTTTAACAATTTGTAAAAAAATTTAATTTTGATTGGAATGAGCCCAAACTTGAAACATAATATAAGCACATGTATATGTATTTAAAAACATAATAAAAACGATATTAAAAGTCTTATTTCCTTACTTTTCAACCTCTCCTATCCTTGCCTTAAGCGTATCCAGTCCCGACTGATACTGGTAGAGCTTCTCTTGCTCTTCCCTCTCAGTCTCCTCCCTGTCCATCATGGACTGGTCTCTCTCTGACATTGTAGTGTCTAGTTTACTCTCAAGTGGTTTCAACTGTCTCTCGGCTGCCTACCGTGACAGTGCAGTGAAGAAAAGGAGACAAAATAATTGTAGGGCATTCGAAAAATTAGGAGAGTTCTACACGTGACAAAACTATCAAAATAGAATCCATCATTTCGCTTCATTTTGAGCATGCGTCCTTAACAACACGTGGCAGCTAACATAGAACTAGAAAACTGCATATCACTATAAGTACTATCTATGATATCACATTTCAATCATCGAATAATGACAAATATAAGACAGTGCAGTAAGTGCTCCCTAAACCTCCCACTATGTAATAAAAACAGGAGAAGGAGCAAATGTAGATAGATACACTGTAGATAAGGATGTCATGGCTAGACAAAGGAGATGACTTAATTTAATACACTACAATAGAATGTGTTGTGCGTATGATAAAGAGAAGATCATGTGATACTTTGATATCTCTTTGAAGGCCTTGATTAGCAGCTGTCAGCTCTTCCTTCTTGCTGATACAAGTCTGCCTCTCCTGGACCTGTTTCTGAAGATTTAACTACACCAACATTAGGAAAAAATTAAAATATAAATAAATAAATAAAGATGAAATATTAACTTGATCTTGTCTGTATCGATGGACTTTTCTCTCTAACTCCCCGAGGGTCTTTTGGCACATGCTAATCTCCTGCCTCTTGCTGTCCATTTTACGTCCAATTTCATCACTACATCACATGACAAATTTTTAAAATATTAATTCATTATTAATATAACACCATACCATTCCATCTGTGCCATCTGCAGTTCCCTCTGTACGACGGCATGACTACGAACGCTCTCCCCGCCCACTTTGCTGAGCTCAGCACTGATCCTCCGATCCAGGCTATCCAGGTCGGTCCTAAGTTGCGTCAGTCTCGTTGCTCGTGGGCGTAACTCGCGTAACTGGTCCAACTGCTTCTGACTAGCTGAGAGCTCTGACTCTGCCTACAAATGCAAGAAATTAAAATCCATTAATCCCGTGCTCAGTGCATATACTATTAAAGTACCTTTGTTGTGTCCTGGTTGAGTTTGTAAAGGGTTGAATTCATTTCCTTTACTTGTTTCTCTAAACTTGGTATCTCATCAGTTTGCAAAACTTGAGCCTATCAAAAAAACCACATACAATATAATCATACTGTATAATCACATATTAATTTTTCTCTCTCTCTCTCTCTCTCCCTTACTTGGGCTAGTTGAGGTGCTAGCTGCAGTAATTTGGTATGAACTGATCTCAGTTGGGTCATTTGTTGTTGATAGTTCTGTATCAGTTCGGGGACTTTGGAGGTAAGCCTCCTCTCAATCTAATAGCATTAATAATAATAATAATAATAATAATAATAATGCTGTAATAAATACACAATAATTACTAACATATAAGGTATAGTACATGTGTCCAGTGACCAGTGTGTGTCTGGAGGTGAGTATCAGTAATGTAATACCTGAATCCCTTGATATCTGCCCTCAGCTTCACCTCAAGCAGTTATCTCAGTCCTCAGGTATTACATTACTTATACACACACACACACCTCCAGACACACACTGGACTATACATAGTACATATAATTATTATTATATAAACTTACTGATGTGATGAGGCTGTCAATTCCTTCCTGAGTGTCGTATCCTCTAGCACACAACGGACATTTCTTACTGCTCTTGGCCTTCTTTAAAGCTTCCTTGAAGAAAGACTGTGATCCTTGAATAGCATTCATATCACTATTAAAATAATAATTATAAAAAACTACATAATTAAGCCTAATAACTTATAAATGTGCATAAAAACTGACTATTATTATTATTATTATTATTATTATTATTATTGTTATTATTATTGGTGGGTGTGGTCCCTCACTCTTCTTTCGTGGTCAGTTCTTCTTTGATTTGTTCAAGTTTATTTTCATAAGACGTTCCTTGACAAACTGACTCCACCTCCTTGTTAATAACTGTAGTCAAGGCAACAATCAATAATAATAAATATATATAATTAACGACACCTTTTAGTTTGCTCTCCTTGTCCTTTATTTGTTTCCTAAAGAGAGGGAGAGAGAGAGAGAGAGAGAGAGAGAGAGAGGGAGAGGGAGAGAGAGATAGGAGAAGATCAAAATATACATGTATTTTAGATGTTTCCCATACATTTTCTCGTCTACTTGTGCCTGGAGCTTTGACTGCTCGTGCCGCCATTTCGTGAGTTTACTCTGCGTCTGTGAATTAGTGATCCTCCTGGACCTTTACAAATAAAAGTATAATAATAATAATAAATAAATAATAATAATAAATGTATGCAGTATAACAGTACAGTATACCGTACTAACAGGTTATTAAGCGTAGGCACTTATGCAGAAAATGACAGAAAAACGGGGGCTTAATAATGATTCAGCGCTTAATAAAAACAGTAGGTGTGGTTTACAATAATAATTAATTAATTAGTAATAATTACTTTACTGGCTTTACAATGGCGGGTGGTGAAGAATACTCTTTTGACAGTCTGGTTCGTGGCCACAACGCTTATAAAAAGTGTCTGGACTCCTACTGCTTGGACTCCTACTGTTTTGTACTGCGCTTAACAAACCCATGCTAAAAGCTACATTGAGCTAGGCGCCTAATAAGAACTAGGCGCTTAACAACGAAGGGCGCTTAATAACCCGTTAGTACGGTATACACACATTAATGTGCAAAGTAGTACCTTTCTTTATCAGCAATGGATGAGTCCAATTCATCATCTGATGGCATGTGACCAACCAATTCCAACAACTTTGACTCTATACCACTAAACCTACAAACAACAACAAAATAAACAACAACAATCAACAAACAACAACAATCAACAAACAACAACAGCAATGATATACTAACTCTCTCTGATATTCTTCTTCTTTGTTTAGTTTGTCTTTCTGCATGCTCTCCAGTGCTCCTCTGGCTGCCGACTGTTGAGTGATGAGTCCCATCTCTTTCTGTAGCTTCCGGTGTTTCTCTGAAGCAACTTGTTTAGTTTCCTGCAACACCGAGAGGTCTCTCTCTAGCTGATCAATGTTCACGCTCTCTTGGTATTCCTTTAATTCTTGAGTCTGCAGGTTGAGAGAGAAATAACTGAGTAAAAAAAAACATATAAAGACCAATGATGTGGTGTCCTTAGTAAGATATCAGTATTACAGTGTAGCATAAGGTGGATCACCACGATTGGCAGTTCCATGAAAAATTGACAAAATAATGTAAAATCTATATCCACACACCATTGACCATTCTGTTGCATTATGATCGAGACAAGTGGTAGACAACTACTGAAATTGAAACACCACTTTACTAATACTTGATAGCTACCATGCATCCATCATTATACAGTATTATTATGTCTATAGTGTATAATTGTATATATAAGTCTTACCGCTTGTTTCAAATCCAGTTCAATCCTCTCAAACTCAGCATTAGCTGATGCTATTCTACTCAGTTGCCTGTTGAGGTTGATGAGGAGTGCTTCGTTATCATTCAACATCTTCTCCTTCATTTCTTTCTTCTGCTTCAGCCTCGAGCAGTTGTCCTGTAACTCACTTACTGAGGTACTTAATTCTTTCTCTTTCTTTATTAGCTTTTCCTGTAGGCAATCATTCAATCATATGCAAGATTCATGTACAGTGAGTGTACAGTGAACTAAAACTACTCATAGTAAATATGTAATGGGCAGTACCTTCATACAGCCCTTCCTTTACACACACAACACAAACATTGTACACAGTGTTTATTGATTGTTGTTGATACCAGGGACTTATAGTCCCTTCCAAAAATTGATAGCAATGATTATCAAAAAAAAACTTGACACTACTTGTAAAAGCTGTCTTTATAAACCTTCCCAACCTCATCATATCATCGTGGGGCGTACCATTACAAGAAATGAACATTATCTAACCCATGTACTGACTCATGTACTAGTGCAAATGTAAAAGCGTTAATTAGTTTTCTAATAGAACATAGTCTAGCTGTACCTTTTCTTCCATTATTTGACGCTGCCTCTTTTCCTTTTGTTCAGTGATTTCAGACACAAAATGTCTAATGGATTCCTTAGAGAAAGGGCCAGCCTCTTCTCCAAAGCCAACAATTCCTAACTGACCAGCAAGACTCGTTATATTCTGATCACGTTTCTTGACAGCTAGACGATAATGCTAAGAGAGAGAGAGAGGAGAGTGGAAAGATTAAGATAAAAAATGGTTACTTGTTCGTCACTCTCAAGGCGACCATATTCCTCAGTCAGTTTGTTCATTTTCTCTTTTAAACTATTCTCATCAACACAGATCCTCTCCAACTTCCTATTACACTATAAGAGAGGGAGGGGGAGAGAGTAAAATGTACATGTGTGTTTACCTCTTCAAGATTGCTCTCCTTTCTTTCCTGTTGTCTTTCATGATCCTCAAACAATGACTGCAGTTCATCAAGTGATCCTACAATCACATGTTAATCACGTATTAATCACATTAAAGCATTGTACAGTACACATATTGAATGAACTGTGATGAATCACCTGTGAATTCTTGTTCGATCTTATTTGAGAGGCTTTCTTTCTGTTGGAGAAACTCCTTTCTTGATGTTTCCAGCTTAGCTATTAAGAGAAACAAGTTACACGTACAATTGTACATAATTAAAGTGCTTTAATAAACAAACCATTTTCTTTCTCAATTTGTGCAACTTTGTCATACTTTCTACTTAACTCAGCCAACTTCTCCTATAATGTACATGTTACATACAATTATTTTAGTTATTATTATTATTATTTTATTAATTACTTCAACTGGTTCTATTTCTCTCTTAAGTCGGGTCTCTTCAGCTTTCAAGGAATCAACAGATTTTTGTAAAGACTGCATTCTCTTCTGCAGCTAAAGGAAAGATTTAAAAACACAAGTACATGTACATAAATCAAAGTATTTCGTGTGACCTACTTCATCAGATTTCTCCTTTTGATCCTTCAAGTGCTTCAGTTCTGCCATGTACTCTCTGCACAAGCTTTTCTATGGAAACCACCTCTAGCTGCAAGTAATGACCACACCAACTGTACCTGATCTTTTTGAAACTTCTTTATATTCTCGAGAGCTTTTGAGTATCTCGTTGATGCAAAGATCTCATCAAACTTAGTCTTGAGCGCTTTGCCTTCACTTAGAGGCCTTGAAATAAAATAATATATAAATATAAATTATTATTTAAATTCCCGACCAATTAGAGTCCTCTTGGTGACAGAATATCACATGATTAAGGATAGCTTTAGACACACCCAAATTACATGCCATCTAAAAAAGATAAACAAGCTTTCTTCGCCCTCTCCCTCTAATCTTACTTCAGTGTTGATCTCTATACAACGCGCTGAAACTTTAATTTTCTACAAAGAGAGAGAGAGAGAGAGAGAAGAGAGAGAGAGATGTCATCAAATATCAATAGCTCTTAATTCTTTACTTCTCCTGTAACTTTGTCTTCTCTCACTAGCGATCCCTCAAGCTGCTTCTGCTCAATCTTCTTCAGCTAAATTAAAGACCTATATGTACACGTAAATAATTTCAAAAGGACATACCTTTTGCTCGGACTGTATGATACGACTGCACGTTATTTTTTCACCTTTAACGTTGACAAATTTCAACCTAATGACAGCTTTCACTTCTCTCTCCCCAGCCAGCTGGAAAAAAGGTTACACCCACGCACAAAATGACTTTACCTTTGGGTCCATAACGAAATTTCCTCCTTTGCTGTTTGGGGGAAACTCACCAGTCGTCATGTACTTAAGACACTCTATAATAGTCTGTGTATTATAGAAAATATATACGAATTGTTAACAAGATACGACATATATTGTATATACAGTTTTCCCAGCTCCATTCTGGCCCACTATGAGGGTCACGGGGCTTCTGAAACGTACTATAACCTCGTCTTCTTGGCGAGGACCAAAACTACGGATCCCTTGGGGAAAGAGAAGACATCAGAGGAGGTATATTTAAAGTTATACCTCTTATTGACAATCTGTCAATGGTAGACATAATGAAAACACGTGGTCAGAATCGGTGCAATTTTATGGCCTTTCATAAATTTTTGATTACAATTTTTAAAGCATAAATCATTATTTTTTTTAAACAATACAAATAATAATACAACAATAATAGTATAATAATTATAATAATGATAAGGCAGGATTAAAACTTTGTGTTATTAATATTATTATTATTTCGTTTTATTTTGTGTTAATAATTGACTGAATTTTTTCTCAGTAAGTGGAATTGAGCTAATGCTGCTGAACAGCTGGTCTGAGTCAAGAGTTGACGGCAAATGCCCCAAAAAATGGCCGACATCTTCAATACTTGTAAACTGCAACAACTGGTGCTGATACATATTTAAAATACCTGAGAGAGAGAGAGGGAGGGAGGGAGAGGGAGAGAGAGAGGGAGGGAGAGGGAGAGAGAGAGAGAGTGAGTGATAAAATGTCATTATACATTTGACATTTCTTACCTAAGGCTGTCCTGTACAAGAAGAAGTCTCCATCGCGACAAAACAAGTCCCAAACTCTGCAAGCCACATCCAGTGGCAAGTTACGTGTGTAGATGGTGAATATCCTTTTAAATAGAGAAACAAAGTAGCTATAACATTATCTATGCATGGAGTATACACAGGGTTTCCTACAGGATTTCAGCATAGTGCTTATGCAGCTTCTTGTTAGTGCATCGTCAAGTTGGGCCAAAGACTCTGTACTATGGTACAGGGCATTCGACAAAAATCACAAGGAGAGAATTCTCCATTTTTATTACATTTTCTGATACATATATATGTTTGTATATTGTGTAGCAAGTTTGAGCTGATTCTGATCAAAATTGGATGTTTTACAAATTTTTAAAGTTACTCGAGAATCGAGCTCAAGTCCCTGTACTATAGTACAGTGTCATTGGCCAAATTTCACCAAAAATGACTAAGAGAGAATTCTCAATTTTTATTACATTTTCTGATGCATATACATGTTCTTATGTTGTGTAGCAAGTTTGAGCTAATTCCGATCAAAATTAGATTTTTTACGAAATTTTAAAGTTGCTCCAAAATTGGGCCAAAGTCCCTGTACTATAGTACAGTGTCATTGGCCAAATTTTGCCAAAAATGACTAGGAGAGAATTCTCTATTTTTATTACATTTTCTGATGCATATACACGTACATGCACTTATGTTGTGTAGAAAGTTTGAGTCGATTCCGATCAAAATTAGATTTTTTACGAAATTTTAAAGTTGCTCCAAAATCGGGCCAAAGTCCCTGTACTATATAGTACAGGGTCATTGGCCAAATTTTGCCAAAAATGATTAGGAGAGAATTCTCCATTTTTATTACATTTTCTGATGCATATACATGTACTTATGTTGTGTAGAAAGTTTGAGTCGATTCCGATCAAAATTAGATTTTTTACGAAATTTTAAAGTTGCTCCAAAATCGGGCCAAAGTCCCTGTACTATATAGTACAGGGTCATTGGCCAAATTTTGCCAAAAATGATTAGGAGAGAATTCTCCATTTTTATTACATTTTCTGATGCATATACATGTTCTTATGTTGTGTAGCAAGTTTGAGCCGATTCCAATCAAAATTGGATTTTTTAACGAATTTTTAAAGTTGCTACAAATGCCATGTACATGTATTCATAATGTAGTGCTTGTCAGCTCATGAAGCTCATGCTTTTTAGCTCACTTAGCATGCTTTGTGGGAAACCCTCAGTATATACTGCAATTCCTTACCATTCTATGAGGTAGAACTGAGGATGAAACCCTAACTGATTGAAATGAGCAGAAACCTTCGGAAGAGATTCGGCCAAGAGCAACGAGAAAACAGTAAAGTAAGGTTTCATCTTTAACGAAAAAATAGAGAAAAGATAATTTTTAAGAAACTAGATATATCTCACTTGATCCTGGTCAACTTTAAAAAACGCCAAATACGACGCCCGGTTTAAAAGATTAGCCAATGCAATGAAAGCATCAGCCTCATTCTCCATATTTAAAATAATTACAGCTGCCAAAAACGACATACCCTGTACCTGTGATTCAATAAATAAAAACAAGACAAAGAAAGAAGTTGCCTTACATATCCAACATCAGGTCTATAACAAGCATAAGCACCTAATACATTATGTAACACCTGACATAATGGACTGCCCTGTAGTAGGAGAGAGAGAGAGGGAGAGAGAGAGACAGAGGGGGGGGGAGAGGGAGAGACAGAGGGAGAGACAGAGACAGAGAGAGAGAGAGACAGACAGACAGAGGGAGAGAGAGAGACAGAGAGAGGGTATAGATATGACAAGTAAAGAATGGTAAATGAAAGATTAGAGTATATACATGTACATGCATACTTCTTGAAAGAAGCCAAGTGTAGGGAATGTCCTCTGTAAATCAAGATGAATTACATCCACACTGCTCTCTCTACTGATACTCGTCACAGATGCAACTGAATCTAAATTAACAAAAATACAATAATAATTAGCGTCGTTAGTAAGTGGGTGTGGCTGACCACTCCTCCCTCTTTGCTGTGCAAGGTCTAGCCTCTCCTGGAATCTCTTCCAGAAAATCATGTATAAATCTACCGGAAGGAAGGAGCTTAATGTACCATACAATATACTCAATGACTGATGAAGACTCGCACTCACATGACATGTAAATAAATAAATGAATAAATATTTAAGCCCAACATACACTGAGCAACTTTGTTGCTGGCAACTTGTCGTCAGACCTTTGATGTGGTCGAGCAACACTGGGCAACATGTTACAGAAAGTAGAAAGACTCTCAACAAGTTGCCTCACCACATCAAAGGTACTGGCAACAATCATGTGCCAGTATCATGTGCTCAGTGTATGTTGGGCTTTATATATGTACATATACATTGTACATGTGTGAATGCATGTACACTAATAATATAATGGAATTATGAGCACATGATATAATTACATGTGTACATATACATGTAAATGTACACCAAAATAAACTATTTCTTTTAGTAACTGCATGGCAAAATAATAACAATCACACGTACTGTTATTATTGATGTGAAAGACTACTGCTAGAAGGATATTAAGAAATACAATGATTATTAGGTGAGGTCAATTAGCTTAATATCATTATCATTATTATCATTATTATTATTATTATTATTATTATTATTATTATTATTATTATTATTATTCAAGTTACCTGGAGATATGTTAAGGTCATTTCCAATTGCTTTCTTCCACACTAATCCTCTTACTCCAGGAGGCAACCCAGCCCACCATAACTCCTTAACCTCTTTACGATTTCGTCTAAAAGACACACAAAAAAGATAACCTTCATAAACTTGTATTCATTGCATTACAAAGAGTCAAATTTTGGCAATATTTCGGCCCATTTTTTCTGGGCTACTGCAATTTGATCTTCCTTTGTGTGTCTCTTCTGCTCCATTTTATGAGTGTCACTAGCATGCTGTAACTCTAAAGTTGAGATACTAAAATAGAGAAACAAATAGCAATGAATTGTAAATACCTTTCTTTTTCGTAGCTTGGATCATCTCTTGGTAGAGTTTCTGATGTTTCTTTTCTTCGGCAGGCGTCTTTGCAGGGAGACCTCTGGAAATAAAAATAAAACAAATAATATTATACTTAAAAAATATATACATCATGACAGAAGTGGTTATATCCACATGCACATGTATGCATACACATACAGTGCATGTATATATGTGACCATAATTGACAAAAGGTACCTTATGGCGGATAAGAAAATTGGTCTTTATAGCCTAAAAAATCCAACTTCCTGAGCTCCCTTTATCATAAAATTACTCCAGAGGATGCAAAAAGTTACTATATAGCTTATAGAAACAATTGTTGACTAACAGAGCACTCACAGGTTAATATTTTTCATTTCAAAGAGGTATTTTAAAATCCGCCATAAGGTACCTTTTGTCAATTATGGGCACATATTTACAAACAATCATAGATGTACATGTACATAGATAGTGGTAATTTGAATGATAAAGGAGAAGGTGGTTTATGAATTAGTAAGGATCGACGCACAAGGAGGAAAGGCTACACACATCACCACTACTGATAAGCAATGCTTGATAACATACATGCAATTAACATTATGCAATTAGGATACACTACCTGGCATAACACTGTAGCACATGTATGGTAAGATTGGAATATGCTATTTATCATTATATGTGTGTGTGTTGTTGAAATATTTGTGTATGTGTGTGTGTATGTATTTAACATAATCTGTTTATAATAATCATAAAGTTTGTGACTGTTTCATAATAATAATAATAATGGGCCTGTTCTCATAAACAGTCAGTCATTCCTTCATTATTGAATGAAAGGGACTGACAAAACATGTATGACAAAAATAATTATTTTGATAATAATAACACAAGGCAAGGATTGCTGTCAGCTAATTGGAGGAGATTCATTTAGGAACAGGTGCAAACAAGAATGTGAACATACAGTCTAAGTGTGAATGTGTACCTCCTGCTGGGAGCTCATCACTCAATGACTGTGTATTCAATACAAATAATAATTATTCTCCCTCCCTCCCTCCCTCCATTAAAGTAGCTAATTGTGGACATACTTTGGTCTTCCTTCAAGAATGAGTCCAGTCGTTGAGGTAGGAGGAAGAGCTCCTGATGAAGCAGCACCTGAACTCTTCCTACAACACAATACATACATACAGTGCAATACATGAATACATACATGTAGATACATAAAGCACACTTCTTCTCCACACTCTTACCTTTTAAAAAAAGAGAACTTGGTCTTGGCAGGAGATTTGTTATTATTCAATAAAAGGTTCTGTCTCTTTTTCTCTGCTGACCCGTTAGTAGCCCCAAGAGGAAGAGGGGTAGAAGGACTAATGGTGGTACTAAGTTCTACAGACTCAAGTTCTGAGTGGAGTGTGAGGCTGTCATTAGTAGGCGAGTTTGTTTGGTCGCTGCTACCAGTCTCAGGTAGAGGAGACGTGGTAGGACGAGGCTCTTCTTTCTCTCCGTCTTCTTGCTGGCTGGGAGGTTCTATCTGCTCTATCTCTTCTCTTTCGACCGGCAAATCCTCCTCTTCTTCTGCCATTGTATCTTAAGAACTTGAAGTGGGCGTACCCGTTAACGCCCAGATAAAACAAAATTCCGTATACTTAGACCACGTGCCACCACGTGATGAAACTGATGAGTTACAAGTCCACACCTATTATAACCACAAAGGATGTGCTCTCTTTCTTCTCCGCTAAAGAAAAAAGTAGTCATAATTGGAGGAGGATTTGCTGGCATAGGAGCAGCCCGTACTCTCTCCTCCTCTCCAGCAGTAGATGTGCTTTTATTAGAAGCTTCCGATAAACTGGGTGGGCGTGTCCACAGCCTTCAATTGAAAGGTGAATGTTGTGCAGTTGAATTAGGAGCTACTGTGTTACACGGCGAGGTTGGTAACTCTCTGTACGACCTATCACAAGACCTGGGTGTGGTCTTGCACAAGAAAAACGATTCCGTTCAAAGTGAGTCACTTTTTGTCACCGGGGGAGGAGGGGAAGTCCCTGTGGAGGTCGTGCGTCACTATGGCAACATCATCACGGACCTGTTTGCAGAAATGTGTGAGTGTCTGGACAGGAGAGATTGGAGCTATGAGATAAGACCAGAGTGGAAGAAGAACATGTTATGTGAACAGCCACCATCTTCACACTTCAGTTACATTAATGAGAGGTTTCAGAATATCATACTAAGCAATGGAATCACTAACGATCATTATACATCTGTAACAAAGGAGCCTGATAAAGGAATTATTACAAGTACGTGTAATGATGATGATGATCCTATTTGGGTAACAGAAGGTATTTTAGATTATTGGTTGAAGAGGGAGAGAATTAATAATGCCACAAATGAGCCCATTAACTTGTATGATGGATATCTCGACTTCTCTTATCCACTCGGTGATCTAAGCATTCAAATTGAGGGAGGCTATCAAAAATTAGTCGATTCGTTATCTAAAGAGATACCTGCTAAAAGTATAATATTGAATAAACGAGTCACTCAAATAAAATGGACTCCCGCTCGTCATAAACAAGCCCCACCCACTGACCATGCCTCTGTTATTGTCCAGTGTGCTGATGGTAGCTTGTATAGTGCAGATCATGTGATCATTACAGTATCTCTTGGAGTACTCAAGTCACATGATGTAGAGTTTGATCCTCCACTGCCTCCCGCTAAACAAAGTGCAATCTCACAGCTAGGCATGGGGTTAATGGTTAAAGTTGTGTTCCATTTCTCTGCCCCATTCATTCATTCAAAGTACAGGAAAATTGGGTTTATTTGGCGGGAAAACGACCGGGAAAGACTTAGCAACTACCCGTGGGTGTGTCACCAGCACTGCCTTCATCGTGTGGGAGGGAGCAACGTTTGGGTGGGATGGTTTGTTGGAGACAATGCTAAAACAGTACAGGAACTACCCATGTCAAAACTCAAGGAAGGAGCGATGAAATTATTGGATCATTTTATCAGCAAATATTATATTACTAAGCCTCTCATTACATCAGTTACTACATTCCCTTGGGGTAAAGACCCTCTCTTTCAAGGTAGCTACTCTTATTGTCCCTTCGCCTCAAGCTCTGAGGACAGGGTAATACTAGCCACACCCATTAACGGAGCTACACCTCTTCAACTATTGTTTGCAGGTGAAGCTACTAGCCCGAGTCTATACAGTACGACTAATGGAGCGTACGACACTGGAGTGAGAGAAGGGTTAAAGATATTAGAACAGCTTAATCAAAATGATGAGAACATAAAACCTACATGAACATGAATACATGTACATAAAGACCATATGCATACACACACACACAACGATGATGTTATAAAATTGTTTTAAAAACTCTCGGTTGCACGAAAGCATCTAAACTGAAGAGAATTTGACTCGTGAAACGACTCTGATAAATCACGAATACTAATAATAAAAAATGAAATGAAATAGCATTTATATTAAGCACATGTCCTCACTTGCGTCCATACGACTTTGTTATTAATTTGCTGCCAATGACATCATAAATCTCCATAAATTTATCCCTGAGAGAGAGAGAGTCGGGAAAGTTACTTCTAATCTCTTACCTTGTAGATGGAGTCACGTAAGCTGCTAAAGTGTCTTGTAGAACAAGCAATTCAATATAACCCTAATTGTGAATTACATGCATCATCATTATTTATTACTATTGGCATACCACTAGTCTTCCTTGGTTACTAAATGATGTGACTCTCCTCAACTGCTCGTGGAACTCATCAATTAGTTTCTCGAGGAGTTGGGACAAAACTTGTTGAGTTATGTGCTCAGAAATACTCGAAACCTGAAGAGAAGAGACAGAAAGAAGAGGAGGTTGATTAAATAATAAATCTCAAAGTCTATCACTGTATGTACCTCTGCGTGTACATGTACAAAGTACAGCAGTATTTCTTTAATGTAAGATCTTATTCCTTTGGGTACTGAGTCTGTGCCCCAATCGAAATACCCTCCGTGAATACCCGGAGCAACCAGTTTGACGAGTGGACCAACTTTGAGCCTAATGTAATACTCAAACACCTTTCTCTCCAGCTCACCCAGCTGCTCTATAAACTTCTACAATGAGAACAAATATTAAAGTACTAATTGATGCATGTTCTAAAGTTTCTACTTCAAAAATTTTTAATGGGTAGTCAATTCAAATTTATTACCTGTTCGACTTGAGGGCATGATGGGTATCCGTGACTCATGAAACAGTCAAATAATCTCGGAGAGACGTACTGACGAGTATAATAACTATTACTGAGTATCAGTAACAGCTGTTCCTCCTATACCAACACATTCTAATTAGAGCCCATGTTCTATTTATAGTAACAGAGACTCACGGGTAATGGGACGTTAAGATTGTCCTCTGACAGGGCGCCGCTAAAGGTTTCCTGACGTGTTATGCTGCTTTTAATACTTTCCCTAAAAGAGGTGGGACTTGTAATGACAGGGTTTCCCACAGGATTTTGGCATAGTGGTAATTTTAAATATTGTGCAGGGTATTTTATAAAAATGACTAGGACAAATTTTTATATTTTTTTTGGTACGTATACATGTTCTTATGCTGTGTAGCAAGTTTGAGCCGATTCCAATCAAAATTGGATTTTTTACGAATTTTTAAAGTTACTCAAAAATTGGGCCAAAGTCCCTGTACTATAGTACAGGGTCGTTGGCCGAATTTCACCAAAAATGACTAAGTGAAAATTTTCCATTTTTATTACATTTTCTGATACACATACATGTTCTTATGCTGTGTAGCAAGTTTGAGCTGTTTCCGATCAAAACTGAATTTTTTTACAAATTTTAAAAGTTACTCAAAAATTGGGCCAAAGTCCCTGTACTATAGTACAGGGTCGTTGGCCGAATTTCACCAAAAATGACTAAGTGAAAATTTTCCATTTTTATTACATTTTCTGATACACATACATGTTCTTATGCTGTGTAGCAAGTTTGAGCTGTTTCCAATCAAAACTGAATTTTTTTACAAATTTTTAAAGTTAGTCAAAAATTGGGCCAAAGTCCCTGTACTATAGTACAGGGTCGTTGGCCGAATTTCACCAAAAATGACTAAGTGAAAATTTTCCATTTTTATTACATTTTCTGATACACATACATGTTCTTATGCTGTGTAGCAAGTTTGAGCCGATTCCGATCAAAATTGGATTTTTTACAAATTTTTAAAGTTACTCAAAAATTGGGCCAAAGTCCCTGTACTACAGTACAGGGCCGTTGGCTGAATTTCACCAAAAATGACTAAGTGAAAATTTTTCATTTTTATTACATTTTCTGATACACATACATGTTCTTATGCTGTGTAGCAAGTTTGAGCTGATTCCAATCAAAACTGGATTTTTTTACGAATTTTTAAAGTTAGAAAATCGGATCAAAGTCCCTGTACAGGGTCATTGGTCAAATTTTGCAAAAAAATGAAAAGGAGAGAATTCTCAATTTTAATAATTTTTTATCTAATACATAAATGTACATGTATACCCTGTGTAAGTACGAAAATTACATGTACATGTATTTCTCACCCGTCTGGAGGAGCAGCTAACATTGTCAGACATTCACAAAAGTCCTTTAAAAAAAACGATGATATCATATGACATCATACGACATCATACCGCCTTACCTCAAGCAATCCTTGAAAATACTCGACTGAAGAGGATGAGAGCTGATCCCTCTGTTCCTATGGCAACAGTAGTCATGGTAACTGTGACCGTGACGACGCCCTTACCTTCGTTTCCCCAGGGTGCGTCTCAATGACAATCTCTTTCACCGTCAGGAGGACATCAATCACAATATTCTCAAAGAGAACAGGCTGGAGAGGAGTTAAGAAAAAATTAATGTAAAAATAGTCACGGGTTATATGGTGTATATGTACAAATAGCTCGTAATTTTAAAGGGGAAAGAATCTTTTTGGCAAATTAACAAATTTTTGGTGGTTGGCAGGTTTTAATTCAGTAGTTACGTATTATGATTAGCAGCTCAAAATGACTGAATCTTATTTTAGGGAATGGTTATAATTTACCATAATCCTCTCTAATCCAAAATTACCAGCTATACAGTGCATACTAGCTTATTTATAGTCGATGTACATGTAATAATGGTATACTCTCACCAGACTGGTTATGATGCTCCCCTCTTCATCCTGTACCCTCCAGTCTTCCCTCTCTGACAATCCCTCAATATCTTTAGTGGTCCTCAGGAAGAGTGTGTCAGAGGAGAGGGTGCACACGTTGAGGGAGAGCTGCTGGACGAGGGAAAGAGGAGCAGCTGGCAATGGAAGATCTTGCAATAAAGAAAGACAAGTCCTACAAGATACGCATGAAATTAATAGTTATTAAAATAGTAGATGTACACAAAAATTATGTATGTACGTGTACATGTGATAATCTCTAGCTAAATAATGTAGAATTAATAATTGTATTGGTCATAAGAAGAGAGATATGATAATTAAAATATACATAAAACAGTGATGTACATGTAAATTCATGTAAAATGGTGCATGTAATAAATATAAAAATATACATGTACACGTACATGTACATGTTCCTACATGTCAAAATACCTTATTTTCCTGACACAGAGTGGTAGCCAGGCACCCGAGACTTCAGCAAGATCGTCATCAAAGGGTTTCCAATCGCCGAGTTTGGAAACCCTGTCTGGAGGAAGATCAGTAAGGGCATCTTCAAAGAGACTAGCATTGACAAGATCAGTGTATACCTCACACACCTCCAGCAACATCTCCTAGAAACAACAAGAGAAAATTAATATCAAATATAACAAGTCCAATATATCCACGAAGAAATTAAAAAATAATAAATAATATTAATTACGCATACTGTATAGCTTGATATTTTCGTGGTTTGCTCCCGGTGGGGCAATTCGTGGTTTAATTTTCGTGGTTGACGGTTTACATAGCCTGTATGGGGATGGCACTTCAATGATTTTGTGGGTTTAAATTTCGTGGGCAGCCCCATAACCACGAAAACCACGAAATTTACATTCCACGAAAATTTCAAGCTATACAGTATTCTTGGCTTATAAAAACAGAAAAAAGCAAAAAAATTAAATGTACTTACATCAAATACATGAACCTTAGTGCTAATATTCTCACTAATTATATTATCTTGGTTCTCATTAAGAGTTGTCTGGAATTAGATTGGGTTTGGTCAGTGGGCGGGGCCACAATTGAGAGAGCAACTTACATTAAAAAGTGAGCGGTTGAAATAAGCTTGTCCAAGTTTAAAGAAATTAGGAAGGTTATTTGCAATAATGTCGATTAGTTTCTCAATGAATTGAATTCTCTTTGGTTTACTGCTGGCGTCATGAGTACTATCAGGATTACGGCTGTGAGAACCAACTGTAGCCTTGCTATAGACACTCCCCCCACTGCTGTTTGATTGGGTACGGGAGTGACCACGCCCAATTGATGGAACATCAAGAAATTCAGTATCTGGGATAAGGGAGAGGCATGAATAAAATAGTACAGGGTCATTGGCCAAATTTCGTCACAAATGAAAAGGAGAGAATTCCCCATTTTTATGATTTTTTTTCTGATACAAATACGTTGTATTTCAAGTTTGAGCCGACTCTGATCAAAATTGGATTTCGTGACAATGGAACTAATGGGTTTTTGCTTGTCACGGATTTCGTGACAATGGAACTAATGGGTTTTTTTTGCTCGTCATGGATTTCGTGACAATGGAACTAATGGGTTTTTTTGCTCGTCATGTATTTCGTGACAATGAAACCAATGGTTTTTGCTTGTCACGGACTACATGGTTTTTGCTTGTTACACTAGTACTTGATCCAATTGTGGAGTAACTTTCAAAATTTATTATAAACTGGTTTTGATCAATATAAGTTCTTCGTCAAATTTTATCTGTCTTACCTGTTTGGTATCTCATTTTAGCCTCTAACAACTGGCTCAGCAACCAACTGTGCATTCCACTCACACACTCCCAGCATGGATCACCAACATAATCAAGATCCAATAGATACCTGTCGTCATATGACAGTCACATGACTATAGAAAGGAGACAACAAGACTGCTGCTTACTTGATCAGCTTCTTCTGGTTCTCAAAAGTTGTAGGATTTGTGAGTAATTGCTTACGAAGATCTGAACGAAATTTAGACACCATACTCTCAACTTCTTTTAAAACTATTAAAACACCCACACAAATTAAAGGGTGGAGCCAAGCAGACACTGACCTTTAGCAAAAACTTTGACCTTTGTACCGGCAAAAAGTGACTTTGCCCTTTCATAATCATTAGTAACAATTTCATATTCAAACTAAAAATATAAAAATTAAAATATTTTTGTTTGCAGGGCTTTCTAACATTTTTTATATTTCTTTCAATAGAGCGTGGTAGGTTAAATAAAAACCGATACCTCTGTAGGACGGTCAACGCATTACGAGTTGTGTCAGCTTTTAACTTCCTGTTCAGTAAACCTTGGAACAAGGCCTCAGCTTCTAATGTTGTACCTATAACGAGAGAGAGAGGAGGGGAAGAGAGAGAGAGGAGGGGAAGAGAGAGAGAGGAGGGGAGAGGAGAGATAGATAGATGAAGAGGTCACTCTACTAACTTCTAAAATAGTTCTCAAGCTTGTCAGTCAGTCCATCAGAGTCCTTTTCATTAGTCAACATTAACTTATTGACATGTGAAGGGGCAAAACACAGTCAAGGACAAAAACAGTTATAATGATTATAAATAAAATTATCAGATACATGTACATGTACATCAAAATGGAGTAAATATATCAGGTGAAGGTTTTCTAGCACTATTGAGCATATACATAATGGCTCATATGGCTGGTTTTACTTCAATAAAAGATGATCAATTGGCCACATTTTAAGCATCAAACAAAAATGACCTACCATATAATTACATGTACATTTATGTATCATATATAAATATTTCATATTAAGAGTAAGAATGGATATCAGACAGTGCGTCGTAGCATTGAATGAAAGCATCAAGATTATTCTCAATGAATTGAGCAGGAGCTTGTTGGGTTTTCTCCACCTCTCCCTTAAGGTGGTCCAGCCCCTGCTGGAGCTGCTGGTAGCTGGTACCACAATGATTCTCTAGCAGGAATAAAACCGGATTGAAATCCTCTGCCAACAGATTAGCACTTCCTGAGTAAGAGAAGAATGAAGCAATTAAAAGATGCATGTATTTTTACATGTATGTTATTGTATGATTTACAACTGCTAAAATGTGACACAATTCAATTTAAAATCTAGATATGTACAATTGTACACATACATGTAGTTCAAAGTGCTTTTAGCGTAAGATTAAATGAGTGAAATGGTCCATGCAAGTTTGACACAGGCTTAACTAATTAAAAGTTAATACATTCCATTACCTTCAGGCCGGCCCAACTGCTGAAGTACATCCATGGAGACTTTCCTACCGACACGCCCCTTAATGATACCAAGAGGATCGGAGAAATGAGACTTACTCCCCGAGAGGGCAGGGAGTCCTTCTATTACTGTCTGATCGCTACCAAACACCTCCCAGTTCTCGTCCATCCACACGCTGCTCTCTGACTCTGGATCCAAACCTAAAGGCAATGGATACAGCAAGAGGTGGTGATAATCATTATAACTAGTGAAATGATAAAGGAAGGTTTCAAATTGCCATAAAAATACAACCAAAGCAGAATAAACATTTAAAAAATAGGCCAATTTTGCATCAACTTTGAAAGTGTTACCTGCCAGACTACCTAACTGATATTAATTTTTATGCTTTTAATCCAATTTTAAACCTTCCTTTATTAACCCTTTGCAAACTCACGTGGGCTCCCAGGGGACGTCGGCTCCAATCCAGTGAAATACACCGTACATGTTCCGGACCCTCCACTCTGTGACGTCACTATTATCCGACCACGCCCAATCCCTCCCCCGCTCTCACAGAGTATTTTATGATCTGAGACCCACTCCATCATTTCCACGCACTCCTGGCCGCATATCATTATACTAGTGATATCTGCCGCACTCAGGCCAAGGTTCTCGCCCCATATCTTTACTTTGGTCCCAGGAGGCCCTTCACAAGGGGACACACCATTTACCAGAGGAGGGTCCATATTTATCACATATACGGAGAGAATACGAGGAATGTTATTCCGTAAAACAGAAGTGGAAGTATACGGTATAACATCCCGAAAAGGACGGATGTCACTCAATTATTAGATAATAGTTAATTAACTGCATTGCTTTTTGCAAGGTAGCCCCTCCCTCTTTCAGTTTCGAAACAGAGAGACAGCATGCCTCCTAAAAAGAGAAAGCAGGCTGAAGAGGAAAATGGAAAGACCCAAGACATCTCCTCATTCTTCAAACCAGCCCCACCAAAATCAGCAAAGAGAGCCGAGTAAGAAACCAGTCATAGAAATCTCATGAAATAAATTAATTCTCATAAAAGACCCGCACATGCCACATGCACAGATGATGAGACTCCTCCCACCAGTGACAAAGAGCTTATTACAGAGAAGAGATACGTGGCATCGGCTAAACTGTGGTCAAAGAAACTGGGAGGGGAGATAGGACCCTCTTGGATGAAAGCACTTGAGCCGATATTTAAGGAACCTTTCTTCACTGAGGTACTTCATAAATACACGATCATACTGTATAATGTATATTATAGCACCAAATTTTTTGTCGGTCAAACGTCATTAATTTCGCAATGCTTTGCTTGATTAAATGATAGTGTGCAGGTCATAGTGGAATGGCAAATTATTTTAAAATTTTATTTTCTTATTTGCTCGATAAAAATTTGGTGCTATACGGTATTAATATTATGCCACGCCTCCTCTTTATTAGTTAATGAGTTTTGTTGATGGAGAACGTGCAACTAAAGTTGTGTATCCTCCAGGTAGGTAGTGGGTGTGAATACTAGTTATTAAAAGTTATTAATTTTAGCATCGCAAGTATTCTCTTGGACAATTGCGTGTGCCCTTGACGACGTGAAAGTCGTAATTGTTGGACAGGATCCTTATCACGGACCTAATCAAGCACATGGCAAGTCACATGATTGTCACATGATCAACAATTCCCTCCTTTAGGACTGTGCTTCAGCGTATGTATAGGAGTTCCACCTCCACCTAGGTAAGGAGAAAGAAGTAATAAAAAATATTATAGTTTATTTTTTACTTTTTAAAGTTTAAAGAACATTTATAAAGAATTGAGTGAAGACATCAGCGGATTTAGCATTCCTGATCATGGCTATCTCATTGGCTGGGCCAGACAAGGTTTTTTATTAACCTTTTACTCTCTCCCACTATCCTCTCTCTTCCCCCCTCTCTATAATCACTCCCTCCCTCTCATTGCCACAGGAGTTCTACTACTCAATGCTTGTCTAACTGTAAGGAGAAGTGAAGCAAACTCGCATTCAAAGAAGGTACAACAAAAAAATATTATTTTAATTATTTTTATACTTTTAGGGTTGGGAAAAGGTAACTGATGCCGTCATTCAGTGGATAAATGCCAACTTGAGGGGTGTGGTCTTCATGCTTTGGGGCGGAGATGCTAAAAAGAAAGGCTCATCAATTAACAAGGTATTGTTCTAAAAATAGTATCATTCTATAAATAGATCATTAATATTAATAGAAACGTCACTATGTACTTGATGGCCCCCACCCCTCACCTTTATCAGCCCATAGAGGATTCTTTGGTTGTAGACACTTCTCTAAAGCCAATGAGTTGCTTGAGAAAGATGGCAGGACTCCGATTGACTGGTCCCATCTTCCTAGAAATTAACATTCTAGCAACAATAACTGTATTATACATTTTATTTATGATATATATTTTAACCATTCCATTTATCAAAAGAATTATATTAAAATGAAAACACCTATAGATTGCAACCAATAATGAAAATAATAGTAATAATAATAATAATATGCCACTGCTTAGTTTCTAATACAAATTAACATTATTTTTTATCCTTTTTCAATACTGATAAAAATGCATCTCGGTCCAACTCCACATTGCCTATTCTCTTCAGTCTTTTCTTTCCTTCTCTTTGCTGCCGAAGTAACTTCATTTTCCTTGTGATGTCTCCCCCATACTAACAGAATACAGCAATAGAGCTATACAGCATTAGTTAGGCAGCAAACTTACGCATTTTGCAGTAACGTCTTTCCTTAAAGCTTTCACACTATCACAAAAAATACAATATTTATAACAAATAATCTATTTATAGTAACCACATCTATTTATAGTAACTATGTCTATTTATAGTAACACTTATCATCTATTTATAGACATACCTCTCTCTAGCAATGACACGCCCGCCTACAGCAGCTTGCACAGCAACTTCAAACAATTGCCTGTTAATTAAGAGTGGGCGGAGCACTACAGAAAGACATGTACCTCCGTATTGTGTCCTTTAACTTGGAGCATATTGACCTGCCGATGGAATAAGCTGAGTCAGCATGTACCACACATGAAAGGGCATCAACTTGTTGTCCGTTTAGTAAAATATCCAACTAGTAGGAATTCAAAAACATTAATAATTAAATAATTAATAAACTGGACAAACTCGTTACTTTGACTAGTTTAGTTTTCTGGTAGCCAGCATCTTCATAATCAAAACTAATAAATAATAATAATAATAATAATAATAATAAATTAAAGACCTAGCATATCCAGATGAGATGCTCTTAACTTGATCAAAGAAATCAAACACAACTTCACTCAATGGGAGAATATACTTGAGCATCACACGAGATGAGGTCAGATACACTAACTGCTGCTGGTCACCTCTCCTCTCCTAAAGTCAACAAAGCATCAACAAAATAAATAACACATTTATACAGTGTAGCCCCTCTATATAATGGACACTTTAATACAGGAAAGTTAGTTCATTACATAAAGGTGTCCTTTATGTGGAGGTTATTACAGTAAGGAATGTAATTGGTACACTAGGTGCTGTCCGTTAAATGGAGGTGTACGCTATAAAAAGCATAATTTAACAGATGCTACGTGTATAGTGTAATCAGAAACTATGTTAATAATACTATCAACAAAACAATAGAACAATAGTTAGTCACAACAAGGCGTTCCCATCATTCGTGTTAACATGTACAAGTACATGCTCCTCTAAGTCATCTGTGTGTACATGTACATGTACGTGCACTATATTGTAGTACAGGTGTGAAAGGAAAGGGTGGGGGTGGGAAGCAACAGAAACAAGTCACAATTAAAGTGGAAGCCATTAATTAGAATGTTTATAAATACAATTATAGTGTTTTGACCACAAAAGCAAGCACTTAATGCATTGCTTTATTATTTTTATTATTATTATTATAAAACCTCTGTGTGTGGTCATTTAAGCAATTACAATGCAAGTGAATAGCAAGTAGGTGTATAGATGTATCTACAATGTACATGTGATAGACAGTGTCCATACTTCACAGAGTGCCAGTAGTTTCCCTAAGTATTGATCAGGGAATATCAGTGTCCCTTTTACTATTGGCTCTCTGAACTCAGTAACTTTGTTCTTGTCAGGAAACTAATGACAAAAATACACTTTACAAATATCTTGATGATACACTTACATGTGATGGATTTAATATTTGTAGGATACTACCATCTCTCATTAATGCTAAAGAATAATAATAAAGAACGACTAATGCTAAATAAAGAATGATGAATACTGATTTAAAGTACATGTATTTAATGTGAATTAACACTCAACATTATACATACTACTACCTCTCTCTCTCTCTCTCTCTCTCTCTCTCTCTCTCTCTCTCTCT